TGGTTTGTCTCGTCCCGCCGAAACCGAGTGGGCAATTTCGATAATTTCCGCAGTGGTCTGTACCTCTCTGAAGGTAGATATCTCTGGGTTTAATTCCTTCTTCCAAAGCTCTCGCTGAATCTCCGTTTTCAGACCCGTCCAGAGTCGCGTCACTCTATCCCGCTCGCTCACATCACCCACCATGATGCAAAGTTCATTCAGTCGGTAGATGTACTCCCTGACGGGTTTGTCATTTTGGAAGCAACACTTCAGCTCCTTCCTTTGATCCATTTTATAGGTTATGGGAAAGCAGTAATTGAATAGCTCAGTGAAGAATTCCCTGAGCCTCCAACGGTGGTGTTCACTTGATACCTCCTGCTGGTAAAAGTCGTGTGCCTTTCCTGTCAGGTAGTGTGACAGCACAAAGACTCTTCTGTTCGAGGATACCCTTCCATCCTCAACGTAGGCCGTCCCCTTGGTAATAAACCGATGGAATGCTTTTGAGTCCTCCTTCCCATCATAGGTTTTGGGCGGGATCGGTCTTAGAGTTGTTTTGTTTCTCCTCTTCTTTGAGTGCTTCTTGGACGTCCTACTCCTGGTGGGTCCCATCTGTTCATCCAATGATGACGAGCTCTGTTCATCGCCCGAACTGTCCGAGCTATTCGACGAAGAGCTTGGGTTCAACCCGTCTGAGTCAGGGTCCCTGCCGTTTTTTGTTTTGCCAGGCGTCCTAACGCTTTTCCAATATAAGACCAGGGTGCTACCTGGTGCGCAGGCTCCATCACTTGAGGAGTTTTACAACGCTCCCTTCACTCGTTACTTGGGTTCATAACACCATTAACCAGCCCTTCTATCGGGTTGCTGGGTCTCTGTTCTTGTTCTGGGTGTTGAAGTCTTTTCTTCTTTTCCTGCAGCTTCAGGGTTAGGCTTTTTAATTTTTGATCATATTCTTTTCGAATGCGTTTTTCTGCCCTTTCGACAGCAGTGTTGATTATTCTCTGCTCACGCCTTGCCTGAGTGAAAATGTCCTCGATCGACGTATTCTGGACCTCGGGTCTGTCGGTCTCAGTTGGGTTTTCCCCCTCATCTTGTGAGGTTTCCGACTGACTCGCTAGGTCCTTAGCCACTCTATAGGATTCGAGGGCAGCGCGCTGCTCTTCGATATTGATTTCTTCCTCATTGGCAATAGCTCCCCAGTTTCCTGGATCAGCGCCTTTTCCTTTGGAAGGTCCTCCACCATTCGGTGTCATTTCCAATGGTGCGGTTGTGCTGTCTCATTGACTCACATTCTCTTGGCGTCTAGCTAACTGGACTCACTCCTTATGCGTGAGCTGTCGCTCTGCCACCTTAACCGCGCTTCTCTGGGCGCTAGTCAGAACATCAGGTGTCTTGGCCCGGGATCCTTTGTTGTGTTGGACTGTCGTCCATGGACAATCATCCTCGTCCTCACTACCGGTATGTTCACTCTTATCACTTGCAGTTTCAAAGGTAACATGCTCTATAGATTTTTCTACAGGCGTTTCTGCACTGGTGTCCAACTCAACACTAGTTATGGCGTCCAATACCAGGGTATTCTCCTGTTTGACCCAAGGGTCAAAGACAGGGCTACTCGCACAGACCATGTCGCTACAGGAGCGCATAGGTCTTGTTGCGGACGGACTCTCGCTGTCAGTCCTTTCAGACTGCCCCGTCGAGGTCAAAGGGGATTCTACCAGATCAGGCAACGCAGCTCGAGAGCTGGGGCCTTCCGCTGTAGTTTGTGAGCTAGATAGTATATTAACGATAAAGTTTCCGAAATCGTCGTGCACCTCTATGTTCTTTTTGTGTGCAGGGGTAGAAACTGAGCTGGCTCTAGCGCAAGTGCATGAGCGAAGGTTGTATGTGTTGTTAGAAGACATTATTGCTTTTCCTTCAATAAACATGGTGGGCCAGACCAGTTGATGAAGGGTTCAAGGTGAGAAGTAAAGGAGGACTGAGGAAGGTTAAAAAATATGTGACAACAGGTAGAAGTTATTTAGACTTTAAGTGGTGGCACAACAAACAGAGACTTTCACGCAAGGTTAACCAGATACCAGTCCGGTGTAATTTGGGAGAGTACTACGGACTTCGATACATAACACAACTCTAAATACTATCGGTGCGTATGAAGCCCGTGATTAAGAAATAACAAATAAGATAAAAAGTGAAACAAACGGTCACAAGGTAATGCTAATCCCAGACCTCCGATTAGCCATGTCTATCGATCTTCTAAGTCTTGGCTCTGCTTTCATCGTCAAGGCGCAGACACCACACTGATCACCTCTAATTCACTGACGAGTGTCTCGAAAGGCCCAGTGACAAGACAGATGGTGCATTCCACCTGGAACACATAAAATAGTTAGCCATGCTGTGAAGAGAGGGGGAAAATACATGCTGCTGCAGTGGAAAGATTGAGCGAAAGGCAATGACTTGTGCACATAACATCCATTTCTGAGATTTCTCATCAACTTGGATCCAGTGAGCTGTGAGCCCAAGAAATGCTGCTTTTGTTTGGTCTTGTCATATCCTGTACCTCCGGACCTGGAACTCTGGATCCTCCCCTATGAAAGTCTGGGTCTCCATCCTATTCTCCATCCTGTTGTCTGCCTGGTGCTCCACCTTCATCTCTGGACTCACACCTATCTCCTTTTAGAATATTGCTCTCTGGCTACCGGCTGTTCACCTTTCTGTTTTGCTTACTGATCCGTCCGTCTGCACTTCATTTCCAACTTCATTTCTTTGATCCATTGTACACTTACTAATAGACTTTCCATATGCTTCAGGCATAGCTTTTACTTTGCTGACTGATTACTTACATGATATCTACAGTATATAAACTCCTGTAAAACTTCGGTACCTCCTTGGTTTGGATATCATCTTAGTTCCTGCTCATTCCTGTTTCTCTGGACTTGAGTCTGATCTCTTGTCCACCTCCAAGTCTTAGGTTTAATCCTTAAGACTATATCTCCGGCTCTACCTTGGGGTAGTCTATCTCTGTTCTGTTTCTACTCTGGACTTTTCTGAAGTAGTCTTACTCTATTTACTCCTAGCCTTCCAGAGTTCCGCTGAACTCCCCCTGTGTCTGACTTCCCTTCTGCCTCTCAGAAATTAAGGGCACTTACTCAGGTAAGGGGCACAGCACACAAGCTGAAGCCAAGCCCTTTGAGTTATTCTTTCATTGAGCACGACCTTAACAGGTCTACAGACCAGAGATCGGTTGTTGTTGAAATGTGCCTGGTGTTTGCAGCCTAGACATAGATATTGAGCAAGACTGCAATAATTAGCTACTATAAGTGAGTGACTTACCTGTAGTTCGGTTTTAAGATCCTGTAGGAAAGAAGGAAAAGCATTGTGTATATAGGTAGTGATGTTGTGAGTTGTTGGTAAGTCTGCTTTAGTGACGGTTGGTCGCATTGCAGCAAGGCAATTTCTGAACATCACATTGTTTGCAACTGCAAGTGACTTCTGAAGTTCCCACAATCTGAGTCAGTATGCATTCCACACTTCAATATGCCCCATCAAATTCACAACTTACCTGGTCGTCACACACCACAAACTCTGCTACGGCGTGTAGCACATCATTTCTTGAAAAGGTCTTCATCTGTGCTTTATCAAACATCCCATTCAAACACTGCTGGTTCGCAAGTTTCTGATGCTTTGAGTTCTTTGTTTCCTTCTGCTTCTTCAGTAGCTCTCAAGGGATCACATGATGGTTTTCGCATATCCCCAGCTTGCTGCACTCTGTCTTGTACAGATTGTAGTGGCTATGAGTATGCTGGCAGCACAATGAGTTACTACTGAGGTGGAACACCTTGCGCTTCCCATGTTTTGCAACAAAGTTCTCATCTTGCCTTTGAAATCCAGGTGAGTATTCATATCTCTGTAAGCTGTGATTATGCTTCTGGCTCACTTGCAAATATTACACCAGCGCCCTCTCTTTGCCTCTACTATGCCATTCAAGCTGGTGAACTTGACATCACAATGATCAGAGAATATGATCAACATATCATTGGCGCTATTCTTCTTGGTCTGTACTTGGTCTGGAAGATCTGCCCAGTGTCTTGCATCTAGGTCATTCTTGTTCTAATTTTTTGATGTTAAGCTAACATATTTTCATTAGATATCCAGTGGTGCAAACTTACTACAGATTCCTCACTGTCACCATGACTGCTACCATTGTCATTAGTGTTTTAAAGTCCAGTTACTGGACCGAAAAAAGACCGACAACCCAACTGGACCATGAATGGTTGCAACCGGACCTTGGTTGCAGTTGCACTCTATTTTGCTAACCCCGGTTGTCGGTTGCCTGACATTAGTTAAATTCCCAGGACCGCTGGAAAACCGGTCGCAACTGGTCACAAGTCAAACTGGTTGCACATTGACACAAGAACTATACCATGAGACATGTAATGAAAGTAACTACATGGTGACTAACTCGCCCTCGTCCTGATCCCACTTGACCATGTCATTCTTGTCCAACATAAGCTCCACAAATTCCTGCAATGCGACTTGCTCGATGATTGATGCGTTCGTAGCAGCCATATCAATGATGGAATCCCGCCATGCATGCTTGAGGACCTGTAGTTGCTCGAATTTGTCAGAACCAAGATGTGAGCGACGATCAGTTGCAATTTCTGCACCCACTGAGAATAGCTGCTCACATGGGACAGAAGATGCTGGAATTGCACAAACATCCATTGCAATTCTTGAAAGGGTAGGGTAGATAGATGAATGTTTCTATGCAACATTAAAAAAGAATAGTAAACATACTAAATAAACTCACCGACCACCACTGAATGATGTCGGTATCCTTCGTAACATCCTCTGGCATGTCTTTGAGGTAATGGCGAAGCTTGGCTGCCCATCCAGCATTGTGCTCATAGATGGCCTGCTGAACTAACATGTGGCGATGTTGGTCATACTCAGACTCAATGGTCGAGTCACCGTCAGCATTAGTAGTATCACCAGTTCCTGAGCTTGTGGGAAGTGGTTGGTGTAAGTCCTTAATATTCCTTCATTGTCTTTTCAACTACCTTGAGTGCTTCATCATGCCAGTCTTTGGCATTTTGATTTCCTGCAGCATGCTCTCTGGCTTGTTCTTCAGGACCTCCCCATGCCATCTTGATATATGCGAGTTTGTAGTATGGGTGCAGCACTGTATATATAATCAGTCAATTGACAGTCACATTGAATTATGATATAGCAAACATACCAAGGGCAAGAGCATAGACTGGCTTATCATCCAACTTGTTGTAATACTTTTCGATCTTTGTGAGACCACGTTGAAGGGCTTCCTTGTACAACACAAATTGTATAAGTCCGCACTTCGATTCCCAAGCTGTTTGCAGTTCCTCCATAGCAGGTATTGCACGCCATAGTGTTGGCAGGCATTCAGAAGAGAAGTATTGTTGGATGTCATTGGCATCCTAAGAAAATGTTAGTGGGTGTTGCTTAGATGCTGTTTGTGACTTACTGATATCATAACTTGAGTATCATTCACGTGCTCCCAGTCTGATGACTTAAGGCTAAACACGGTCCATGGGATATGCTTTGTGACATGTCCATGATGCCGGATGGATGTGATTGGTCCAAAAAGCTCGTCAGCTCAATTCACAAAGAGATTGATAGCCTAAATAGAAGGTCAGCATCGATGAACCACATAAAATTGTTAGTGTACCTGCCATAGGTGATAGGCACAGACCAAGCATCCCATCAGCAGTCCCCCAGCGCACATTACTATGAAGAGGGATCTTGAGCTGGTCTTTTGATGCCACACTTGCCTTGCAGTGTCTCGAAATACTCGATGCGCTGTCCCAAGCACTGAATCTTCAAGCCATTAGATAAAATAACTTGCCAGAAATAATGAGAACATACCTTGATGGCCAATGTATGTATTGCAGCAACGACATCAAGTGAGTGTCCAAGAACGTGGTTGTTAGGCAGTGATGGGTTGAACTCCCATATAGCCATTGTAGTCTCGACATTGGCAATGCGTGTGATGACTGACATAACGTCAGTGATGGCAAGATTAAGGACATGGGCAAGACAGGGAAGGCAGTGTTGAGTAGCATCAAAGTTGTAGATATGACGGCGGTGCAGTAGTGTCTCGATGTTATCGCAAGTTGTGTCATTGTTGCTGGTATTGTCTGCAGTAAGACAGAACAGCTAGTGGAGGCCTGCATTAGCGTCTCAGATGACAGACCAGTAGAAATACGTACCTTACTTGAGTGCGCTGTGATAATTCCAGCACGCTCACACAGACCCACAAGATACTGTGCCAGGTTGTGCCCACTGTGTGCCCCAGATATACCTCTAAATGCAATAACCTGTGAAAATAGTGTCCATGAAGTTTCACTAGCCTCAATCCAGTGTGCAGTAAGGCCTAAAAATGCAGCCTTGGTTTGATCAACAGACCACAAGTCAGTTGTTGTTGAAATACAGCCAGTTGTGGTGGCCCTGAGACATGTTAGCCTGAGATAGAGGAGCAACTAGTAGTAGGGATGACTCACCTGCATTTTGGCCTTGAGTCCCCCAATGAAATTTATGAAAGAGTTGTGAATATAAGACTGACACATCATGGGCTGAGGGTATGTCCACTGGCATAGCGCCTGGCTGCATTGCCACCAGGCAATTTCTAAATGAGTGGTTGTCAGCCACTGCAAGGCTCTAATATACAACAGCACTGATTTCAGCACTTATCAACTTGCAGCAATGTATGATAATCACTCACCTGATCATCACAGACTGACAAACTTGGCAACCGCATGCAAGATATTATCTCTTGAATACTCCTTTGACTTCTGCTTCTTCTGAAACATTCCATCAAGGCTCTGATTTCCCAGTTTCTTCACTTCCTGCCTTCTCTTCACTATGTCGCATGGTATCGCATGGTGATGCTCTTGCAAACCCAGTTCTTCGCACCTGCTCTTGTACAGCTCATAATGACTCCGGATGTGCTGCCAACAAGACGAGTTACTTCCAACATGAAACATCTTATGCTTCCCATTTTTTGCAACAAATTTCTGATCATTTCTGTGGGCACAACATACTAGTAAGTCATTGTGATTTATTTAATTGAATTTATCTACTCACTTGCATATATTGCACCAGCGTCCCTTCACTGTTTCGATATTTCCATTCATTTCGCAAAACTTGACTGTGCAACGATCTGAGAACACTGTAAGTACATCATCTGTGCTGTGCTTTTTTGTTTTCCGTGCATCAGGTACAATCACATGATGTATTTCTTGCAAGCCATCGCTGTCCTGCCATCAAATACATTCAGCTAACATCCAATCAACAGGCTACAATGAAACAAATTGTAATCACCTTCATCTTTGTTATCGGTATCATCTACAGGCTCAACTTCAACCTCTTCCTCATCGTCCTCGCCCTCCAATTCAACCTCCTCAATGGACTTTCGACAAGCACATTTTGGCTTCGACAGTGCTGGAGCCTTTTTTTTTCAAAGTTTGTCTGCATTCAGCCTCACCCTCACTGGTTTCTAACTTGCTCTTGCTAGTCACAGCTTTCCTTTTCTGACTCTTGCCTTTGGCAATGAAGGCTTTGACTTTGGTGGCCATGAGCGCTTTGCTTTGTCAGATACCATCATGGCAGTGGCTTTTTCAGTTGGTCATTGTGTGTGTGTAGACTTGCCACCTGACATAGCAGAGAGATACTAAGTTCAATGTAGTGGAGGGGGGGATTCAAACAGAAGGCTCTAGTAGCACTAGTAGTCGCACCAGTATTTTCTTATATGCTACAGCATCATGTATACCATGTTCCTACATGACTCACTATGTACTTGGTCTAGACCGGTTCAACCTGGTCCGGGACTGGTTTTATGAAGACTGGTTGCAACTGACTGTCATATGGCCCTGCAACCGAAGTTAACCGGTCTTTGAGAGTTTGGTCCAGTCTTGTGTTAGTGCTGCTAAAAACTAAGACCAGTTTGGGTCCAGTTGTGCCAAAAAAGGCAAAAAAACCGGACCAAACCAGACTTTAAAACACTAGCAGTATGGGGCATTCGGTACTACATAAGCATTTGCCCATGTCTTGATCTCACCTATGTCTATTTCCAACATCTCTAGGCAACCTCCCATCTCTTGTGATCCTCCATTAGCAGTCTGCATCCACATCCACACATCTTGGTTGATTGGTGCATTTGTCTTCCTCCAAACATCCTCTCGAATCACAACAATTTCTGATCCTTCATCCAGCAATCCTGTTAGGTACCGTGCCGACTCAGGTAGCAGAGGGGTTGGGGCTTGGCTTCAGCTCTTGCACTACGCCCTTAGCCGAGTATGTGCCCCGAATTTGGAGCGGGTCCGACGATAGGACAAGTGGTCCGCTTTGGTCCGCTTTGAGGGTCGGGGAGTGAGAGCTACTAGTGGCGGGCCGACTAGGAGCGGAGCAGAGAAGGCGGGGAGTGATGCGGAGGGTGGATAGGAGCAGGGAGAATGTTTGGTAGGGGCGGGGAAGGCAGAGGGTAATGCGGAGGGACAAGGGAGAATATTTGATAGGGGCGGAGTATAAGGGAAAGACTTAGAGCACGGCTCTAAGTTGGAGCGGAGGGTCGGAGGGTTGGAGGTGACAACAAGTTGAGACTTGTGTCCAGAGGAGGCAAGGTCCTACTGAGAATTCTCACAAGATGTAACTGCGAGAAGACAAGTAATATTAAGACTGAGGAAAATATCTAAGTACATGATATGTTATATACTACTATGTATGAGGCAGTGACCAGGATAACTATGTTTGTAAAGTTATGTACCAAGGATATAGTTTGTAAGTATTTTACACAGGCAAAGACATAAGTCGGAGTGGATATCAATATGTACGCGTCGGATCAGCAATCGGGCGGTAATAGGAATTACCGGTGATCTGGAAGTAAGGGTCTATGTACCAAAGGGGAAAGTATATATCTAAAAGGGGAAAGAGATCCAGTTGAATGGAGAGGTTATGGAAGGGGACTGGTTGAGCGGTTGAGCAGAAGCATAGGGGTGGAATGCGGACTTGTGATTGGACAGAGCGGAGGATGGATGGAGCGGAGGGGGTTGGAAAGCGGAGCGGATATCAATATCGGAGCGGTCGGATCAGGTATATGACAGGGAGGGAGGTAACAGTGGCCGTGACTGCAAACAATGCTGCTGCTGTTGCTGTTGCTGTTGCTGTTGCTGCGGTTGCTGGCAGGATTGGAGGAGATGGAGAGGTATGGAGGGTAACAATGGCCACGACCATGAATACTGCTGCTGACAAGATGGGGGGTAACAGCAGCCGTGGATGCGATTGCTGTCGCTGCTGCTATTGGCCAGTAAATGAAGTCAGAATAGTAGACACAAAATTCAAGTAATACTTACATGTGTCAACGTGCCCACACCTTCATATGGAGGAACATGTCACTATCAACATGCTCGACAACCAAATACTCACCTTGGTGTTGAGGATCGGGGGACAAAAGGGCTCCTCGAATGAAGGACTTGAGTGGGACGATAATCAAATCAGCTCTCGGAACAGCTTTGACCTGAGTAAGCCTCAGGTCTTGGTCGATCCTGCGAGAACCACCAACAATGCCAGCAGTATAAGGCTGAACAAGTGTGAATTGGAAAGCGCCGACATCTGGAATTTCGCATTTAAACATTAGTATGAGCCGAACAAAGATGGCCCTTTCTGTGGTAAGCTGTATGAGTGCACAGTCAAAGCGTGGGTGTCCATGGAATGACGGATTGCACCAGAGGTGGTATGTTGACTGCCTCCAGTCAACAGTATTCTCATAATTGACCTTGAGGTAGCGATGCTCGTAGATCTGAATGATATATCATAAGTTTGTGCAATGAAGAATAATCAATCAACATACCTGGAAATCAGCCAGAATGGTCACCCATCTTGTCAACTGGTACCCATAAGTTGGCAGCAATGTGTTGACGAAATCAGAAAATTTCCTGTGGAAGCCTTGAAACGCTCGATCTTGGATGCCCAGCCTCATCTCAATATCCTGGATAGTAGAGCAATTTTGAGGAGAACTGAGCTTGATGTGTCCATCGAAGGCGATGTGGCCAATGTCATCACCATCTGCGGCATCACCCAAGGCCTGCAGGCAACACTGTTCATCAAGTGTGTCCACATGTCCTCACAAAAGCAAGGATGCGCATTTGTGGTGATCAACACGAAGGATCTACAATTGTATACAACATATTAGCAATATAATAGCATAATAAATGAATGAACGCGCATACCTGTTTAGCAACATCTTTTCCGTTTGAGTGAAAAAGATAGGCCGCTTTCAGGGGGCCATGGAGCTTCTCATTAGGGCGTGTACTAAAATTACATGCCACACCTTTCCTTATGATATCCCACCGTGCGTGAGTCCAAAGATGTGTCTTTGGGAAGTTCCAGTCTGTCTTGAGACCTTCAACAGAGGAAGTCATAGCGTATTCCACATAGTCCTGAGATTTAGTCAGTAAGGATGATTCAATGAAAAGAGAAAGGATTACCTTGAGAGCAGCATCAAAGACAAGGAATTCAGCATCTAACATTGCAAGTGTTCGCTCTGTATGCATGTCAAGCCCAATAAAGCTGTCCAGTTACAGATAGCTGCAAATGACACGAAGAAGGCGATAGCCTTCTGGACTAGCTCTGTGTGTCAAAACAGGGAGCGCTGCGTAGAACACTTGCTTTACAATAGTTAGCCAAGCATATCTATTAATACTAACTTGTTTGTACTTACCATGACCAAGTCCCGCTTCTTGTTGCCATCGGTAAATGTGACATGGATGACGGTTGTGAAATGAGTGAGATCACGCCATCAAGGGAACTCCTCAACACTGAAAGTAGGTTTAGAGTGATGTCAATACAGTAGTGACAAAGAAATAACTTACAATTTCTCAACTGCCGCTAGGGCTTCATGTCTGACATCACCAAGGATTATCTTTAACTCGCCCAACAAATGCTTCCCTCCCATACCGCCATGCACTGTATGCAACCTGTCAATGCTCATTGCATCATGAGGGTCAGAGTGCTCGATAAGCCAGAGGATGTTCTGAATGTAATGTATCAGTAGAATAGAATGGTAGAATTGAAACACATGACTTACAGTGACTGCACGTAATCCTAGTGCCTTTAAAAGCTCCTCGCCTTGAGTTTTGCTGCATCTGTAAACATCAAGTGCAGCCTGCACATCTTTTGCAGACCTGATTGCAAATGTCTTGGACAAGTCAGAAAGTTCTTCATGTGGTACGAGGCACACGGGGCACGGGCACTTGCATTGCACACTGCGAATAAGAGACATCAATAAGCGGCACACTCACTGTTCTTCGTAGTCTGCAGAAAGTATTAGTATTACAGGGAATAACCAGCGCATTATTTTGTTGTAGCACATATACAAATATCCAGTCTTTGAATATTGCTCAAGGTTGACGAGAAGCTTGGCGAATGCTTCATGCCATATGACACGCTTAAGGTTGATGTATCCTGGTTTCCCGTGTTCGGACGCTTCTTCGTCAATCTACAATATTAATAGCGTTATTAATAGGATCACTGATGAGCGCTGACTCACAATTGGTAGCCAACCAACAACCCGACCACCGCCAATCCCCTCGTCGTTTCAAATGTAGACGGGTAAATTCGCACAGCGAGCCATGACCGGATATCCTTTCACAGTGCCATGCGAAGACAGCTTAGTCTTGTCTGCATACAGTATGAAGCAAAAGGGGGCAGTATTGTCAAGGTTTGACGGAAGACGGGACTGATTACATAGATGCGATCACATTAATATACACACATCGAACATAATATTAACATACTTGGATTTCACACCACTGATCACCTGTCCACAGTTCATTGAAAAAGCACTCAAAGTCCGTGTCATTGTGTTTGTAGACGTGCTGCGCATCCCAAACAAAATGCGGTGCGAGTAGTGGGTTATCCAAAAGGTCAAGGGCCCAGTCCCATAACGGCCTCGCGTGTACCTCAAAAACTTGTTGCTCCTTCTTGTACAGTACCTTGATTTCATGCTTGGTAAACTATACAACAAACTAAGCAGTCAGACAGATATCATGCGATTAAAAAAACACATACCGGCATCAACTCAGCCGCAGCATTATCTAATGCTGTGCAAAGGTCGGCCTCATTTTTCAGTGTTACCTGAGTGTCACCCTGCACTATGCGAGCAATAAGACTGAGAAGCCTGTCGACCTGACCCTTGTTGAGAGCAGCATCAAGCACGATTTCAGAGAACTTGAAATCTCCACGCGATTGGAATGGGCGCCAAGGTACTTCATCTACAGGAGGCACTTGTGTCTCTGGGGTGACGCTGAACTCCTCGAACCTTTGATAGAGCGTTTCACGGCCACTACGAGGGTGAAATTCCGTTTTGAACTCTTGAGGGTGTTCAATATCCACTGCAGGCTGGTGTGGGATGTTGGGACCAGGGTTGCTGGTCATGCTAGCGTCAGATAGGACTACAACATAGATAATAGTCACTGATTTGTCAACAAACGAAGAGAGAAGTACGTACCTGGGCTCTGAACACCCTCATTTCCAGCATCAAGTGTGCTTGTCCAGACCAACTATAGGTGCTGAAAGATGTTTGAAGTGTCAGAGTGAACAAATCGAGTGGGATGATGATGACATACCTGGTGCTTGCGGTTCTGAATTTGCAGAAGAGTTATCTGCGATGATGCGCGATGGGCCAGCCGCTACTGCCACAGCTGTCGCTCGTCGAGTTTTCTTGTGGCGTGCTATTCAAGTGTGATCAAAATGATTGTCTCGAATATCAGCAAATGAAAGCAAGTAATGGATCACTTGGACTCACCTAATCGCTGATCTCTCTCATATTCTTGATTGAAGGCCTCTTGACCCTCTGCATCGTGCATCTTGCACACTGATTCGTACCGCTTGATGCCTTGGGACTTGTACATATTGCCGCAATGCGGGCACTGAGACCTGCTAGTTAGCGTCTTCTCGGTGTAATTATACTTACCTCGACTTGAGTGGTTTGGGGCCATGACTGTTAGATACTATGAAAAACAGTTTGTACACATTCATATACAGGAAACAAGGACGAGAAAGAAAGTCGAGAAAGAAGTAGAACTTGAGGCGTTTATTAATACATATATCATTGATGCCATCTGACAAGGCCACGTAATAAGATTCGTCACAATACTAATAGCCCCTTTGACAAGGCCTTATATTATATTTTCTCTGCTATCCTTAAAAGGCACTTACAAAGCACCTCATGACGCATATGACCAGACTTGTAAGCCGGCAGCATTATAAAGGTCGTTTACCTTTTTCTGACAGAGTGTCATATCCCATACCTCCAGATCCGGAATTCCGGATCTACTTCATTAAAGTCCGGTCCTCCGTCCTGCTATTCCGCCTGGTGCTCTGCCTTCATCTCCGCACTCACCCCTAACTCCTTTTAGATTAGCTATTGCTCCGGTTACCGGTTAGGTCCTATTCCGCTATGCTTACTAATCCGTCCATTCTTACTTCATTTCCGACTTCACTGCTTTGATCTGTTACACTTAGTAATAGACTTTCCATATGCTTCATACATAGCCCTTACCTTTGCTGACTGATTTACTTACATGATACCTACAGTATATAAACCGCTGTAATACTCTGGAACTCCTTAGTTCGAATATCATCTTAGTTCTGCTCATTCCTGCAATCTCTGGACTTGAGTCTCACCTCTTGTCCACCTCCGAGTCTTAGGGGTTAAACCTTAGGACTAATCCTCCGGCTCTACCTTAGGGTAGTCTAACCTCTGTTCTGTTTCTACTCCGGATTTCTGTAGTAGCCTTACTCCGTCCCCACATAGTCTTCTGGAGTTCCGCCGAACTCCACCGACATTTGTCCTCCGGAACTCCCCGGACTTCTGTCAGACTTCCCCTCTGCCCACCGGAAATTAAGGGCACATACTCGGGTAAGGGGCGCAGCGCACGAGCTGAAGCCGAAGCCCTTTGAGTAACCTTCCCCTTGAGCACAACCTTAACATGGAGAGACCGAGCAAGTTAACCAAGAACTCGAAGTCTACCTCCGGATCTTCTGCACTAATGACGCAACTGGCTGGGCATCCATGCTCCCTCTTGCTGAGTTCGTCCACAACTCCCGTCATCACTCTGCTTGCGGTACATCACCATTCTATCTCATGATGGGCTATCACCCCAAACATCTCCCCGACCTTCATCTGAAGAGCGATATTCCCAACGTCGAACAATGGCTCATCATCCTCAACAAAGCCCGTGATGAAGCCTTAGCCGCACATGAACTCGTGCGCAATACCATGAGACAACGAATCACATCTAAATTCATACCATTCAGCAAAGGCGACAAGGTTTGGCTAGAGTCCAAAAATCTTCATCTTGGATATCCTAATCGTAAACTCACTCCTAAACGAGAAGGACCATTCACCATCACCGACGTCTTGTCCCCTGTCACCTATTGACTCTCACTTCCCGCGCAATGGTGTATCCATCCTGTATTCCACACCACGCTCCTATCACCATTCAAAGAGAACAATACTCATGGTCCCAACTTCGTCGCACCACCACCTGATCTCGTAGATGGCGAAGAGGAACAAGAGATAGAGGCCATTGTAGGCCATAGAGGTTCAACCTCACGCAGATATTATAATGTCAAGTGGAAGGGATTCCTGAGTTCCGAGAATGAATGGATGATGGAGAGACAAATGGGTAACACTTCTGATATTCTTTCTTCTTATAAAAACGCGCATCGTCTTTGATTTCTTTGATTTCTTTTGTAGTATTCATGGACTACTACCCTTACAACAGGGGTAATGTTACGGTTCTCTTTTCCCCTATCTCAGATTACTAAACCTTCTATGACCTTCTCTCTCATTCTATTGTACGATTCCCTATTCTCTTTTCTCATTGGTTGTTGTACCCTCATACAACTTTCTCTTCCTTTATTATATTCAGACTCTGCTTTAACTTCCTTATTTAAACCATCGTCTCATACTTGTACTCTTTAACTTGACCTACGCAGACCTTCCTTGGGTAATACCTGAGTAACATAGACTAGGGTCTACCAATCTATTGCTTCACTCGTATGACTTAGTCCTAGGGGACTACTAGAACTTTCGACTCTTGTTTCTGCTAAGACGTCTGACGACGCTGAGCGTAACACAGTGAGCGACAGGACGGAACTGTCTGTAGTACTGTAAAAGTTCAGTCTCCATTGAGATTTCATTGTCGACACTGTTAATAACGACATGCTCGAGGTCGTGAATACAATATCACTGACCCTTGGCCACCCCAGAGTACTGTGCTAAAATACTGTCCTTAAACGCAGTGAAATTTTTACTTTCATATCCAATAAGCGTTACCCAAAATCGCTTCGTCTGAAGGTTGACATAATGAACGATCAACTTGCACTTTTCTGCATCTGTAAGTGCACACGCCATCACTAAGTCTTTGAATAGCTCGAAGAACTCGAGGAGTTCGGAAGTTTTGCCATTGAAAGACAGCGCTCTGGTGGAGTTTGCGCCAGGCATCACATTTATGCCTTTAGATGCATTAGACATGATGATAGGTGGTTGAGAAGGTGCAAATGGTGCTATGGCTGGGGGTGGAAGGACGATAAGCGGATTAGGGATTATAGCTGGCTGCAGAGTTGCGATCGTGGAGGTCTGGGATTAGCAGTGTGGGGAATTCCCCCACTGTAGGTGTAAAACCCCATCCTTTCCGCATCATCTCACATCAGTTCCGCGTTTCCCACACATCGTCTGATGGGTTCCACATTCCTGCGCATCCTTTGGAACCCGCCTGCACTATCCAATATTCCCGTGCATCGTCGGACGACCTTTGCATGTCCTGTCCCCATCCTTCCAGGTCCATTGGTATGCTGTATTGCTCTTCCCGTTGTTCCTAACATTATCCGGATCAAACTGACACATGCCCTTATGGCTCGGACCCCTATTCCGGAGTATTGCGCCCATGTGCACTGCCTCCCTTCACTTCCGCTTCCTGAGAACTTACTACCTGTACCTCAGTGTTCCTTGAAAATAATCTTCCCTTTAAGTAGTGGTACTCAGGGCTTGGGTGTTTTTTATTGAATCCCATCTTTTACCTTCCCACTTTTCCTTCACCTTACTAGAGGACCGCTTTGACTTACGCCCACTATCAATCTAACCTTGTGATATACTTCCTTCGACTTCACCTGCGAGTTCCGATGAATCAGTACGTTCCACGCTTTATCCGTTTGAGTTCTGTTTCATTCCTTTCCATTCCGCTTGAGTTCCGCTCAGGTTCCACTTGTTCCGCGTGAGTTCCGCTTGTTCCGCTTGTTCCGCATTTTTGCAGATCCTCATCCTACCTGCGGGAGGGTTGATTAGGGTCGTTTAGACAGAGACTAGTACTCCCCAGTAGCAATCCCCTTTAGGGTCGAACGTGCTTGCTCTCAAGTGAGGCAGTAGGCAGCAAAGACCCAACTGTGTAGTAGATCGATTTCTCGCTACTGCACTTGTTGTACCCACAGCGGTAATACTTTTCAAGGGATAAATTCGGGTTTTGGAATGGGAGGGATAGTTGAGGTGGCAGGAATTGTTTTGGTATTTACTGGTTCAGGGGATATCAGAGGGAATGTAGGAGTTTTGGGGTCGAATACGGCCGGTCTAAGGGTAATTTTCAATTGAAAGGGGAGGACGGGGAAGGGTGAGTTTAAGCGCAGCTGCTGACTTATGGTATCATTGCCTGAGAGGGAGGATTCAGATGGATCGTCTGAAGTATCTAGATGCTGGGTGCGTTGATCTAGCTTGGAGTGGATTGGCATTAGGTGAAAATCTGATGGTCTTGAAGGTGGTTTGATGGCTGATGCGTTGAGGAACGAGGGTGTGGCAGAGGCTGTGAAGGTATTGGCTCAGGTTCTGTACTTTTTGGGAGTGGCGGTGTTTGTCAAGGGAGCCAGCACAGGTGGCTTATCTGATTGCTGTTGACGTATCTGTGCGTTGGGATGATAGTATTTAGTAATGGTGAGAATAAGTGGTCAAAAGACCGGGTTCTAAGAGAAAGACTAGAAGATCAGTAATAGCTCAGCGAATTGGTCTCGGGGTGCAAGGGGTTGCTCAAAAACAATTCCCCTCATGGTGGGCTCCAAATTTGTAAGGCTAGTTGTGAGTTCGAAGGGGAAATGTAATGAGACGAAGTAGATAAGTGACGAGTGCAACGGCAAACAAGACGAGTGGAGAAAACATATAAGACGAGTACTTTCTGCGATAGTTTTCGGTTGAGCTTGGAGCGGGGAATCAGCATCTGGGATTCTGCTATCAAAAGTGAGAGTACATGGGCAATTTATATATGTGCGAGAGAGTCATACTAATCCAAAATGAGTTGAAGAGCATGTGGAACGAAAGAGATATCGGTGAGGAAACAGGTATAGTGGAAGGAGAGCACAAGGTAGGATGACAGTAAGAAATGGAGAAGGCTAAAGAGGGATGTATCCCCATAACTCGGATGCGAAGAATTGAGCTCTTCACATCAGTGAGTCACGTGGCTGCACTGAACATGCAGTGAGTTCGAGTGTCTTCGTTTTGAAGCTAGGTCGGTGCATAAAGGACATACTGTCCTTACACATCTGCAGCTGATTGGTGAGAGCGATAGAATGCTGCACTGAGTCATCAGGAACAGCAGCTCTGGTAATTCTAAACAAGTATTTGCACCGCAGGGATTCCAGAAGAGCGTCGGCTGCACAAGCAGCTGAATCAGCGTTTCTGTTGTCCTCGAGGAATGCTTGAGCTGCTTCCATGGGACGGTTCTCTGACAAGTGTAGCTCCGCGACCTCGTAGTACCTTGAGTGAGACTTGAGAAGGGAAACACGAGCATAGTCCAAGCCATACGCCTCCAAAAACTCAAGCTCCTCGTCAGACGAGGAGAATAGAGGCAATGGGGCTCTGTGCAATTGCCATTAAACATAATCATCATAAAGCTGCAACCACTTACTGATTGTTGCTTTTGCGGCAGTAATAAAGCCGGCATGCAGTCCACAAGGCTGTCGTGGTCTCCTCAGGTATTATTGTGCGGTAGTCAGTAAGGACACGGAGCATCCGGTCGAAAGATCCAGCCTTGCAATATCTCTTCACGGCTAGACCGAACTCTTGAGCCGCAAGATAGATATCAGCAGCTTTGAGGTCCTCTCCTCCTCGAACATAGCAAGCCGCCGAGGTGTGGTAATATTGACATTTCTCGTTCCCTGTCGCAGCTGTGCCACAGTCAGCAAAGGCATCTGCTGCCATGATAAAAGCTTTTTGTTGGACATTGGGCAAGGCCACTCCGACGCTGGAACGCACTGTTTCCCGTAGTAGATAAGCTTTGCAAACCTTCACTTTGCAGAGACAGCCCACACACTGAAAGCAGTGCAAAGCTTGCGAGTAGATCTTGTGCAAGAACAGTGAGCGACCAGAGGATGCCCATTCTTCTGGATCGAAGGAGACAACTAGGGGAGGAATATCGCTGTCGTGGGCACAGTTCTGGATAAGATTTCGAGACGTCCAGAAAATCTGAAGTAGAGGATTGTTGGATCAAGTAGTGCTCGACATGCAGCTGGTCTAAACATACACACATAGCATCAGACTTATCAGACCTGTCAAAGATCTGCATGTTCTTCCTTGCTTGGGTGATTCCCACGTAGAGGTGTTTCAACTGATGAAGATAAAAGTGAGTAATGTCCATTCCTTTGTTGACAAGCGGTTGCTTACTTCACTGCATATTCCAGCATATCGGGTCTTGTCGCAGTAAAAATTGGGTGTATAACCTTGACTATCCACCCCATTGAGAATTACCTGCCACTGCGACGCGTCTATGATGGAATCTTTGAAAAAGCCATACAAGAGAACCTGACCGGAGTCAGTCATCCACCAGGTGGCCAAGGTCAGCATTCTCACATTGTCGAACTCAAGGCCTTTGCTTTCATAGAGCGTCCTGGGCAGACACATGAACATAAATATCTTGGAGCACAAACAGATGGCCCACATAATGATTCCAATATCACCTACTTGTTCTCGTAACTTCTGGCATGCTGCATCGTTACGTACAAGTATGCCTATAGAATAGTGTTTCAGGCCACAAATAGAGTATTGTGCAGAAGCCTTTTACTTACATTGGTTAGGTCCAAGCTTGTCTCTGTGAGAATCTTAGCAAGGGAACGATAAAGCCTGAGCTACTTACCTCTCCCCAACTAAAAACTGTTTGTAGTGAGTGTCATCATCTGGGCCTGTGAAAAAGATTGGCTTCACTCCATCCACCATCCCCTTTTCAGGTTGGAGGTGATCAATTGAATCTGGCCAGAACTTCGTGATGAGCTCGATGACAGAATGAGCACAGTTCACAGTGCCACCATGTGACCTATAGTTCATGCCCAATTGGAACATTGTTGGTTGATGCACAGGAGCTCTAGCGGAGTTGACCAAGATACTTTGCCGCTGTAGGAAGATAGATCAATTAAAAATCTGGGAGACAACCACTGGTCGCTAACCTCCACACAATAGATAAACACTTTCAGATTGTCGAACCTGAAGGAACTTCCAGCAGAGATCACTTGCACAGTATCCGCAGCCCAGAAAAGTCTGTCTGGATTCCTACACAATCGCCTCAAAACTAGAGCTGTTATGGTTCTCTTTTCCCCTATCTCACTTGCTTACTAAACCTTCCATGACATTCCATCTCATTCTATTGTACGATCCCCAATTCTCTTTTCTCATTGGTTGTCATATCATTGTACGACTTTCTTTCCTCTTTACTTATTCAGACTCCACTTGTACTCTTTAACTTGACCTATGCAGACCAGGGCCTGCAATACTACTGCTTAACTTGCACAACTTGATACTAGAGTATCACTAGAACTTTTGACTCTTGTTTCTGCTAAGATGTCTAATTGACGCTGAGCGTAACAAGAGCAGAAAGTTCTTTCACACTCTCGTGTTGAACAATGAAATCATGACTTACCCAGCGCATTGATCAACAGATTGTCTTGCACCTCGTCGACATACCTGGTGTACATAATCAATAAAAACCTAGGATTAACCGATCGGGAGATATACCTACAGGTAATCAATTTGTCGACCAGGAAACCGCTGATCTCCTAAGACCTTGAGGATCGCATGCATACTGTTTTGGGCTATATCATCAGGTTTGATCAATGAGGAGCAAAATGACTCGTACCGATCCGCAACATCGAGATGGTATTTATACTTCTTGAACTTCTTGTAAATCTCGAATATATCATAGACACTGTCCATGTGGTTCGCAGAAATCGGATTAGAGCGACGAGAAATGCGGATATAGCTTGAACGGTCGAGAACACCGTCCGGACAGCTCAATGCCTGTTCTGAGCCTTTGATGATACCTATGTGGGGGTTCAGGAGCTGCTTTATTGGATACAGATTTGTACTTGCCCAGAAACTCGCTGAAACCCAACCATGAATCTGGGTAGGACATATAAGCGTATGATCTGACAGCAAAGGAAGCAGCACTACTGAGGTTCTTGGTGAGACCCTGCGGAAAATGTGGCCAATATTGATTTTTGAATACATTATAGGTGACAAGCGAATCATGTGTCTCTGCATCGTCGGTGGTGAAGAACAGCTCAGCGCTACGTCTCGTCTTAGGATCGTCCATGTCGAAGACATCCACTGCAATCATCTTTGCTAGCTGAACAAAATAAGCTTTCAAGAGGGTCTATGAAACACACGATGACATACCTGATCGAAAGTCACGAATAGGGGGAAATGTTTGTCCTCGAGTTGACTGTATCTCATTGGTATATTCATCTGCGACTCAGGAGCGTCGTCATGATCAACAAGATCATTCAGAATGCTTTGTGCCTTGAGTTTGGCAAGTTCTTGCAGCGTAGAGCCAGCCGATGTCAGGGACTTTAGAAGCCTCGTGAAGTCTTCTCCTACTTTTGTCGCCAGCGTTCTAGATTTTGTGACAAAAATCTGATGTGGCTTGGGCATGTCAATGCCACTCGATTCCCAAGCTCGCTGAATGCCAAGGATCTTGTACAGCATCGTCGTCGTTTTTCTGGTGGTGAGATAAATAAGTGACCGATCTTGAGCACAGGATACTTACCCTGTGCCGCTTCGACCCAAGACATAGCACGACGTGGTGCATTCGACGACCTTCCATTCTTGAGAACTGAAGTAACGTCAATCATTAAACTCATTTCAAGACGGTAGGACATACGAGAGCATGAAGGCGTGGTGTACGTCTTCGTTTGCGATGAGACCTTTTGCGAGAATGAGAAATGAGGATAACCGAGTACATGCGGTAACTCACTATGCAAAAAAAGCCTAATATGATATCATCAAGTCATTGCTGATCGAAGAACTGAGCAGATAAACTCACCTGCGAGAACGTTACGTATTTCTCTAGGCTAAAAAATCGTTAATCACAGTGCGTCAGATTGGAAAAAAAAAATCATTCTTACACCAGCAAGGCGTGAAGCTACACCACAGATCAATCACGGTGAAGCTAAAGGATACAAACACTCAACATCGTCCATGTCCTTAGCACTGAGATCCAACGGACTCGCTGGGATTTCTGGCTCGGGTTCCGCCGGCGGGAATGAGGCTGGCAGAATAACATTGTTGGCTGCCTTGGTGCGGAAGATGCATCTGATAGAGTAATGGTTCAGTAGCTTACATCAATAGGTAAGAGGCGTTCTCAACTGTCTGCGATATTCAGCCCCCTTGCGTGCTAGATGGTTGCCCAAGGCATTCCATATTCTGCCAAGCTCAGAGTGTTTATAGATCCCGTACACTTTGATGACTGGCATTCGTGTGAGTGATAGAGAAGCGATGTTCACTCTTGATGCATGACGGCGCACCTTGTCTCTCAGACTACCAAGAATCGGTTTCAGTATCTTTTACACGTCTTTGTGGAAGAATAACATACCTCTCCATCCTGGTCAGGGATGCAATCAATCTGGTACTGTAAGAGAAATGAGGTTATTTTCTTCTCAGTGTGTATTGGAAATTACGTCTACCACGAGCCGTAGATCCTTGGTCAACTTGGCTTCGAAGACCAGAATTCCTGCATCCGTTCCATCGAGCCTCTTTTGATTGTCGCTCGAGAAGTGACCGCGCGAGAGATGTCTGGGAAAATATCAAATTGGCGCTATAGATATCATTAAAAGACGGACCTGATCGTCTTGAAAATGTTCTTGAATATTTCCCGGTCCGCTCGACGGCATTCACGCAGATTGTTATAAGCCTCGGTAGATACAAGGATCCGCCACTCTCCGAACCCATCCGCGTTGTCGAAGTAAAGAGCAGCCTTCATGGGCTGCACCATCGGGTACAGCTTGACTCTGTTGAGCTCTCGACGTCTTCGGGGGACGAAAGTTCAGGTGCGACATCTTTGGCAGACTCTTCTACATTTGGGAAGAGTAAAGCTTTGATGTCGTCCGCTAATTCCGTCCACCGCAGAAGCGAGAGGTATAACTTAGGGGAAGCTGTCAGGGGAAACGTTGACAGGTACATAGTGACCATACATACCGAGAGCACTTGCTTCAGCTCTGCAAGAATGTGAGTGGATAATGCTGTGGCCGCGTCACTCGTGGTAGGCACAGCCACATCGAGCCTGGCGAACAGTGATGTGTTGATACCCGCATGCTGAGGTTTCTGGCGATGTCGCTTGCGCATTTTTTGATGCACTTTCATTTTGACGAATCCTTCATCAGGTTCGATGTCGAAGAGATCGCTCTCGTCTTCAAAGGAATTGGCACTGGAAAATTTCATGGTGCTCAAGGCACGAAGTAAGGGTAAAGTGCCCTCGATGAAGCCTCTGTGGCGGCTGATGTCCCTCAAGACTTCCGTCTCCAGAGACTCAACTGGCAAAGCTAAGAAACATATAGACAGATTGTCCAGAATCTTGCTCGCAAGGGATGAAGGATATTCTTGAGATTTCGTAGGAAAGTCTGTCAAGATCTGCGAGATCATTCTCTCGGAGCGATCCCAAACTATTACAGAGTCAGAGCTGGTAGCGCAAGAAGAAAGTCTGTGAGATACCAGAAATGATATAGGCAAAAACGTGGGGTGATGAGAGTAAGTTTTTGATCGTGGCTTGTAATCCAGTTGCACCTGAAGTTGAGATTGCGTCCAGATGATGTAAGGCGGCTCTAAGTCCTGCCTCGTTGACGATTTGATCTTTGGAGAATAAGTCCAACATGGTCTGTTGAACGAGAGGTACTTGTGATATCGAAGTACTTATATGAAGGGTTGGACAAAGACTTGAGGTGGTAACCAACAATTCAAGAGGCACAAAAGTACAAAGGAGTACGTCGCAAAGCAAGCCTCTCTTATAGTCGAGCGAGCGCCGTGTTTTGAACTTCCGAACATATTGGGGCGCAAATTATGCACCTAAAATTGACACCTGCAGGCAACCTGAAATTGTATGAACGATAAACTTGGACCCTCAATGCATCCAGATTACCGTAAAGAAGGACGCTGATGTACACGTGGAAGAAGGGGCTCTGCTATAATAATAGAATAAGTTTGAGAGGGTAGGATCAAGAACGCAATCTAGTCCTGTCTTTTCTGCGGCGATGCGTGGATACCCTCGTTCATTGGAACTTCTCGTCCTGTTAGGAAGAGGTACTAAACCCAAATATTTGGACAATCGGTCTGCATGAATGTGACTCCCGAAGTCCAAGTACTTGATGCACAGTCACGGCGGTGGTGTGTACCCTTAAGCAACGAGTACCCTGACACGACAAGCTACGAACTCCAAATTTATACCTGCCACGGACTCGAGTTGCTACTCAACCTTGCATCGACCATCTGGCTTGAGCCTGAAGCTTCGGAGGCCTCGAGGCCCAACCTATCAACACAGAAATTAGCAATCTCTGCACAATCCTGAGTCATATGCCACAATCAATATCTTGCTAAGAACTTCGGGAGTACGGCACTCGGCGGGACATACCTCAATCTTTGAGATGATATATTGTCTCCAGTTATAGTAAAAGCTACGCATGTTAGTCCTATAACTGGAGACAGTATGTCCTTTATAACTTTATGAGAGTATAACTTTACGAGAGGAAGTTATAGTCCACCAGTTGATGCGTTGTTGATGTTAAGCTTAAGATGTCTCAGTCTCGCCCTTACAATCAAGCGGACTTTGAAATTATTATTTTTCTCAACCAGCTCGAAAGCCACGAAAGCTCATCACGTACAGGACTAGTGCTGCCAGAGTAATCATACACTGCTGCTGAGTATGCTCGGGGGTTCATGTTTCCTTGCGTATGAAGCTCGAGCAATCACGCCGATCATCGCTTAGTAGGCTTGGAGGCATGAGTCACGAGAGGCTAATGACTTTGTTGCATATGAGGTGCAACTGGTTTTATGGTTGTGCGATGTTGCGGGTTTGTCCTTGAGTTCACTTTCACGTATCTTTTACTTCCGCCCTCCTTCCGACATGCATGTCAGGTGTGCGACTGTCAGTTGATTAACTGGAATAGAGTGCGCAATTAATGATAGAAACATCAGTACTACTATCAACTGTAATACACCACCTGGGTTTCCCAATAGGTAAGCCTTATAAGGCTGGATGATTACGTGTCTCACCCGGCCTTATCTGGCTTAATAGTGACGTTTCCTCAACACCAGCAATAAATGTTGCCCCAAATCATGGGGGTACTTAGAGTATTCTACGCCCGCCTACACTGCTGCTGGTACCTTACCGTCGGCAACGCCCGCTATGTCGGGCCCGTTGTTAGTAATACCGAGCGCCCTTTACCTCCCGACATCTATGGCAGGTTCCCATGCACTTCTCCTCCTGCCACCAACATGTATGGCGTCATCCAGCCGCTCCCGCCCTTTGTCTACCTCCCTGCCTACTACACCCACGGCCCCTGGCTGCCAGGTGGCCTGCACACATCTCCACTATGCAGCACAGGCACATGCCGTCGTCTGCGCCCACCCTCTGCTGATCTACAACGCCCTCCAGCTCCAGCCTTTCCCTTTGCCCACCTTCCAAGCTGCCCACACCTCCACAGACTCTCCACTGTCGTCTAGCACAATTGAACTCATGCACTCTGTAGATTACAATGCCTTCTGGGATGGGGCCATCATTACGAGGTGCGCTCTGTGCATGACGATGCGTTGTAGAACTGGGACAGCGCTGTCATTCAAAGGACAAACTATATACCACTTATTTGTTCTGTATACTGTATTAAACTTGAAAATCAACGAGCTTTGGAAGTAAAGGCTGACATGAGTGTAAGGCAAGGTCAACTAACAAAAAGTGTATGTGAAGGGAACATTTTAATCCGGCAGAATAGTCTACTCCACTCGAAGGTCCATCACCGATTTAAGGAATTGGAACGGACACGTCAAATTGTGCTAAGAACTCGACAAAACCTTCAGGGAATTCTAGCATGCTAATATCCACATCGTGATCAGGGAGCAAAAATGGGGACACAGATTCGGTGTTGGGAGTGAGGAGTGGGGTAGGAGGCATGGGCGGAACATTGTTGTCGATAGGGATAGACGGTGGGGCATTGGGGATGAGCGAAGTCGAAGTCGAATGCAGGCTGTTGTCAATGGGGATAGACAGTGGGGCATTGGGGACGAGCGAAGTCGAAGTCAAATGCAGGCCGTTGTCAATGGGGATAGACGGTGGGGCATTGGGGACGAGCGAAGTCGAACACAGGCTGTTGTCGATAGGGATAGACAGTGGGGCATTGGGGACGAGCGAAGTTGAATGCAGATTGCTGTTGTTGTCGATGGGGATAGACGGCGGGGCATCGGTGGCATCTTCCTCGCTATCACTCGGAACGGTTTCGGCACTCTTGTGCATCTTCTTACGACGCTGAGCGTTGTCGTCAGAATCACGGCATCTCTTCTTGCCCTTGTCAGAGCGAACACGCCGGCGCTTCTCCACAATAGTGCCGTTTTCAAGGTCCTCGTCCCTATCTTTCTCCATGTCCTCGAGCTGTTCTGGTGTGATGCGCTTCCAGCTAATGAGCCCCAAGCGCCACTTCCGCAGAAGCATCTCGAGGTCAGTGAGGGAGCTTGAGGCAGTGCTGAGGTTGACGAATGGGATTTGCTCTGGCCAGCCCTCGACGACAACCGAGTAACGCTTCACAATGTTGCGGAAAAAGTGTGTCCATTGCATTGTGGCTTTGGGGTTTCCGGTAACTTTCTCTACAGATTGTCGTTAACAGAGACAAATGGGAAAAATAGGACTAGTACTTACGCAGAGCTACATTGATTTCTGAGCGGATTTGGCCACGGATTTTAGCCACGCGCTGCTGGTGGTTCTCCGCTGCGCCTAGACACAAGTATGATTAGTTAGTAGTAGTCACCAGCAACAATGGAAGGAGACACGAACCTTTCATGCCCTGTATAGCAAATCCTTCCATCTTGCTGACGAAGTCTTGATTATCTATGCCTATAACAGACTCCATGAAATCGTGCACGCCCTCAGTCGCAAACGTAACACCACGCAGGGGAAGATCTGTTGTCCCCCGGGTCATGTACAAGATGGTCTCCACTCCAGTACGAGAGCGCAAGTTATCGAGCTAGTAAAAGGGGGAGGGTTTAGCAGCTATAAGATCCAACATATGAATGGCGGAACTACCTCATTCTCGACAGCTTTCAGAGACCAGGTGACATCATTTATCTTGGACTTCGTGGAGATGTGATGACCAGTGGTCTTCGTAACCTTGTGTTCCTCGTACTCTGCGACGAGACTTGACTTCTCCTCATCGGTGAGGCTATAGTACTCATCTTTGTAGTCCTTCACGATGCCTTCAAGCACATCTTTGCCGCTTGCACCTTGAGGGAAATTTTAATTGATTAATTAAATATGCCAAACGCAGAAGGGGGGCTTACCGTTCTCTTTGTCGCCATCTTGGCGCTTCTTCCAAATGAAGGTGTTCCAGGCGCTCACCTTTGAGTGCTTAGATCGCAGGAGTGATTGTCCCATATGCAAATCGTTCTGCACTCGACAGATACTCTTTTTGTGGTCCGCAGCGATCTTGACTGCAGTGTCATCCACAGCTTGCCATGCATCATCAAGAGCTTGCTTGAAGCGACTGTGAGCTTCACGCTGTCGTTGCGTAATTTCGGCGCGCGCCTCTTTGCTAAGGCGTATCTTGGCGCGGTTTTGAGCAAGTCCCTGGCTGCGCCTTGAGGGCTCTCGTGGTGTAGAACGGACAATCATGACAGCCTAGGAAACGAGAGATGCAAATTAGCACCTCTTTATAAGACAAGGATAGCGAAATCACACCGGACTATTGTAAATATTCAGTGGAAACACAATATGTACTAGATTGAGTGGTAGGCGGTGCCATAACGAGCTCGTGTGCTAACATCGGCGACAATCAAAGAATTTACATGATGAAAACAAGGTAGAAAAGATAAAATGCGCAAAAAGCGGCCAGCATGATAATGAGTAGCACCACGATCCTGAATACCTTCCAAACGGAGGAAGGGTTCTGTCCTTGGAAATTAATTCAAAACTTGTGAAATATTCAAAAATTTGCTTACCCTGAGAATGACCGGAGTAGCAACCTGGAGATCTGCCTGAAGTGCCCCAGTTAGTTTAGACGCCTGCTCAAAGTCGAGCTTCCATTTCGGAGACCTCAAATTTTCCTCCCAGCGGCTACTACACACGGTGGAAATTAAGTGGCGTAGCGATGGAATAATTTCATCCCCCAGCTTGAAGCGATCAATGATAGCATCAGTGTGGGCTCCAATACTCATTAGTGGCGGACCCGAATTAAGGGCCTTGGCTGTTTCAGCGACCTGAACTTGATATAATGTTGGTTCCAGTGCCACATCAGCCTTCTTCTTAATGAGGAATGCGTCTGCAGGGCGACGGCGACGGACTTGAGTATGAGGACTGGGAGCTTCACTAGTCGCAAGGGCTTGAGCGGCACCTGTGACTTGAGTACGAGGACTGGGAGCTTCACTAGTCGCAAGGGCTTGAGCGGCACCTGTACAAATGGCAGCCGAAACTGACGCTGACTGAGTCTTGGATGCAGAGGAGAGCTCCCTCTGGAAGGACGCTATTGGGCGGCCAGAGCACTGGATCTGTACACTAGTAGCCACCACCGGTCCTGGAAGGTATGGTGGTCCTTTGAGACTGATCTGCGCTGAAGAGTCTGAAACGAAAAAGTTATATGATTGAACAAAAAATACTGAGGACGGCCTACAATGATGGGGTGGCTCAACTTCTTCAATGTGACAGCATTTCATGAAGCGTTCCATGTGTGGAATGACGAATTCTTCACAAAAAGCTTGAGTCAAGACTGCGATATCACCCCCAATCCGTTCAGAGCTCTCGCGTGCCTCCCGTGGAGTGACATACAGGTCAACTGTAATGTCCTCAGGAGATAGTGCAGTCTCTGCCTTGAAACCCGGGCAGCGAAGGAGAAGCGAGATACCGCCATCGAGGCGGTCTTGTATTGTAATCTGGCAGGGTTCATGTTCAATCTATATGAAAATGAAATGAACACTCACTGAGTCAAACAGATCCTGTAACGACGCTTCAACAAACTCGTCGCGAGAGATGGAACGTTCCTTTGTTTTGACGAATGAGTTGAACGCGACATACGAGGGATGAAGTCCGTTGGGTCTTCTGGTCTGATAGTGTGTTCCATCGAGATGAGCGTCATGCCAAAGCAAAGCACGAGCTGCAGCTTGCCGCTCAGAATTACTGAATCCTTCTGCAAAACCAGAACAGTAAAGTGCTCCAATGTTATGTATCGAAAAAGGCGGGGCGGTGGACGGTTTCACAGCTGTTGCAGCTTTGGATATCCCGCTGGGTGACATGAGGTTTGGGCCGGAGGGGTGCAAAAGAGTTGTTTGCATTGGAAAAAGGTCGAAGCAAGGAAGTTTAAGAGTTGCGCCGAAGATTAGCGCTTGTAAAATGATAATGAAAGAGCACTCATCTAACCATAGGCAATTCACCACTTAGAACTTTGACGGTGATTGAATAACCTGCTCCCATCTAGATCTGAAGTAATAAGCAGATGATATGTAGAAGGGTATATGTTAAGAGATAGCAGATCTGTTAGTATTGTACCATGGGTTGTTCACGATACACAGGAGTCCCACCACAGCCACGCTCAAAGATACAATACTGTATACATATCGATATTGTCTTTAGAATTAGGATGCAGAACATCGATAAAGCGCAAAGAACATGTCCAGAGTAGCGGACACTCATGATTATCTCTAGAATTAGGACATAGAACATTGATAAAGCGCAAAGAACATGTCTAAAGTAGCGGATACATATGATTGACACTAGAATTAGGACGCAGAACATTGGTAAAGCGCAAAGAACATGTCCAGAGTAGCGGACACTCATGATTATCTCTAGAATCAGGACATAGAACATTGATAAAGCGCAAAGAACATGTTTAAAGTAGCGGATACATATGATTGACACTAGAATTAGGACGCAGAACATTGGTAAAGCGCAAAGAACATGTCCAGAGTAGCGGGCACTCTATAGAATTAGGACACAGATCGTCGATAAAGCGCAAAGAACATGTCCAAAGTAGCAGAACCCCCTCCTGTGTCCTCAGTCTACAATAGAATCAAGAAAGCTAGCAATGCCTTCCAACTCTTCGGCATGCTCTTCCTGTCAGGAGGCATCTGCATCCACAAACTCAGAAGTGATAATCTCATTAATATCTGATCCTGGTGCGCATGAATGAGCACCGATGCCACGCACACCCGAGAATCCTGGAATGGCCTCGATCTGATTGAGCCGGAAGATGTGAAGCATGTTGATTGCTGAGCGGCTTCGCCATTGTTGTCGCAGCTCAGATGCAAGGAGTGGGTTGGATGATTGGAGGTCTTCGATGACTTTTAATGTATCAGTTTCCTCGTCATGAATAAAGGTGCGTAAGCGACGGATTTCTATGTTGAGACGGGACACCTCTTCTCGTGCACGCAGCAACTTGAAATGCTTTGTGGTGGCTTTGCGGTAAGCAGGTTTCGTCCAGTCCGCTTCTCGAATGTCTGTGCGCGAATAGTGCAGTAAGTCAAATTCCCCCAAAAAGCTATACTCCGCTATGTCTTTCCAAGACAATTTCAGACGTGGTGGGTTAAGCGCAGCAGCCTGCATATTATAACGGTTGATTGCATTACGGATTGCCTCTGAACGGCGCTGCAGCGCTTTTCCGATTTGCTGGCACAGTTTATAACCTAAAAAGACCATGAACTTCAGAAAAAATAAGCGAGATGTGTGCTACCTGTGCCGGACAATGAGAGCTTCGAGAGCTCGAAAAGCCTCATGACCACGAGGCGTTCTAGCTCATTGAGCGCTGCACGATACTTTCCCAATGTAGCTTCTTCTTTGAATTGCAGATAGTCGGCACTCCCAACGGCCCAGCGTTCCTCAATACTGAGTTGAATTTCCATGTGGGCCACCAAAGCTTCCGCGTTCTGTATCTTGGCATAAGCGGTGTCCACCCGAATTCGAGCTTGCGTAAGGGCAGCGTTGATCTCTGCAAAATTACCAGCTCCGACAGTCGTGAGCGTGTTATTGGCCGCGGATCGAGCAGCATTCCATTCTTCCCTTTAATTTAAATATATTTAGCAAAGTAGAAATCCATAAGGCAGTGCTTACCGGCGTATTTCCAAGTCATCAAGGACCTCAACGTATCGAATACAGAGGCGGTCTCGGATTGGCGGCTGCTTCAGTGCGTCGAGATATAATTTTTCGTCGTTATAAAACTTCACAAAGTCTTCATCATTGAGGTTTAACTCGGATTTGATGACAGAGAGCTCAGCTTCCAAGGTTCGAATGATGTGAGTCGCTTCTCGGTAGTGGTGGTGCAAAAAGTTACCTAGTAGAGTTAGAATGAAAATACAATCTCACAAATGAAAAAAAAAGTTTACCGAGGGCGGCATATTTGTCAGCGTCCCAGAACGTGAAGTGTTCTTCGATCGATTGATGCCGATGGAAAGCACTGGCATGACGTGTACTCCGTGCGAGCTCGTTTGATGACGAAAAGACGTGCTCGCAGCCTTCACCTTCAGTGTGGCCAGTCCCAGTTATGAACATCGGATGCCAGTCGAGTTGACACTTGCGGTTGTGTGCATGTCCATGGAATGCACCGACCATCATGCGTAAGGCAAGCGATTGTGCACGCGGACCCAAGGAGCTCGTGCTCAATGTCTTGGAAAATGCACAGCCAATATCATAGGCGCAGGCTCCATTTTTCCCGTATACGGTCATGAGGTGATCAACCGTGGCAAGCGCATACTTCGCTCTAGACAAATGAAATGGTAGTTAGTTCCTGTATGCACCGCGGGCTTCGGAGCTTACAGTTCGCCACTTTGAATCATATCACAGACTACCAAGATGAACCGGTGACGGCATGCGCCAACAAAAACTCTGGATTCTTCAAACACAGCAAACATTTTCTTGCGTTGCTCGGGTCCAGCGTTCTGCCAACGGGCTGTACAGTTGAAAGGAATCTCGCCAGGCACTTCTCCATCGTCCTCCCAGTCATCAGGATTGTTATTGTTATCCAGCGCCTAGTTAGACATTATTTTGTATACTACTAGCAGGCAAAGACGACCTACAGTTCTCGACTTGACCTCATCTTTGAACTTGTCCACAATGTCGCGACTAATCCAGTAGTCGGTCCTCGGCCTCCAACGGTCATCGCGAGTGATAGAATTACGGATTGAAGACCCCCACCGCTTGAGACTGTTGTTGCCGTCGATGGTGGCAAACCAATCAAAATCGAGTGCCGGTTCGTCCACTAATTTGTAGGTACATGGTGGGCAGGCATTTAGGAGCCGCCAATTTGGAGTGTCATGTTTGAGTTCCCGCTTTAGCAATCGATCAACGCGGTAGAGGATTTCCAGGTATGCGTCGTAAGCTGCCGAGAATTGAGAGCGCAGATAGGGTCGATACGGCATCTGAAAAGCAGTGAGTACAATCAACAAATAAATTAAGCGAAACAACAACTTACATCATGCAGGTAGCACAGCATTTTGCAATGCGCTTGAAGGCTGAACTGAGGGCAACTTCAGTGAGCCTGCCGGTAGGCTGCGAGAGTACGCAAGGCGATGGCAACGTTGGGATACAAAGGGGAACACCCAAGAAAGCCATTGTAAATAAGGGTCTCATTTGGGTACTTATGGTATGGCAAGCTTTCAAAAGATGCTCGGCGTCGAACTACAATTCAAAATTGAGCGCGTATAAGTGACCGCAATAGCAAGCACGTACAAAAGGTATCAACAAGCTCAATGTTGCTGAGCCCAGGACAGAAATCGTCGAGAGGAATGTTGTCAGGTCCCGCAGGCACCAACAGAGGCATGCCATCCCCAGAATCACGGGACTGATAATCTAGATAAGCATCAACTAGCCGGTCCATTTGGATGTCCCACTCGTTGGTATGGAGCTCAACGCGATCACGTCAAGTTCTGGGGTCCATGTAGTGGCTGACAGTACAATAATAAGCGTGAATAGATGAAAAGAAATGTCGACCTACAATCCTGACAAGTCTGCCATTGTGCGAGACAGCCCTTCGAATGCTTCATATTCTCCACCTTCGTGGCTAAGGTCAAGGCCTTCATCACCTGGGGCAGGCTCATATACGAGGTTATCAGTCATGATACCATGATCTATGATCATGTTCTCAACATTTTCGCGATCAATAGCCGGTAGTTCTGAAGGACCACATTATATTTAATTGAAGGAAAGTTGATGCAGACGTACCCTGTAGCGCAGATTGACGCTTAGCATCAGCAGTATTCATGCGATTTTTTTGACCGCCAGCAGAGAGGACCTGAGATGTGCGATGACTGCGTCTGAAATTATGGGTGATGGTTGATTTGGAAAGACCGCTAATTTTCGCAGACTGCGAACGAGACATCGAGGACTGAAGACCGTACAGTCCATTACATAGCTTGAGCGCCAGAAAACACTGTAGGCAAACAACTACTCACAGATGTTAAAAAAACCCGCTAACTGGGCAGAGAGTCGAAGCAATGTTGCACAAGAGAATGTGGTGGACGACAGTGAAGAGTCTGCGGGCTTAAGAATCAGCTGCCACGCTGAGGCCACGAGGAAGGAAGAAGGGCACGTGGTAAACACAAGGTTGGGACTGGACGTGGGCGATTGTAGGCACCTGCACTGTACGGTGGGCATCAGCTGCGAGCCGGAGGAGCGCTAGGTGTGGGCAGGCTGGAGCTGGAGGGCGTTGTAGATCAGCAGAGGGTGGGTGCAGACGACAGCACGTGCCTGTGCTGCATAGTGGAGATGCGTGCAGGCCACCTGGCAGCCAGGGGCCGTGGGTGTAGTAGGCAGGGAGGTAGACAAAGGGCGGGAGCGGCTGGATGACGCCATACATGTTGGTGGCAGGAGGAGAAGTGCGTGGGAACCCGCCATAGATGTCGGGAGGTAAAGGGCGCTCGGTATTACTAACAACGGGCCCGACATAGCGGGCGTTGCCGACGGTAAGGTACCAGCAGCAGTGTAGGCGGGCGTAGAATACTCTAAGTACCCCCATGATTTGGGGCAACATTTATTGCTGGTGTTGAGGAAACGTCACTGTTAAGCCAGATAAGGCCGGGTGAGACACGTAATCATCCAGCCTTATAAGTTATAAGGCTTACCTATTGGGAAACCCAGGTGTAATACACACGTGACGCGCGTGACAGCCCGAGGATGTCACTCGATATTTAGCAAAAAATTGAACAAGACAGGCATCTAGGATCTCAGTGTGTAATGATCATCTGTTGACTCTGCTACCTTAATCTCATTAGCCTCCTTAGAACGCCTTCGTCATTTTCTTAAGTAATATAAGGCCGAAAAAGGATTCCAATGTTTTCCTGATGTCTCTCCACCGATGAGAGCGCACGCTTATGGCTGAAGAAAGTTTCAAATGTGAACGTAAACCAGGCCGTCTCTCAGATGTTTGCGATCCCACAGAGTGCCTGTGCTCTTGAATATACCTGTCTCGGTGAGTCTAGGCCATTCCCATGTTCCTGCAGTTCATCCTCTCCATGCTCGGTATTGTTTGTCTTATAATTCGAACCTTCTCCTACTCTTCTGCGCAGCACCTCCTTTCATGACGCTTCTGCCATTAGCCATCGGTTTCATTGGTTTGCTCTCCATCTTCTCTGAGGTGCTTGGAGCACCTCAGTGGGACACGTCAACTGCTGGACAGTCTCTGCCTTTGACACGCAGGACGCAGCCTTCACGGAACGCATCAGAGTTGGCAGACTATGCCAAGAACCTGCGCGATGCTACAATCGCGAAGTACTCTTTGCAACGTAATAAAAAGCGGGGAACGGGGAAGAACTTGTGCGCTGAATTATCCGACTTGAGTGCATTGAAGTGTGACGCTAATCCTTAATGCAAAGAATTGTCAACTAGGGGTTAGATACAAGGTCTGTCATGTGCTTCACCTCTGTCCCAGAGTACTGATTTCCTCCGGTTTCTACGGGATTCTGGCTGTTGGTACACCACCCTACCCCTTCGCCGTGATTTTAGACACTGGATCCTCGTGCGTCGTCTACTCACGCAACAGACCTCTCTAACATTCTCTCTAGAGATATGTGGATCGCTTCGTCAATATGCCAATATATGTGTGCAGGAACGGGCAATTTTGACTCGGCAAAATCTTCCACGTTCAAAATTTGACAAAGGGCTTTAGTGTGACCTACGGTAGCGGTGAAGCAGCAGGTACTCTTGGGCAAGATATTGTCCAAATGGCTGGTTTCACAATCCCGGACCAAGCATTCGGTAAAGTGAACTATTTGTCGTTGTTCCAATACTAACGCATAATAGCGGTGGCGACATCCACATCGTTGAATTTCTTGCAAAATCCTGTCACTGGAATATTTGGTCTCGCGTGGCAGTCACTAGCATCCTCTGGTGCTATGCCATTTTGGCAAGCACTTGCAAGTCAAAGCCAATGGAGTCAACCCTTGATGGCTTTCCAGTTAACTCGTGTAAGGATAGTATATCCTTTACGCGCCGAACCGACTTTAAAGCGAGACGCTCGAACTTACCATACGTTCAGCGCAGCCACGTGACTCACTGATGCGAAGAGCTCAATTCTTCGCATCCGAGTTACGGGGATACATCCCTCTTTAGCCTTCTCCATTTCTTACCGTCATCCTACCTTGTGCTCTCCTTCCACGATACCCCTTGTCTCACCGAACTATTTTCACTGTTCCGCATGCTACTTACACTCGTTCCGGACTAGTACGACTCCCTCGAACGTATATATATTACGCCTGTACACTCAATATCGATAGCAGAATACGGACTCTGATTCCCCGCTCCACGCACGAAACGATCCTCACCGCACCAGCCTTACAGACTTTCTCGTTGTTCCCGCTTTCGTGTCGTAAAACGACACGTCTCGCATTTCTCGTCTTCTCGTTCCAATTCCCCATCGAACTATAAGTCAGCCTTACACTCGGTGATCGCTATCCTTGTGATATCAATCTACCAGGGATACTTACATTGAATGATCTAGCTTTTTAAATGACAGCCAAGCTGGAGGACTAGAACCTGGGGGATCTTTGACAATAGGTGCGAGAGCAACTTATGTCTTCCGGGTGTGTCTCACTTCGTTTCAGATACCCAAACGAAAGTTTATACACCGGGGCGATTGACTACCGGGATATTCCCGATGGACAAGCCTCATTCTGGCTTCAACAAATTACTTGTGAGTTTCACTGCGACCTTACTTTCGTCTCGTGGCTCAAGTACCTCGATAGCGATGACTGTGCAGGGAAAATCCGTATCTTTGCCAGGCGGCAGTGCGTCTTATGCCGCCATTGATACCGGCACGACGCTCGTCGCAGGGCCCGCGGCCGGCATTGCGGCTATCTATGCTCAGATCCCTGGGTCTCAGCCTGGCACGGGCAGGTGGGAGGGATTCTACAGTTACCGTAAGTGCGACATATTTCTCTGGATCAAGGGGACCGAAGCTTTATGAAAAGCCTGTGACACTGCTGTTGCGGTGGAGATCTCGTTTGGGGGACCCAATTGGTCGGTCAGCCCCGATGACTTCGAGTTCACATCCACTGGAAATGAATGCTATGGTGCATTTTACGCTATAGCCACATATGTTGGGACACCTTCCTGGATCATCGGCGACACATTCTTAGTATGTTCGTTTAGCGCATATCCAGCTCTGATGATTGACACCACGCGATAGAAAAACGTTTATTCTGTTTTCCGATACAACCCTCCGTCTGTCGGATTCGCAGCATTGTCCAAAATTGCGCTGGCAATGAATGGCAAAGTTGGAGGAATACCTTCCGCCACTCTCGGTGCTAACTCAGCAAAGTTTACATTAGCGTCGAGTGCGGCACCCTCAACACGTTCCTCTAGCGCGGTCGCACTGGTCATTTCTGCTTTATTCGCCACCTTTGTGTCATTTACGCAAGGATAATGCTGCGGTTGTGGACTCCTAGTGTATTTACAGCCCATAGAGGCTCAGCCCCACCTGCGCAGTGCGGACCTGTTGCGCAACAGCCTTCACGGACCTACATTCTGACGTGCAGAAGTCACTGTGCTCAGGTGGTGTCATCTGCTAGACATTTTTCCTACTGAACGTTACTAGATGTTGTAATTGCGTTGCGCACGCTGATCGCCACCCAGCCTGACTCCAGGCTGGCAGTGTCTATTGACTCTTCTAGGTTGTTGCCACAAACACTTGCGGTTAGCCTCTCTTTGGCGGACATGACCTGGCCCTGGATACTGAATATTCGACTTTCCCAAAATAAGGCACCGATGTAGTACGGAGCCTGTGTCAGCGTAGCTGCGGCTGCTAAGCTGCGCATGCGCAGTCTAATGGTGTCATGTATTTCAGAACACTCTTAGCTGGTTGGCTTCCCTATACATTCGTTGTTCCTCATTTTCTACTGGTTTGTGGTTCTCGGCTTGGACCTTCCCCCTGGTGACTTAACGACCCAAAGCTGAGGCCTGAGGCTTGACATGATACCATTACTATTTCTTGCATCCGTCTTCGCGCTGTCTGCGGATACGTTTGGAGCACCGACAGAGGGAGCCCCGATTTCTGGCCAGTCCATCCCCCTTCTAAGAAGAAACTCATCCCCCCGCGAGGTCGCCGATTGGGGTGCTTTGGCAAAGAGCCAGAGAAACAGTCTGATCGCAAAGTACGGCAGTCAGACGACGCAGAAAAGAAGCAGTGGCTACAATTTGTATGTTGCATGTGATACATATCGTTTACTGAAATTTGAATGCAACTTGTCTTTAGGATTGTCGACCAGCTGTATGATTCTGGGTAGGTGTTAGACATGTTCTCAGGTGTGCATGGGTCGTTGATTGAAGCATCCATACAGCTACTATGGTTCATTGGCTATCGGTACACCCGCGGTGTCCTTTGATGTCCTATTAGACACGGGCTCTTCGTAAGTTCCAATGTAGTCAACATACTGACACAAGTCAATGATGCGTTTGGGATCGCAGTGATCTCTGGCTTGCTGGTTCTTCGTGTGGAACTTTATGTGGCTCGAGCGCTACGTACAACCCATCATCTTCATCAACCTTCCAGAACCTCTCCACGGCATTCGAGATCCAGTACGGCGCGGGCAATGCAGGGGGCTATGTTGCACAGGACACAGTGCAAATGGCGGGATTCTCTGTCTCCAGTCAAGGCTTTGGTCAGTATCTCCTCTTACAGACCGACCAGCTGGTGATTACTTACTCGCCTTACAGCCGTCGTAGATGTAGTTTCGCAAGATTTTCTGACATCACCGGTCTCTGGCTTGTTTGGTTTGGCATGGAACACCATAGCAGCATCAGGTCAGATGCCCTTCTGGCAGACTTTGGCCTCCAGTAATGCTTGGGACTCAGCTCTGTTCGCTGTTCAGCTCACTCGGTAATGCCATTTGTTCTCTAAAACGAAGTGTGTTACTTACAAAGAACAGGTACTCAAACGATACCAGCGCCCAGGAACTTGAACCCGGAGGAGTGATTAATATGGGTATGTGCTATTCCGTCACACCGCAAGACATGTACTCAAACATCTCTCAGGTTATGTAAACAGCAGTTTGTACACCGGCTCAATTGATTATATCGACATTCCTGGAACGCCCTCATATTGGTATCTACCATTGGATTGTATGTCGTTTACCATCTCTCCATGTACCGAAAAACAGGCTCGTTCATTCTTATCTAGCATTGACTGTGCAAGGCAACTCGATCTCCATTAGTTCGGGAACAACTGCTGCTATCGATACTGGCACGACCAACATAGCCGGACCGACTAGCGCAATTCAAGCCATCTATGCACAGATTCCTAACTCACAACCAGCGACGGGTGACTGGGTGGGTTATTATAGTTTCCGTAAGCAAGCTCCATGAATTTTGCGAGTTTAAGTAGCTCAACTCGCCATCAGCATGCTCGACGACTGTAAATGTAGAGTTGTCATTCGGCGGCTCCACGTGGTCGATAAGCCCAGCGGATTTCACCGTCGCACAAACCACTTCTTCGGAATGCATCGGTGCATTCTTTGAAGCAGATATATCTGGTGGTTCCCCCACTTGGATCATCGGCGATACTTTTTTGGTATGTAACAACAATAATCGGTCTTCGAGTTTCCCAACACTGAGCTGTTCTGCCATTTTCTATTAGAAAAACGTCTATTCCGTCTTCCGCTACAATCCCCCTTCGATTGGCTTCGCCAACCTCTCAAGTATCGCAATCGCTGAAAATGGCGCTGGAGGAACCGTACCTTCTGCAACCATTGGAACAGTATCTGCGGCTGTCACCAACACGAGCGATGCCCCACGTGGACATGCGCTGAGCACATCATTATCTATTCTCTTTCTGGCTTTCTCGGTGGTACTCCTCCTCTGATTTAGATGTTATCTGCATTCGCCTTCTTAACGAAGGACATTCGTATAGGACTAACAAACGCTCACGATTTTCGACCACGCTCACCTTAATTAAATAATGTAGTCCTCTGATCAAGGGCATATATTTGCTACTGGACAGTTCTCCATGAGTTACAATCGGCGACCCGCGGTCGTGGATTGTGACTACGATTAATACGACGTTATTGCACACTATATTTGCACGAGCTGAGTTGGCCATAGTTAATAGCATAGCGTATCGTGTTCGAAAAGATTGGAAATAGAACTACTTATGCGTCTTCGACCCTAACAAACAGACATGGAAGGGATACTCATTGCCGCTGTAATAATTCGAGTGGGGTGAATGGAAGGAACACTGACTGGAGGGTGCACGCCATATGGTGCAGATGTAATGTAGTAGTCGATGGGGAGCGACTCTGTGTATAATGCAAGTATTGTATATCATTTTAGCTAAGAATCTCTAGTGTCCTCACATCCATCGTGCCATGAACAGAAGCCATGTCATTGACTTGTGCAATGATATCACAATCTGAGACGATTCTCCTGTATTCTCCGCCACGTTGCTGTGCCAGTAAAAATGCGCCGAAAGGCTGTCCAAGGTGAACTATCAATCGCAACGCTCGTGAACTAAGATTCCGAATCAACCGGGTCGTTTTCTCCAGGAGACACGCCGGAGGAATCATGTGACGGAGACCCGGGCTCGGACCAGTCTTCCTCGCTCTGCAAATCTTCCGCAGGGTCTGACGGCTTGAGGAGACAGGCGATCCCATAGACGAACGAGCACGAATGTTTGCCGAGCGGGCCTTGCCCGCGAGAACTGAATAAGCCTGTCCTCGGTGGTGATCTGCAGGTCATGAAGCCCATCTGCCTTAACTTCATACGTGAAGTACGGGCCCTGGGCTTGACCACGCCGTCTGACTTCAGGTCACACTGAATGAAATGCAAGGAAGGTGAAGTCTGCGGTTCGCGAAACGAGGAGGGCTCATCTTGACAAGTAGGGAATATAAATTTAAAGCCGACTCCACAACGACGGCATTTCGTAGCGATGAGACCGATGTCTGAATCTCATCTTCTGAAAGGAATGGGGGCGCGCATGGCGGAGCTTCGTATGAGGAAATATCGTCTGGCAGACAGGCTGTTAAACTCGGAAGATTTTCCGACCCAGTCCAGGGCCGTGATGTCACCCGACTGCGCCACGAATCTCCTGCAAGAGCCGCCCGAGCGCGTTTTGCTTCTTCTCACCATAGAGGATAGGTAGCTGGATGCCGAAGATGCCGAACGACCGAGTACGCGATGTCTTCCTGCACCGTGGTGACACGCGTTGATGCCCATCGTAGTTTTTCTCGTGCGTCTTTCATCTCCGGTTCGAAGGCGACGAAGGTGCGTGCATCTATGCCCGTCGCATCCTCCAACTCCTCCATGATCTTGACAGACTCCTTGTGGTTGGGGGAGTGGTCGTAAAGATATAACGTCCAATCCTGTTGGTAGAAGCGGATGACTTTAGAGGCGAGGAATTCCGGGACAGTCCATTCCTCGGGTGTTCCAAATGCTTTTCGCCATTGCGCCAGACTTAGACGAAGGCAGCACATCCGACAGGTAGACGATTGTGAACGCAGAGTCATGATACCAGGCGAACATGGAGTTGATTGATCTTTGGAGCTCGACGTTGTCATGTTGGTCGATACAACACGAGTCGATCCACGCCCAGTGATATTCCCGCATCACGGGCCACGTTGCAGAATGACTGCAACTTCACGACGCTGCCAACTGCCTCCAACTCGTATATAATCTCCCCCTGAATGTCACTCAGCAACTGCTCCTTGCCGTCCCACCTATGAGATAACATGGCCCTAACGGAAGTACGTCGCGACCACTTCCTCGGTGTGCTTTTTTCGAAGGTCTGAACGTTTGATAATTAACGACAGGAGCATCTGTTTGCAGTTTTGAAGGCACTTATCTGAGCCTGTCGATCACATAAGAGCCCGATGGTTGTGTGGAGTAGACGAAGTGGGGCGGTGTCAGGGTGAGTATCAATCGCCATTTGAATAGCACCTTCAGCTTCAGATCGCTGCTGGTGCAGCTCTTCGCTATTTGGGGCATTCTAAACAGAAGGTAAGACAAATGAACAGGACATGAACACAAACTCGCCTTGTTGGAAGCCTGTTCGTTTGGAGTGTGATCCTTGCGCGAGATGAGATGATGAAGAGACGGGGGAAAACACGAAGTTACCTTGCTTGTCGTCTGTGCCTTTGAAGGGTCCTCCACCAAAGCGTCGGGGACAGCCCACTCTGAGATGTTCTTATCAGCACCCCCGCTAAAGATGTGCTTGCCATCCGTGGTGAAAGCGATACAGTATAGTGCGTCAGTGTACGGTAAATTTGGTCCCAGGCCAAACTAACACTGCTAATGAATTGCAGGTCAGATTAACGCAATGAAATCGCTTAATTTTGCAATTTTATTAATAGCGCTAATTTACAGGTGAATTTGACCGGGTTTCCGAACTAGCTCAAATTTTAACCATCTGGTATACACGTGACTTTCACACCCAAACCCACTCAAACTTCAAGACCGACCGTGTAATAACCTGTAGAGGCACCAAATTTTCACCATACACGGTTGCTGCAAGTTTCAAAATCCAGTCGGACTCGATTTAACACCTTCAAGAAATAAATGTGACGCATGCACACCCTCTAACATTCTTTTCCTCAGAACGTAGACCGCAGAGTCTCATTACACCGACATTCATGGAATATCTCCTCCTTGTGACGCACTGAGAGCGCGTTTAAATGAAAATTTGAGCGTTCTGGAGTGGGGTCCGCCTGGTTTGGTCGGGATTGAAATGTGGAAGGAGGTACATAATGTTTTATCACGATGCAGAGTTCTGCGACTGATACTTGAGTTACTAGCTAGTCTATCCACTGGCGCATCTTATTCAACACATATACTTCACACCTTGTGACCGGCGTCCCAAGTTTCTTCAAGAGTGAGCTTTGTTTTCCACGGTCTGCTCGTCGCTTACTCATACTTACATTCATAGACGAGTCTAACCATGCCGTCTTACGATATTCCCTGTCTTGCCGGTGACAAGCACAAGCTCGAAGGGTCGTAAGGGCCGCAACGCGGATTTTGTGAAGCTATAGCTGGTGACCAATTAGCAAATCCATATTGTGTGGTTGCGCGCTTGCCCTATGACGTCATACAGCGCCTCCAGTCTAGAATGCCTCCTGTTTCTCCTCATTGGTCTTCAGATATAACCGGTGAACAGCCCTCACCTAGAAGCAAGTCATGCGGCAAGTTCACCATGTGTCCTGCTTGTATTCGCAGTCAACTAATCAACAACCGGCACCTCTCCAGGTCATTGTACCCTAGGAGTCATAGATTAAACTATTTATTATTCATATTTCTTGTGATAAGTCTGGCATGCTTTTCCGCTTGTTTTATGTCGTGACCCACGCTACAGAACAGCCACGTGTTTAATCTACTGCAGGGTCCCTGCCACCTGGGTGCGATACCATAATGTCTACGATTAGACGCCCACGATTACCACTGCTTCACGACAAGTATACGGACTGCCCACCGCCACCGCATGTTCGCCCCCTTCCGTAGTCGGATGATCATTTGCCATCGTAATCAACGCAGGGTAGCCATCCGCGATCTGTTAAAATGATTGTCTCGCAGGAACGAGTTTGTGGATGCGACTGGTGTACTTTTTTTTCGCTTTATAGAACAAGCGAGACTCCGTTCGGATTCCCGACATTGTTAAGACTGTGCTCTGCTCAGAAGGACCAACCACTCACTTGGCTCGGCCACTACGACACTGCATTATCTGTCATTTGGCGCGTAACGTTGACTAGTGGACACGTAATACTTATGATCACCTGCTTGCAGCCACGGCTGACTTCCCTTCTCTCTTATCTCTGCTGTGCGATGAGTACGCAATGCATGTGCTATACTAACTAAATTTAGCTTATCCGAACTGCTACAGCGTCTATTCCGGACGGGAGTCCATGTCCCACCAGATGTCTTTCAAAAACAGGCCGATTGCGCGTCTAATGAGACACGGGGCAGGTGTGTAGCAGTATAAACAGGCCCACTGCGTGCCTCGGCAGGTTACAGAAAGACACCCATAATCCCTACAGCTTCCACCTCGACGGTGCTCGGCACCGTCAAGCTCTGGCTATGGCGGAAGCAGCACAGCCAATCATTCCGAGCACCGAATTCATTCGAAGGTATGAAGGTCATAAAGGATCCGTACTCGCAGTCGCAGTCCCCGATAAACGAAGTATGGTGACAGGCTCGAAAGACAAGATGCTTCACCTGTGGGATATGAACAGCGGGGTTGTGGTGAAAAAATTGAAGGGGCATACTGACTGGGTGCGGGCCTTGGCGGTATCGCAAGACGGGCTATTGATAGCAAGCAGTGATTGGAGCGGAAAGGTCCTCGCCTGGCACGGAGACACTGGAGAATCTATCACAACCCGAGCCATCGCAGCTCATTCCACATACATCAACTCGCTCGAATTTTCTCCAGATCGCGTAGTGCTGGCGTCCGGATCATTTGATAAAACAACGAAATTATGGAGCACGAAGACGTGGCGGCTGGAAGGAAATCTCAATTGTGGTGATGAAGTCAACTGCATTCGTTATTCGCCGTCTGGCGAACATCTGGCCATCGCGACAACCAAAAATATCCAAATATGGGAACCAGACACGAAGAAGTGCATTGCAACGTTTGAGGCTCATGCAGTGGTCAATCATGCATACAATATGTCACTTGCGTGGACGTCCGATAGCACACGCCTTCTCTCAGCGGGCAATGGGTCTGATCCAACCATACGGGAATGGGATCCATTGACCTGGCAGCAAGTCAGCGATCCATTGGAAAGGGCACACGGGTGCTATCAGCGCTATTGCTGTGAGCCCTTCTGGGGTCCTCGTAGCCTCCGCATCCAGTGATGATCACATCCGCATCTGGCGGCTCTCGGATCGACGAACCATCGCCATATTCGAACCACTCCAGGGTGAACTGCATCGCCTTCTCTATGAACAGCAAGCACATCTTCAGCGGAGGTGGCGATGATAGGGTCTCACAATGGCTGGTCCCCTCCGTTTCGCCAGTGCCTCTGGTTCAATCAGAGAAAGGGGGTACAAATATCAGTCCCCGAGATGCTGAGGAACAGGCGTCCGATAGGGTAAATTTCGTTGGTTTCTTATCTCCTCATCTTCTTATCTTGCGTTTAGGATACCCCATATAATAATAATGTCATTTTATCGGAGCGTCCGGTTAAAATGGATCAAGGGAGCTTGAACTTGAAGATCAAGGTGACAAAGGCCATTGAACGAGTTTCCAGCAGGGTAAGTTCGCGCTGATCGCCTGCCTCTTCATCTTCTTACTTCCTCTTTGGGACGCGCCATTCAAGAGTAGTAACGAACGTCAGATTCAAAAGGAGGGAAAAGATACAACGATTGGGCTACCAAAGACCAACGAAAAGGCGTCCAAAGAGGTCAGTGTGTGTTAATCTCCTGTCCCTCCATCTTCTCACCTTGTGTTTAGAATGCCCCGTGCAAGAGTCGTGAAGCTCCAAAGGCCAGCTTCCCTGATGGGTCCACTGGCAAGTCTCCAGTAATGTCACCCAGGCTACAATCCTCACCCGCATTTTACTTAGCTCACAAGCAAGAACGTGGCATACTCTACAACATAAGAGGGAAGTCGGAAAACACGCCATTCAAGCAAGCGCTTCTCGATGCACAAAAGGTGTGACATCTATCCGTTTGTAGCCAGGGCTTATCCAACACATCACAATAGGCCATAGATCACAACCCTTCGTCTTATCACGGGTACGAGTTGAAGCATGCGGCGCTCCATGGTGCACGGCGCTATGACGAGGCAATAGACGCTTTCTCAACTATGCTCTCCAAGTTGAACTATGCTTCCGATGTGCAGATTCGATGTAAGCCCGGAAATACTATGTGTCAACTTGGGGATGCTTATCTCATTCTATAGCGCTGCGCGAGCAATATTTCAGTGTATCTGATGCAGAACGTGCTATTCGACAGGCCATTGACGCTCAACTCGATAACGCTCCGCTCCGTCTCCTTAACACTTCCAATTTGCGCTTATACGATCAAGAAGGGCAGATAGATACCTTCAAAGCCAGCACAGAGTACAAGGAGCTTATATCATTGACAATGAAACATGCAGACCTCCGAACGGAGCGCATCAACGAAACAGTGGCGATGTACTTTCGCTGCGTCATGCTATCGCATAGGTGGGAAGGGAAGGAGCCACTACTTCAAGACATCCAGAACAAGGTTGTGCACGAGCCACGTAGTGGCATCGTGAAGTTGCAGTCGTTCTGCAAAATTGCTTGTAATGCGGGGTATCGCTGGGCGTGGATGGATACATGCTGCATCGACAAGAGTAACCACGTGGAGCTTCAACAATCGCTCAACTCTATGTTTGTCTGGTATCACCACTCAGCACTTACCATCGTCTACCTCTCGGATGTTTCACCTTCGTCCAAGCCTGGAGCACTGGCAAAGAGCGCTTGGAACAACCGAGGATGGACCGTTCCGGAATTTCTCGCTCCGAAAACCATTCTCTTCTATCAAAAGGATTGGACCCTATACCTCGATGATCGCTCTCCCAACCATAAACAATCCCCTGCAATCATGCAGGAGTTGGCAGATTCGACGGGCATAGATCCAGGGGCCCTCGTTGCCTTCCATCCTGGGATGAGAGGTGCACGAGAGAAACTCCAATGGGCGTCAAGGCGTGTCACCACGCGACAGGAAGACATTGCATACTCATTGTTCGGTGTCTTCGGCGTCCGCCTACATGTTGATTACGGAGAGAAGAAGGACAAGGCAGCTCGGGCGGCTCTTGCAGGAGATAGTGGCTCAGTCGGGCGACATTACTGCCCTAGACTGGGTTGGAAAATCATCAGAGTTCAACAGCTGTTTGCCAGCCGACATCACCTCCTACACTGCTCCGCCACGCACACTGCCATCTCTGTCTGAAGATATGATTCAGTCATCAGTCTCCTTGCTGCGAGGTGCCGTGTCTGTGGAGTCGGCTTCGAACCTTCATTCAGAGCTTGAAAGCCTGAGCGCCCCCCGTTTCGCGAACTGCAGACTTCATCTTCCTTGCATCGTATTCCGTGTTACAGATGTCAGACGGCTAGCTAGTCGAAACCAGGAGACAGCTTCCACATACTCAGTCAAAGCAGAGGGGCTTCATGCTATACAGATCACCACGGAAGACAAGCTGATTCAGTTCTCGCGGGCAAGACCGATTCAGCAGACGTTCTTGCTCGTCCGTCCGTGGGATCGTTTTCTCATCGAGCAGCCTGATTTTTCAGAGCAGCCTGACTTTGCAGATGACGTGCAGAGCGAGAACCACTATTGGGATACACCCGAGTCTCCTTTACCCGATTCGCCCACCGGGAGTCTTGATTCGGAGTTCCACTCGCGAATGTTGCGACTGATTGTTCGCCTTGGACAGCCTTTCAGTGCATTGTTGCTAGCGCAGCAGCGAGGCAGAGAATATAAGAGAATCGCGTCAGATCAAGGTATCAGTTGCACAAGTTAGAGACGTAGCTGCTGTTGACAAGATGATGGACGTCAAGACACTAGAGATATTGTAGATATATACATTAAGGAATAGATATCTCCGAGCACTTGGCATTCGTACATTTACACCACTCTTACGCGCACATACCCCTGTACTCGAGTTTCGTGTCGTAGTTTTCTGGCTTACTACATAGTACGGAGACAGAATCTCCACCGACTATGAGTCGGTTTACAGTCTCGGATTTGGCGCGGAGCGCTACGTCTGGATAACTACGGTGGCGACGCGAGTGGGACCCATGTACGAGGTACAATTGTCGAGGAAGATATGGTTGTAGCTGGCATGACCATGGCAACGCAAAGTTCCAAGAGAAATGACCGTCCAGGGCGAACAGACACAGTGATCTCTTGGGCGTCCAACTTGGGCGCGACAAACACTAGGTATGATGATGAAAATACTGTACAAATTTGTCACAATATGAAGTGTCTCGATTGTTCGTGATATACATAGCTTCAGTCATCAAACTCATCCATGCTGAGTCCGCCTCCACCCAAATCCACTGCTGTCACGACGTTTGTCTCATCCGAATCCATCGCATCGCTCGCATCTGTAGGTTGCGGCTCTATCTCGCTGGCCTCTGCTGTATCCTGGTCCAAGAACCCCAAGCATGCCTGCATGCACCCTCTCCATCGCAGCGGAACCGCTCCACCCACTTCAACACCAGCAACGCGACGCTCCCACGTGAATCGCTCCGCAGCGTGCCTCACGAAGAATTGACCCTTGTGGTCCGGATTTGCACACCCGCCCGCGCCCTGCGACGGCCTCCGATCATGCTTTCGTGGTTCAGGGGGGACACCAGCGGATTTGAAAAAATCGGGCGTGTTCTCCGCCAATACGTCGCGTACGTTCGGTGGCAGCTTCCAAACGTCGGGGAGATAATACTCGCTGAGCGCGGTCTTAGAGCTGTGGCCTGGCAATGGGCAAAGCAACTTTCGATAACAGATCTCTGTCAGGGGAGGTATGGGCGAAAGGAATGTCGTCACGGGAGATACTATGATCGTTCTCCATGGATTCCCTTCTGCCTCCCTGCATTGCGAGTATAGACGAGTCATGGACTGACGCTGAGACAGGACGTCACGGGACTGCGGAGGGGACACGAGAGAAGGAAGGCTCCGATAAAAAGGGATTGGGGTTGAGCTGCAGCGACGAGAGGGTCATATCTCGCATTTCCGAGGGCAGGTATGTCAGGCGGTTCTGCGAGATATTGAGCTCCTTCAAGTTGACCAAACGACATATCTCCGGGGGAATATATGTCAACAGGTTTCCGCCTATGACCTGGTAAATACATAGAAATGGGAGACACAAAGAAACGCACGCAAACTCAACACAGCCAGATTGTGCAACGTGAACAGCTCAGAAGGAAGATGCTGGATGCGGTTTCCAAAGAGGTAGAGTTGTAGCATATGTCGTTCCTTGCCCGAGTCCATGATGGACTTTGTCCGCTCGAATGAAACGCGCGCGAAACTCGAAAGCTGGCTCTGTCTTCACACGTGACAGACCGCGTCCGAATGACAGACTTTGCTCAGATAGTTCCGTCGTGTTGAAAAAACGTCCGAGATCGGTGATCGATGTAGGAATGGTCTTCAGGGATAGATTGCTGCCATAGCGCAAGATAAGACGCGTCAGAAAGTTAGATCGATGACGCAAGGAAATACGGCACCTCAGGTCTATGTGCCCGTTACCTGTGTCGAAGGGTTTCCGCAGCGCTTCATCCCAAAGCCGCTCCTCACGATCGATGTAACGCGACGTGCGATGAGGTGACGACTCTGGACTTGACGTTTCTCCGCGCAAGTAGTGTTCTTCTCCCAGCGAACGAGAGTAGACTGTGCCGCGGTACAATGGCGCCGGAACACGCGCGGGAGGTGTACTCGGGGGAGTGTCTGTCTTCTTTTCCCGCTGTGGAGGGCGTTTATTAGCTTTTGCTGAGGCCGCGAATGGATGAGAGAATTCTAGGCGCGTCGGGGGTGGGGAGTCTAGCATATAGGGCTCATGCAGCGGACTCGAGGGCGGGGAAGAGTCTATAGGTGCCAACATCGGCGACGACGATGGGGATGAGTCTCGGGATGACGAGGAAGACTCAAAATCCATGTCATAGTCTGTCATTTTCAATGCGGGGAAATAGCTAGTCGTGTGCAAAATCGTGTGTCACTCTCAAGAATGTCATCGTTGATTGCTTCTACCTTTTATAGGCACACATTTCGTATAAACAGACTTATACGTAAATACACTGGAGTGGAACGTAAACAGAACGACAATGTTAATGTACTTACATCTCATCGTCGTTTACACACACGCTTGTGTCATGTACGAGCTCAGCTTGATAATTAGAACGCAAGAGCCCATTTTCATCTAGATCAAACAAAGATCGGAACCTTATAAACTAGATATATTGACTGTCATACTCATGTCTGTGTTAGGAGACTAGATCAAGTCAGCAGAGAGCTCTAGCATCAATCGACTCATCGTCTATTCCAAATCGGCATCAAGTCTTCAACTGCTTTGATTTCCGTGTCTACAGTTGGGGAGCAGGCCGCTATGGGACGTGAATCAGAAGAATAGGATAATTCACCTGAAGACTTCAACGCACCGGCAATATTATTGACTGAGAGCTACCCGTTGATCTCGACGAGCGCTTTTGAAGACAAGAATTCGTTTGTCATATATTCGGACATGGTGTAGCCATGTCTCTGGCAGCTGCGGATCCAAGTTTTCGATCAAATGGCCGATTTGCAGATTTCAGGACTCGACTTCAAAATTGCGACATAGGGAGCCCAGTTACTGCAAAGTTACCGGCTGCAGAACATCGCAATGTTAGTCTCCCTGGGTTTTTGTTAGCGCTCTGTCAGCCGTACACGAGTACAACGAATATTCCATTCAGAGGTTGATAAGGTAGCGTCACCTGTGTAGTCCAAGAAACTCGTGCCGCCAGACAGACATCGCTGAACATCTGCGAGAAGTCGTTCACGGCAAGAACATAGGAAATGAAGATAATCAGCTCTCATCCCAACAAGTTATCTCTCTGAGGAAAAATGTTGTTCTGCATCCGGTAAACATATGGAAATCAACGAGAGGAACGAGGCAATGCAGGGAGCACAAGTAGCAACTTTGCGAACGAGAGGTAAGCAGTGAGGAGTTAAGGACGACCGCGAGATAATGCAGACAGGGTGCAAGGTGATGTGCTAGAATTCAAGTAGACCCGTAGGATCGATAATAATCGAGGTAGTACTGATGCCATCCAACAGGGATTATGTGCGGCGATGTGGTTGGACCAATGGGCAGAGGCGCATGACGTTGAACGGTCGACACATACGCTCACCTTATGATAACCCGGTTGCACTTGCAAAAAAGGAGATCTGGATACTGCCTCATATCTCGGGCGTCTAATGATATGAAAGGCACATCGATGCTGCGCAGTAGCATGACAACACGCAGTACAACGCACCTCTGGTCATTTAAAGCAAGACACCGTTAATTCTACAGCAAGTTCAATTCTGCCGCGCTCACTCACCATCAAGCCCCACCAGAATGGCGGAAATCACACGCGTTCGAACGTATGAAGGTCACAGAGAATCTGTACTCGCAGTCGCAATTTACCCCGATAGACCACGTATGGTCACAGGCTCGGAAGACAACATGGTTCGTCTGTGGGACCTGAACAAGGGTATTGTGTTGAAGAAGATGGAGGGGCATCCTGCCTGGGTGCAGGCAGTGGCGGTATCACGAGACGGAAAATTGATAGCAAGCGGTGATTACTGGGGAGGGCTCTTCACCTGGGACGGAGACACTGGAAAATCTCTCAAGAAAATCGACAAAGCACACTCCAACATGACCTGTTCGTTGGACTTTTCTCCGGATGGCACAATGCTGGCGAGTGGTTCATCAGCAGATAACGCGATGAAGTTGTGGAGCACAAAGACGTTGCAGCTGCCAGGGGGGAATTCACTTAGCCTTGATTGTGGCGATCGGGTCACCTGCGTTCGGTATTCGCCATCCGGCGAACATCTTGCCATCGCAACATTCACAGATGTCCAAATATGGGATCAAGGCACGAGGGAGTGCATCGCAACCTTCACCGCTCATAGTTCGACCTCGTTTCCATTCGGACCCGTATTCGGCAAGTCACTCGCATGGTCACCTGATGGCACTCGCCTTCTGTCAGGGGGAAATACTCATGATCCTACCATACGAGAGTGGGATGCATCGACTTGGCAGCAGGTCGGTGATCCCTGGACGGGTCATACTGAACAGATCAACGCCATTGCCATGCATGGCACACTTGTCGCCTCAGCATCTGATGACAGGCATGTCTGCCTCTGGCGGTTCTCCGATCGAGAAACCATTGCCATATTCGACCATTCTAGGCGGGTGAACTGCGTCACCTTCTCCATAGATGGCAGGCGCATCCTCGGTGGGGGTGAGGATAAGAAAATCTCGGTGTGGGCAGTACCGGAAGACGCTTTGCTAGAGGACGCTCCAGAGGAACCAGCGTCCGACGATGTAAGTTCGCAGTACTGATTTGATGTCTCTTCGTCTTTTACCTTGCATTTAGGATGTCCCATGCGAGAGTGAGAACTCGGAAGCGCTTCTCGACGCGCAAAAGGTGAGATGGCGTCGATCTCTTCGTAGCCAGTGCTCACTAAACCGATACATAGGTCATCAGACTCGACCCTTCGTCTTACCGTGGGTACGAGTTGAAACATGCAGCGCTTCATGATGCACGACGCTACAATGAAGCAATTGAAGCATTTAAAGTCATGATCTCCAAGCTGGATGACGCTCCCGAAGATCAGATACGTCGTAAGCCCCGGTCAAGTCGTGCGTCAAGTGGAAGACACTCATCTCATTCTACAGAGCTGCGAAAGAACTATGTCTCTCCATCCGAGGCAGAAGACGCTATTCGAAGAGCCGTTCTGATTCAACTCGATAACGCCCCGCTTCGTTTACTCCACACTACCACCGGGCTCTTATGTGATCGACAGGCGCAAATCAGCGCCTTCAAAGCGAGCACGACATACAAAGAGCTTCTGTCATCGATGATGAAGCATGCAGACTTGCCAACAGAGCGCATCGATAGAGTGGTTGAGATGTACTTTTGTTGTGTCATGCTATCCCATAGGTGGGAAGGGACGGAGTCGCTGCTGCACGACATCCAGGACAAGGTTGTATACAAGTTGAAGGCAACAGGTGGTCTCGTGAAGTTGCAATCATTTTGCAAAGTTGCTCGCGATGCAGGTTACCGCTGGGCGTGGATGGATACATGCTGCGTCGACCAGAATAACAACGTCGAACTCTCAAAATCACTCAACTCCAGGTTTGCCTGGTATCAGCACTCAGCTCTCACGATCGTCTACCTGTCGGATGTTCCTCCTTCGTCAAAGTCTGGCGCTTTGGCAAAGAGCGCCTGGAACACGCAAGGATGGACTGTCCCGGAATTCCTCGCTCCTAAGGTCATTCTCTTCTACAAACAGAATTGGACTCTATATCTCGACGACCAATCTCGCAACCACAAGGAGTCCGTTGCAATCATGCAGGAAGTGGAGGCTGCTACGGGCATAGATCGACGGGCCCTCGTCACCTTCCATCCAAGGACGATAGGTGTGCGAGAGAAACTCAGATGGGCGTCTACGCGTATCACCGTGCAAGAAGACATTGCATACGCATTATTTGGTATCTTCGGCGTCCAACTCCCTATGCTTTATCGCGAGCATAAGCAAAATGTGCTCGGAGGCCTCTTGCAGGAGATTGTGGCTCGGTCGGGGGATATTACTCCCCTGGACTGGGTCGGAAAACCTTCCGAGTTCAACAGCTGTCTGCCTGCTGACATCTCCTCGTACAAAGCTCCGCCATACTCGCTACCGTCTTTGTCCGAAGATGAGATGCAGACATCACTCTCCTCGCTGCAGGGCGTGGCTAGTGTGAAGTTGGCCTCGAGACTTTATTCCGTGCTTGACAACCTGAGTGCCCCCCGCTTCGCCAACTGCAAACTACAACTGCCTTGCATTACATTCCGTGTCACAGCAGTCAAAAGAAGGCGTAGTACAGACCAGGAGACACAATCCACGTATGGAGTAAAGGCAGATGGCCTTCATGACCTGGTGATCACCACGGAGCACAAGCTGACTCAGTTCTCGCGGTCACGGCCCACTCAGCAGACATTCTTGCTTGTCCGCCCGTGGAACCGCTGTCTTCTCGAGCAGTCTGACTTTGCAGAGCAGCCTGATTTTGCAGATGATATGCAGAGCGAGGGAGATTGGTCTGAGCCCGGTTCTCCATTACATGACTTGCCTGGCAGCTTTCCTGGAAACAATGAGCCAGTTGGTTCAGAGCCCCACACACGAGCGTTGCGATTGATTGTTCGCCTCGGACAACCATTCGGCGCATTTTTGCTAGCACCGCAGGGCGGGGGAGCGTACAAGAGGATCGCATCAGACCGCGATATCATTGCCCAAGTCAAAGACACGGCTTCTGTTCACAACATGATGAACATCAGGACTGTAGAGATATTGTAGCTGTATTTTTAAGAAGAGAGAATCTCTGAGCGATTTTCATTTGTACTCCTTGGTCATTCGTACTATGCTGGCACCGTGTGACATGCTTACCCAGAAATGTGAATTGCATTTGCGCCATTGGCTGGATCTGCAGCGCTGGATAGGTCCTCCAAACTTCAGCAGGCTTTTGGAAGGATTATTAATGGAATGGATTAACATCCAAAATTTTGTGCTATCCTTTCTTGTACTTGACAGAATCAATTCCAGCGATTGTCCTCGAAAAAGGTCCGCAGCCAACTCTGATCAGTGCTAACCCTGCAGAAGCCCCCACCGGCGCAGCGATTCAGCCGTTTCTTCGTCTTGAGTATCTTGCTCGGCCTGACTGTGGCCCTGAGATGCAAGGGGAATAGCAGTAACTTCAGCATGGCTGAATGTCCTGACTCCAGTCCTTACGATTCTCAACCTAGACTTGCAACTTGGATCGGGACAGGCGACCTCGGCATCCGTGCTCATCCAATCATTTGGGTGAGTGACACGCTGCTTAGCTGCTAGAAGTGGCAGAACGGCACCTAAATATCCTGTAAGTGACAGAAACTAAACTAAAAGAATGTCAATCAGAATGCTTACTGAGCGAGTAAATGGAGAATCCCTGTCCAGGTGGGAGGTGAAGCATTTCTCCTTCAAGGATAAAATGATCACCCTCTTTCGCTCCGCATAGTATACGTTCCCCTGGTGGGCATATAACCTCGACACGGAGATCATATAACTGGAATGTATCGATTGGCGGGGCTGACCCGGAGTTATCCATTCAACGGAAGCGTTCAGGGAAAAGAAAGAGATGCAATATAGTGGGCGCTTGTTACAAATGAGGTTTGCTCCAGCGGTAACTTGCGGGGATTGCAAACTCCAGGTACCTTGCAAGGAATGTGTAATTATATGAAATGTCCGTATTAACAAAATCACAAGAACAAAAAAGCTATCGATGCAGAAGCTAACCAGAAGCAGAGCAAACTCAAAGGACTACCACTCGATGCAGTATTTGACGCAGTATTTGATGCACCACCTGTGCTTGTGGCAACTGTCACAGCGCCAATTGTTGGGGATGGAACCGCAGCTTTGATACCATTCTGAGCGATAGCAGTCTCCGATAGTGCAGCAAAACCAACAGAGGCAGGACTGTACTTAAAAACAGAGTAAACGTTTTTCTGAGCATTGATCAGTCGTGGTTCAGAGAACATAAACTAGTGGTGGAAGCTCACGAGGAATGCGTCGCCAATAACCCACGAAGGACCCCCTTGGCCGATTGTAGAGACGAAGAAAGCCCCAATGCACTCCGTGCTACTGACCTGGGTGTGCGTGAAGTCCGCGGGGCTCATCGACCAAGTGTTGCCACCAAAGTTGAACTCCACATTCACCGTCGTGCTGCATGCTAATTTTGTTCTGTCAGCCAACGAATTGTACGACAGGACTGATACCTACGATAAGTGTAATACCCTTCCAATGAGCCCGTTCCTAGTTGGGATCCAGGGATCTGTGCGTAGATGCTCGCAATGGCAGTGGAAGGGCCTGCAATGTTTGTGGTTCCAGTGTCGATTATAGCAGTCGACATCCCTGCGATATCGATGGACTTTCCCTGGACAGTTAGCGCTAAGTTATCAAACGCATCAGCTTGTAGCTGGTGGTGATACATTTTTTACATTCTACTTACTATTCATGTTAATCTCCCAAAATTGTGGTGTTCCAACAAGGTCATAGTATTCAATTGACCCCGTGTAAAGACTGCTGTTGGTGTAACCTGTCGAACAGTCACGTTAAATTCGAATATGAACGCGGCAAGAATGCACCTACCCATATCAATAACACCTCCCGGTTCATTTTGGGTGGCACCAGACGCATTGCCATAGCTTACCAACCACGCGTCAGGAGAACATAGTGAATAACTCTGTCAACACATACCGTGTTAGCTGTACTCCGAATAACGCAGAATCCCAACTTCCACCACTAGCCAAAGTTTGCCAGAAAGGTGTCTGTTTCGTGGAAGCAAGCGGAGCCCAGGCGAGACCCATTATCCCAGATACAGGGTTCTGGGTAAAGGCTGACGAGAGAACATTGACAACGCCTACCGCAGTTTCTGTCAGATGTATATAAAGCACTCGGCATATATAACAGCGTACCAAAACCCTGCTTTTCCACCGAGAAACCAGCCATCTGAACAGTCTCCTCAGCAACATAGCCAGCAACTGCACCCGAGCCATATTGGATCTCAAGTGCTGTCGAGAGATTTTGGAAAGTGGACGATTTTGCAGGATCGTATGTGAGGCTGGTTCCGCAGCCGGATTCACAAGTCGAACTGGTTAGCCACAGATCGCTAGAAATATTTGTTCTTAGTGATGTTCGTTGAGAAAATTACGATCTGATACTTACGATGAACCAGTGTCGAGAATGACATCATATGACACTGGCGGCGTCCCAATCGCGATGGTTCCATAGTAGCTAATGAGACATGTCCGATTAGCAAAAGCGCGCTGCATGATAGAGATTTCTGCGCACCCTGTGTCAACCCCCTGATTGACGATGCTGGACAGCATCGTTTAGGATGAAACACCAAGGATATGAAAGATTTTACATACAGGTTATATCCAGTGCCTCTTGTCTGCAGCGACTGACCACCATACTTCGCAGCAAGCATATCCCTTTGGTCTTTTGCTTGCTGAATCATCAGCGTAAAGTTCTGTGACGAAGGGTTCAGCCTGCGGATAGGCATGCTCCGCCCAACCACAGGCGTAGGCGCTGTCGGTGCTGCAAATGCATCCCGGCTTAGAAGAAACAACGAAAGGGTCGTGAAGAAAGCAGAAGCAATCATGACGCTCTAGAAAGCGAATTAACAGACCAAATACGATGGTAGACTGCCTGCAGTCCGAGGAGAAAAGAAATATTAATGACTCGAGCCCGCGAGGATAGAGAAATAAAAATGATGAGAAGAAATGGACCTGCAGGGCTCCCCTTTCAGCGTTATAACGTGTTTCATGTTCCAACCAGTGCTGCGCAACCCTTCAAGGAGCGTACCAAGCGACCGGGACACAGCCTGTTCTGTTGTTCCAGGAACAGCCGGAGCAAAAATAGTGTCGTCATGAATCAAGTCTTATTGTCATCGGTTCACCTATAAAAGTAGTCACTTGTGAACATGGTAGCATGCAAATCCGTAGTCCTGACTCCTGATTGGCTAGATCGGTACCAGGGCAAGTCTTAGGCTCGCCGAGTAGGTTGGACACGAAGATTGCAACCTTGAATTCCTCAGCGCCTCTGTCAAGTACTGTAACAGCTGGGCAACAGGCTGGGCATCGTACTCGGGTGTGTCATGCGCACCACATGGGTATAACCAGACTCTGAGCCTGACATCAGGCCATCAGCGTTGTGATGACGAGATGACAGGGAGCGAAAAACAGTACCGCCGCTTGCACAGGCGAAGTTAGGCGATGATAAGAACGAAAAATCAAAACAATCAGTATAAGTATATCCCAATGCAGTGTAAGGGCACCACCGTACGTGTAAGTAGAATTATTGTATCTAATTAGCCAAAAGTGCCTCCTTCCATTTACTTGGTCGCGAGCGGTTCTTAGTGTCTGAGAAGATGGGAATGCCCTTGGCACGCTTCTCTGCCAGTTCCTCTTTCACATCCTCAACTTCTCGCAGCATTCTTGCACGACTCCTTGCGACTGCCTTCAGAATCTTATCCCTCCGCAGGTGGCCAGTGAAGCGCCAGTTCTTGCTCCCCGACATGGACGTCCGCACTAGTTCATGTCTCCTCCATCTCTTCAACGCATCCAGCGCGAACTTCTCGTTCAGCCAATCCATCCGTTTCTTTCTGTCCTCTGCAGTCATATCTTCCATTGCTTGAGGATAGTAGAATGGATCTACAAGACCGACGATGGCACGCTTGTATGTCCTGTACGATTTCGTCGCCTTTGATCCATTATATATACGATGTAATGGCGAGAAGTAGTTGGCAGTTCGGATGTAGGTAGTTTTGACGCCGTAGACGGCAGATAGATACGAGCGAATGTCGGTTTTCGTGACAGACATGGGGATTCGGAAAGTGGCTTCGTAGGGATTATAGGGCTTCCCAGTGGGTGTATTGTTGCGCACCATGCGGAATATGATGTTCGGGAGATAGATTCTCTGACCAACCACCTGCAGCTCTTTCTCTCCGTTATTGTCTGTGACCTTCAGACCGCGAAGACGCGTCCGCCGTTCATTGAGGGCGTCAAGCCACTGAGCTTCCGTCAGGTCTCTCCCCTGATTATCCATCAACTCGCCCTTGGCGAGGGCTCGTCTGTAGCGTGAATATTCTGATGGAGTGAGGTCACTGTCAGTGGGGGGTTTGAGGTGGGCTCGTTTTCGTTCGCGGCGTTCACGGACGGCCATGGGAGCTGAGGCATCTCTGGCAGCCGCTGCAAGCTTTGGCAAGGCGCTTGCAGCCCGTTCTGGTGGTTGCGTCGAGTAGAGACGACGGGCTACGCGACACAGAGCCTGCATTCGTGAAAAATATTGGAACGAACGGGAAAAGAAACTTCTGAGCAAACTCATAATGAACAATGTTTAGACCCCCTGTAAATCGCTTGATTTGGATATGTGACCCCCCACTTACTTCACCCTGTCCAACACGTTGCTGCGATTTCAAGCAGCTGGTCATCACCTTCGAGGTAATTTGTTCGCTGATTCTGGTAGATTCATTGACCGTAGTCGCTCACTTATCTAGAACTGGGTGGGCCATAATGGCTGCGTTTACCTTCTCTCGCTTTCTCCGATCTATGAGGGGCATATTTATCCCAACAGCAACTGTCATTGGTTTCTCATGCCTCCTGACATACATCTTCATATTATACCAGCCCACCGTCGGACCTGGCATTACCCAGCGTCTTGGGTGGCAAGCTTGGGAGGCGGTCGCGACTGTCGACTACTTCGACAAAGGAACTTCTACGCCGACAGTCACACAGCCTGGTGACGTAGAGGAGGCACAACCATTTCCGGGCAATGGGGGAGAAGTTGAAGGTACAGATTGGTGGGAAACCTCATCCAGTCAACCCTGGGATGCTACCGATGATATCGAGAGTTACCCGCTTGACGTATGGGCTCCGCTGTTACCTCACGATACCGGTCGTACGTGTCCTTGCCACTTTGTCAGGGACTCGATTTAATTTCCTACAGTGTCTGAAATTACTATCACCCGTTGTATGATGCCACCGAATCTCGTCGGGGATTTATGTGCACCTAGCACGACGGTCGAGCAGGATGCCATTAAGGGCAACTGGGTTCGAGTGGAACGGGATCTTAACAAGCAAGCTGGTCTATGGAGTCTGGTATGCACAGCTGTTTTATGTCGCCTATCTCATGACTGAGCGGATTCACTATAGAACATCTACTACAGGCGCACGCGCCGTCTTGATATACCTCTCGTTACCGACTTGCGCCTACTTCCTGCCGGCGACACTCCTGAACCTCTTACGGACCCCTGGGTCAGAGTTGATCACTCCATACGCGATGGTGTTATGCGTACGGAACCACTGTACCTATGGTACCTCCCGGGAAAAACGATGAACGAAATGACTGTGGAAGAGAGAGCTAATCTCATAACCGAAATCGACGTCCTCTTCGGGGAGGACAGACCTTGGTACGGATTTGAGAAAGTAGAGCCTGCCGTGACCCCTGAGAAGGAGGGGAAACTAGAGAGCGTGTATGTGACGTACCGCCGCGGCGTGAAGTGTGAGCATGGACAGCCTTCATGCTAATAGTAAACTGACTTTGATTCGCAGCGGTCCCTCGCGCACATCCTTTACACTTCTCACGAGACGGAAAATTCAAGATTTTGCAGGTTGCAGACCTACATTTCTCCGTTTCCAGGGGCCTCTGTCGGGACACCGACCTTGATCCCTGCGTCAACTCGGATAATCTCACGAACACGCTCCTCGGACATGTTCTGGACGAAGAAAAGCCAGACCTTGTCGTCTTCTCTGGCGACCAGCTCAATGGGCAGGGAACGTCTTGGGATCCTAAATCTGTTCTCGCAAAGTTTGCCGTGGCAGCTACAGATCGAAAGATACCTTGGGCGGCTATCTTCGGCAATCATGACGAGGAGGACGGCGACGTGAAGCAGGAGCAGCTGCGTATGATGAAGGCCCTTCCTTACTCCATGGTGCAGAGCGGTCCGAAAGATATTCACGGTGTTGGGAACTATGTTCTGGACGTGAAGAGTGCTGATGCGTGAGTATTTCCGGTTGATTATGTTGGGATACAAGATGAACGCCCTCGATAGCTCCATGACATCGCTGCTGACGCTGTACTTCCTTGACTCTGGATCCTACTCGAGCGGCTACTTGGATTGGTTTGGGTTTTTCTTCCCGACCGAGTACGACTGGATACACGAGGTCAGTGTTCTTTGATATCATCGTATCAGAAGGCACTCATATCTCCCAAGGACCAAATCAACTGGTTTTTGCAAGAGTCAGCCAAGATCCAGCCCATAGAACGCCCGTTTACCCCGGACACCGGAAAGGACTTTGGTTCCATATGGACTAGACAATCCGATCAGATCACGCCCACCACACGCAAGCTAGCGAAGCCCAATGCTATGATGTTCTTCCACATTCCTCTGTGGGTCCATATTTCCGCTACTGTCACAGCTTTCTCATTTTCACATCAGGCAAGAGTCATACGGTACAGCGGACAGAGACACGCGTACTGGCCAGCTGTTAGACATCGGTCTGCACGATCTGGAAGGATCTGGTGCTGCGAAGAAGAGTGATGGAATGTTTGACAAGGGCTTGAAGCAAGCCCTCGAGAGCGGTCACGTCGCGGGCGGAAGCATACCCGAAGTGAAAGTGATCGCAAATGGACACTGCCACAGTAAGTTCCAGCATCGATTCTCCTGGATCCCGGATCTCACGTAGTGCCCCAGTCACGGAGGACTGCAGACGTGTCCAGGATATATGGTTGTGCTTCGGAGGTGGAGGGTAAGTGATGCGCCCAGTTTTTGTCCGTCATTGTGTTCATTGTATGATGCAGGTCGTATTCTGGGTACGGGCAGGTTGGGTGGGTTGATCATAATTCATATGCTGCATTTTCATCTCGCTTACTCTTCCCTTAGGTTCGACCGGCGGTTCCGCGTATACGAAATCTCTGATTATGGAGAGACCATCCGGACGTACAAGCGCTCAGAGAAGGACGAGATCCTCAACAACTACATTCTAGCTGGACCGGGAGCTCCCCCATTCAACCCACGATCGTAGAATTCTTGGGCAAAGGGCATGCCCAATGTAATTTATAATTAGTGACCTGACCATTTTCTCGTGTTCGTCACGGATCTGTACTTTTGTTTGGCTACATTTCATGGCTTCTGAATCCTAAAAAAAGCATTCAGGTGACTGAATGTGACGGATGGAGCGATCAGCCCCTGTTGTTCTATTTGCTGCTGCGGCACTACCGTTCTGTATACTACGCAATCAAATCCCACTGTATCTCCTGTTCTTGGTGTATTTACCATAGTATATCTGAATCGTGGGCCAGACGTAGCCCTGCGTGAGCAACACGACGGCCTGTCAGAACTCAGATCACCACTAGCATTTGGTGCGAGGCCGCTAACGAGTGACTTCATTTGGAAATAAATTCTCATGGCAGAAAGGGTACCGAAGACCGCTGATCAGAATACTCCTGGGCCTAGTTGCTTGACATAAAGCGCACTCCTCTACAGCACTGACATCCTTTGTGCTCGCAAATGTCTTCAACGAGGTCAACGCCCCCGCCGCCTTACACGGGACATAGTTCACGGCGTGACAACCAGTCAGTAGCCTCCATTCAATCATCCGGTTCATCCTCTTCACGAAGCAGTCGTTCGCACGCCCATGTAAGTACACTTGATAATGTGCAGTGTAGATGGCTAGTCTCATCCAGTATGTAGCCCGCAGTCGAGTCTGCAGTCACACGTCTTCTTGTAGCCATCAAACAGCTCCTCGAGTCCCTCACCCAATGGAGCACCGGAAAAATGGACGAGGCCCAGGTGAGCGACGTCTACGTCCGCCTCGGGAATGACTTCAACGCGGCCGTGGCTGCGTTTGCTGCATTTAACATCGATATGTCGTGCGTGCCTTTGCCTGCAGGTTGACACGACCCTCAACTGCTAAGTATCACCCTACAGAGACCTCATGTCCGTGCCCGAAGACCTACGAGAGGTCCTTGAAACCTGCCTAGCAGAGGAAGCCACGGCAGACAACCTCAACGTGTATCTACCCACAGTGCGCAAGATTATCACCAACCTCCTTCAGGGTCTCCGCGGCAAGCAGTCCATGTACCGTCGGATCGTGTCGGAGCATCAGAGCCGACACCGGTCGTCGCACTCGCGGACGGACAGCCGCTCGTCCAAGTCTGACAAAGCCTCGCGGCGCGATGAAGATTCGAGACATCGGTCGCAGCTTTCACGTAGTGTAGTTGAGGAGGAGGATGGTGGGGAGAGGGATAGCATAGCGAGACGATCAGCAAGGTCATCAGCAAGACGACAAGATCCGAGGACAGAGACCCCTCCGCCCCCATCTCCACCACCCGTGTTCCGCGAACCTGACGATGAAATACCCCCTAATGAAAAGACAATCACGAGCGGTGTAAATGGACACGCCAATCGAGGCTCAGGGCCGCCTCAGGCACGACAATCGCAGCGTGTATACAAGTCTAATGGGGATGCGCTTTCAAGAGAATCGTCTGAGACCTTGGTCGCATCTTCCATCGCATCAACTCCATCTCATGCGCCACCCAACGAGCCAGATAAAAATTTGCCTCAAACACCACCTCAGAGTGTCCCTGTCCCTGCCTCCGTCAAGCGCTATTCGCTCGTCGATAGACCAGTCTCCTCGTCGCCTAAGTCACCCCCTGCAGTACTGATAGATGAAGCTCCTGCCCCTCCTAGCGAAAGCCCATCACCCTCACAAACTCCGCCCATCGACAGTTTGCAGGCACCTGCAGTCGCCAGCTCTCTGGCCGCGTTGAAGAAGAGTGATGTGCTCGAGCGGCGTGCGTCGAAGCGCTTTTCGACGTACAACATCACGAAAATGACAGGCTCACGGGAGCGGTCATCCAACCGGCGGTCAATGGCAGTAGGATCATTACTGACGCCAGGGGATCTAGCGGTTCTAACAGAAGTAGATGAACCGGACGTCAACCGCTCCGGTAGCGGGCGGAGAATGTTCCAGCGAACACCCTCGCCCACAGTCGAGGCGGAAGCAGCCCCTCCCGTTCCTCCACTGCCTCCGCTACCAGAATCAGCCCGCTCCCAACGCGCTCGTACGGTGTCTAAGGTAGAAAAAGGGACGGACGAGTCTACGATCTTTGAACAGGTACCTGAACCTGCTTTGCCGACCACGTTCTCAGTTTTCTTACAACTCGGACGAGAAGTCAAGAAGGTCACCATTGAACCTGGTTTGTCCTTTTCGTCGTTGCGGATGCTATTCGTGGACAAGTTCTCGTATAATCCGGGTCTCGAGAATTTCCCTGCGATATACATTCGCGACCCCTCTAGCGGCGTGCAATATGAGCTGGAGGACATTGAGGAGGTGAAAGAGAAATGCCTACTATCTCTCAACATCGAACGTGAGTGAAGTCACGTTTTCTGCGTTCCCGTTCTGATTATGTATCTAAGCACTCGATCAAATCAAGCAACACATCGACAGTCAGATATCTACGCTGTCTAATGACCTCAAAGAACTTCGCACCGCGATTTCAAATAACCGTCGATCGTCCCACATAAATCCCATCATTGGCCATGACTTCGTCGAGAGCACACCGATGGCAGATCGGCCATCCGAAAGGCAATTACATAATGTCGCGCGGAGGCTATCACGCATCGTGGGTGACGTGAGCTCGAGCGGCAATCCATTCATTCTACCTCAGATAACTGGACAGTCTCTCCAACTACAACCACAAACGACGGGGGCCTCGGTGATGTCCGAGTACTCCAACCGAGTGGTGAACGATCTGAAGACGCAGTTCGACGAGGTACAGAACCTGCGACGTGATCTAGGAATCATGAGGCAGTTGTACACAGAGTTTATGAAGTCCACGAAGGATTCGTTGGGCGCTTTGCGGACACAGACGCAGTCCGTGAAGCAGCTAGCGTCCGTCAAAGTTGGCGGCGCACGGGGCTTCATAGATCAGGGGAAGACGAAGTTGGACACGCGGAGTCAGAACGTGCTGACGAAGGTGGAAGAGCTGCAGGATACGGTGGAGGCACTCCGAGATGACGTTCTCAAGCGCCATATGTCACCCAAGCCTCAGTTAGTGAAGCAGATCCAGGAGGACATCGCTTCCACTGCTACAGAGCTGGCTAGTCTTAAAGAGCACATCGATACTGTCAAGCCGATGTGGAAGAAGACGTGGGAAGAGGAGCTACAGAACATTGTGGAGGAACAGGGCTTCCTCGGTCATCAAGAAGAGTTTATGAACGATCTCCTCGAGGATCACAAGGCTTTGGTGGACGTTTTCGGGCATGTTGAGAAAGTCATTTCTATCCGCGGTACCACCCCTGGACGCAGTAACAGAGGCCGTGGATTCAAGCCTCTTCCGGCAGACGAAGGCCATACTGGCCTGAGTACTGTCATGATGGAGATTCGGGGCGCGGCGGTTGACCCGGAACGGCGGATGAAAGCAATCGAAGCTAACCAGAAAAACCGGGAACGAGAAATTGCAAGCCGGTCTGACGAATTCCAGGAGGAGCTGACAGGATTTGTGGGTGGCAAGAGATTGCGAATGACAGGCGGAGCAGAAGAGGTGGATAGAGTGCGACAGAGAAGGAATGAGCTCGCGCTAAAAGCGATGTTCAACAGCGCGTCGGCGTCTGTTGACAACTTATCAGGTTTTCCGACATCCCCGAGTGCTGGCTGATGGCCAACACTGCTAATCAAAGCTTCGATACAGACATTTGGTAGTCACCTGTCTTTGTGGATCCTTATTCTATGCTTACTGGGACTTGATTTTCCGTGTTGCACTTTGATTTCATTAATCATTTCGAGAGACCACTGACATTGCATTCTGTTCTTGTCTTACTTATGCAGATTGAGTACTACATACATACTATCTCTTCCACTATTGACACAGCGTACCCATGTGTGACCAACGATGCCATTATACAAACAATTGTTATCCAAGATGTCAGGCTGCTTCTCCTTTCCGCCAAATCTAATGATACATAAGTAGCACTCCAAGAATTGTCCCAAGCCCATGATATCAAGGCGCGCGCCTATGCAGCCACAGCACCTCTTTCATTGTTCTCCAACGACTTTCTTATTGCTGAGAGGTGATTATTCCAAGGAGAAGGAATATCAGCACTATATGTGGACGAAGCTATTATTCTGGGCAAGCCAATAAGAGACTCGGAGCCGCTCACATGTTTATCGACCTCTGGCGCTTCATTGGCTTGATCTCTCCTGGGATCTTGATGTGCCGTGGGGTCCAAAAGAGATACGACAATTTAAACGCCATGATGGAGAATTTGAGCAGCTCTACCAGGAGCGTTGTTTAACAGCAATTCGTAGAATGCAATAGGCCTCGAGGGCCGCGGCCAGCTAAGGCTCGGCGTTGTGATAGAAAGAGGGAGATTAATGTGGTCCGTAAAGAAGTTCATCTACTCATAAGTTACTATATACCGTGACGTTTCCGGCTACAATGGTACGCCCGATGGCGATGCGACGTCTAAAAGTTGCTCCCAAGAAACAATCAACCGGGCACAGCCAGAGCGATACAGACAATGAGAGGCGCACAAAAGGAGACTGGACGTAATAAGTAAACCATAAAAGGCAGCAACTCGAAAGGCCGTCGTGTGGTTCGGGCGTCTGATACTTACAACAAGCGGTACAAGTGGAGGCAAGCGGGTGATGCGCGGCCAATCCTCGTGATTATATACTTAGGAATGAAAGCGAGAACTCCCCTTAGAAAGCCAAGTACTCGTAATAATATACGTCGTAGAGAAGTTCAAGATCAATTGCTATTGGAGGTGCACTGGAATAAAACTCAGCAGCAGGTCGCAGCCAAATTTAAACTTTTTGATCCGATATAGTAACAGTCCACAACTTGCAACGGCTAGATAAAAAGATTAACAGAAAGTCGGAAGTACTCTGGAGATTCGGGAAGGATCTTGATAAGTTCGAGTCGGGTCCGAGGCCTCGAGGATTTACGACAAGGCGGTTTTTGAAATTCGAAGATTTTTGTAATAGTACTACTGTTGAAATGCACACCGTCGGGACCGCCAAAAGTCCATGTAGCGTTGCCGCGAGGCGAATCGAAGATATCGAATCGAGGTGGTAAATCGATACAGTTCAGCACTGACGAGTTGAAACGAAGTGTACCTCGTTTGCCTCGCGATGTGGAAACGAGTTCTGGGATGATACGGACCGGTAATCTAGCCAATGAGAAGCTAGGGGTTCTGCATGCCGCCGCCGCCGCCGACGATTTTTTGCAAGTGACTACATAGTACGCGACCAGCAAATAATACTAATTGTCCCTTGCATTCTGGAGTTTATGCGCGTTATTTATGTGTGTGATACAGCTGAATTGAATGTGACAACTGCGTTGCTATACCACAAAGTACATGCCACGTGTTGGGTGTGTGTGGAAGAAGTGGACTAACTCGGTCGAACTCGCAGGATACTATTGGTTACCACTCACTCGTGCAGTCCCACATTTCGTGCAGTCACGCAAATGTCACGGAAAGTCACGGAATAGTCACACTGTCCGATTTCGCAGTCCGCTCGACACGCTGTGGATTAGATATTAGGAAGATATATACGAGTGTACCAGTGGCTAGTATGTAGTAATCTAATTGAATATGTATTGCGAGTTGCCGGAGTAATGAAAAGGGAGACTATTAGGATGCCCAGACAGCAATGGCTGTGATGATGTAGATATGACAGGAGCGGTTGTTGAGAGTACAGCGGGGCCAACATGATGTAGGTGGTTCGGATAAGGAATGGGGAGAGATCCTTGCATTTGCGGAAAAAATGGTGGCTGCGGGTGGAACATATTGTTGGCTGCCGTGGGGAGAGGAGTACTTGCTGAAGGTGTTGAGTTTTCATTCGAAGTTGGGTTGGCAACGGCAACGGCAACGGCAACAGGCCTGCCAGTGCGTCGTTTTGAACCATATAGCGCCGAAAATCGAGGATTATCGCCAGTATTTGAGCACGGAGTTTTCGAGGATGTAGAGGGGTTGCTGAATCCGAGTTATGGTGGCACCAGTCCACCAGTACTTTTTCTTGGGATTCATTGAGGAATGAGCGTCGAGTACGGTGTTTGCCTGCCGCACGATCTCGCACAGTCTGTGGGGGTACCTGAAGGAAAATTGAGTTGCGATAAAATTATTGAGGGAGTGCTTACATTGTGAGCTATGGCAGCACTGCGAAAACTGCCATGAACACCAGTCAAGGTATCCTGGATGGCGGCTTGAATGCGAGCCTCTTTGGTGGGATCTCGGGGACCTTTTCGCTTCCCACCGACTCGAGTGCGCGCCATCCGTGCGGCAAGTAGACGCGTCCAGACGCGTTGCCACCAACGCGTCTGAGTTGAAACTCCGCTACGGCATCGGACGGCAGGTGACAATGGAAGTGACAAAAGCCTTTGTCACAAGCAAACATTTATCTCTCTTGTTTCTTGTCCGAATGCATCCGTCTAAGCTCGTAAGATGTTCTTGTGTATTATTATTTCAAATGGACATAGTAGCTTGAAGATTTGTAGTAGGAAAAGTGTGGTTTTGGAGGATGCACGAAATGTGGTACTGCACGAGTGAGTGGTAACCAATAGTACGCAGCTGCCAGCTGGATTCACGGCGGCAATTCTGCGCATCCATTCTCACGTAAGAATCAGCACATACGTCAAACTTGTATTGACGCCCAAGCCTATCTCGGAAGTTGGAACCGCACTGGTGACCTGCATAAATGCATAGATTCCTGCAACTGTCCGCCCAAGCTGCGCTCGAACATGGGTGCAGAACCCATCTCACCTGCCCTACATATATCGGAGGGCCCTTCAGCCACTCCCGATGAGAAGCAACCAGTACCTGCATTTTCAAAAGAGCCCACTGCGCCTCCAGAACATGTCGCTCTGGAAATGAAAGCCAAGCCAAAGGGCATCCCAACCTTTCTCCCCTGGTTAAAGAAGGCATCTAAAGAAGGGGAAAGTCTTGATAGCGAAGCTGTGAACGCAAAAGCAGCAGAGACACTCGCCCCTGCGTCATTCTTTTCGCTATTTCGGTTAGATCATCCCATTTTTCTGACCGACCGTGGTAGTTCACCGACGCAGGTATTCAACTCGCTTTGAAATAATGTTGAACCTCTTTGGAGTAATCTGTGCTGTTGTTGCGGGCGCGATGCAGGTAAGTTTTCATGTTTTCTGAGCTATTATATCACCTCATTTTCCATCCTAGCCAGTCATGACTTTGGCATTCGGCAACTTGACACAAGATTTCGTTGCATTTGGTTTAGCAGAGAACGAATACTATCAATCGCTACAATCCAACGATGCGAACGTGACTGAGCAGGCGCAGATGGCACTGGATGCTGCTGCATCCGAGTTCCGTCATAACGCTAGCCTGGATGCTTCTTACCTTACTTACATCGGTAAGCTTTTGATTCGATGAGAACGGCATCTAGTATTCTGAACTTATATCAGGTATCTTGATATTTTTTTCCACGTATCTGTATATGTACACCTGGATTTACACTTCAGAGGTTAATGGGAAAAGAATACGAGAGAGGTATCTTCAGGCCGTCCTTAAACAGGAAATCGCCTATTTTGATGATGTCGGGGCTGGAGAGGTTGCGACGCGCATCCAAACAGACACTCGTAAGTTGTCTGGACTTTTCGAAGTGCATGGTCAAAGTCACGTTGCTCTGAAATAGACTTGGTACAACTGGGGATATCCGAAAAAGTCACTCTTGCAGTCACTTTCATCAGCGCATTCTTCGTTGGCTTTATTCTTGCATATGTCCGGTCATGGCGTCTCGCTTTAGCATTGTCATCCATCTTTCCGTGCATCGCAACCACAGCCGGCGTCATGAATAAATTCATGTCCAAATACACGCAGTGAGTGTACTTGCTATATAGCTCGTCCTGAAGGTCTGATCTTCGTTCAATACTAGGTTATCTTTGAATCATATTGCTGAGGCAGGTAGTCTTGCGGAGGAGGTCATATCCACGATTCGCACCGCACAGGCTTTTGGGACGCAAAAGGTTTTGTCTGGGATATACGATAAGAACGTCGATGTCTCTCGCGTCGTTGATTCTAAAGCGAGTATTTGGCAAGGAGCAGGGCTAGGCTGCATCTTCTTCGTGATCTACAGTGCATACGCGCTGGCATTTGATTTTGGAACTACCCTCATAAATGAGGGGCAGGGTCTGTTTAATTTTATGTATCGTGAGATTGCATGATTAACATTAGTTGGCAGCTACCGCCGGACAGGTCATAAATGTCCTCATGTCTATCTTAATTGGGTCCTTCTCTCTTGCCCAACTTGCGCCTGAATTGCAAGGTAAACGTGGTCCCTCTTTTTATTCGGAATTCTCATCATGTTTCAAGCCATTACACGCGCCTGTGGCGCTGCCGCCAAACTGTTTGCTACGATCGAGCGTGTCCCGGATATCGACTCTACAAACCCAGGGGGACTAAAGCCTATGAAAGTTACTGGCGAGATCACATTCCAGGATATCAAATTCAGCTATCCATCTCGCGCGGATGTCCCAGTTCTCAAAGGCATTAATGTCACTTTCCCGGCTGGCAAAACCACTGCTCTCGTCGGCGCATCTGGATCTGGTAAATCTACCATTGTATCTCTCACCGAACGCTTCTACGATCCACTCAGTGGTTCTGTTATACTTGATGGGACCGACTTGCGGGAGCTGAACATCAAGTGGTTGCGCTCTCAGATCGGTCTTGTTTCACAAGAGCCCGTTCTTTTCGCGACGACTATCAGGGGTAACGTCGCACACGGTCTCATTGGCACATCATACGAGGATGCATCTAACGAGCAGAAATTCCAGCTCATCAAAGCAGCCTGCATTAAGTCCAACGCCGATAACTTTATTAGCCACTTGCCACAAGGATATGACACCATGGTTGGTGAGCGGGGTTTTCTGTTGTCGGGGGGACAAAAACAGCGCGTCGCCATTGCGCGAGCTATTGTGTCTGATCCGCGTATCTTGCTACTCGACGAAGCAACGAGTGCCCTCGATACTCGCTCGGAAGGGATTGTACAAGATGCTCTTGACAAGGCAGCTGCTGGCCGCACCACAATCACCATTGCTCATCGCTTGTCAACGATCAAAGATGCTGACTGCATACTTGTTATGGGCGAGGGACTCGTACTGGAGCGCGGGACTCATGCTGAACTCCTGGCAGACGAGAATGGCGCATACTCTCGTCTCGTCAAAGCACAAACTCTTCGCGAGGGTCATGAAGATGATGATCTGGATCCAGTTATACGCAATCTGGAAGAGCCTAGGTCAGAAGAACTCCTCAATCGGAAGAACACCATTCACTCCGTCGGAAGCGACGTCGTCAGTCAACTAAAGGAGAATGTAGGGGTCCGGGCTCGAGAGGAGGATTACGATCTATTCTATTTAATGAGACGTATTGCTGGTCTTCACCGCGAAGGGTTTTACCGATACGTGATTGGATCTCTCTTTGCTATATGTAGGTTCGCGAAGTACGTGGTATCAACTACACTCATATATTTCTGCAGGCAGTGGTGCTGTTTCTCCTGTATCCGGTATTATATATGGTAAGTCCTTTTTCCGAACACAACCGAAGCCATTTAGCCTGGCATGCACTTGTAGGACACGCGATTTCCGGCTTCACTGCGACCACAAACTCTAAGCGCCGCTACGAAGGCGACCGGAATGCTCTCTGGTTGTGTTTATGTCTTTCCTGGAGATCGTGATGACGCTTACTCCGAGCCCAGGTTTTTCATTCTTGCGATCATGTATGCTTTCTTTCTTGGACTGCAGAACTACTTCTTTGCTTCGTCTGCCGCTGTCCTGACTGCCAAGCTTCGCTCGCTCAGTTTTAGAGCCATTCTCCGACAAGACAGTGAGTGCTCAATTGCTAGATTCTTTTTTTTTTTCACTCACGGAATCAGTCGAGTACTTTGACAATGACAAGAATAGTGTGGGTTCTTTATACAACTCCAGCTCGTGCAGACCCTTACTGGACTCTGTAAGACCGGCGTTCTGACTTCAAGCTTGAGTGAGAATCCCCAGAAAATCAATGGCCTCGCTGGCGTAACTCTAGGAGCGTGAGTATCACGAGTCCTCCCAGGTGGCATCATTACTGACTACGGATAGAATCGTTCAATCCATCACAACTCTGATCGCTGGATTGATCATTGGCTTCGCATATGCTTGGAAGCCGGCTATTGTCGGTATGGGTGCGTCCCGTCTTCCAAATTCCCGCCTTCCTGTTACATATTTCGTCGCCATGTAGCATGTATCCCTGTGCTGGTGTCCGCTGGCTTCATACGTTTGGTACGTAACTGCGTAATATGCCCCCATTGTGCTACACGCGCCTTTTAGCAAGTTGTTGTTCTGAAAGATAAGAAGAACAAGGCAGAACATGAAAGCTCTGCTCAGATTGCCTGCGAAGCTGCTGCAGCCATTCGTACAATTGCATCATTGACTCGAGAAGAGGACTGCCTTAATCTTTACAGAACGAGCTTGGAGGGACCCGTCAGAAAATCCACCAGGACAGCGGCCTGGAGCAACATGCTTTTCGCGCTCTCTCAGGCCATGTCTTTCTGGGTGATTGCTTTGGTTTTCTGGTATGGTTCGACTCTCGTTTCGCGGTTGGAGATTTCCACGCAATCTTTCTTCATTGCTTTGATGGTATGATCATTTTGTCCAATCTCCGAACGTTATTGAAGAGAACAAAAAATTGGCAGAGTACAACGTTTGGGGCAATGCAGGCCGGTAATGCCTTTGCTTTTGTGCCCGATGTCTCGTCGGCCAAAGGGGCCGCCAATGCAATTATCAGACTCCTTGATTCAGCCCCTACGATCGATGCAGAGTCAGCTGAAGGCAAAAATGTTCCAAGCGAAACCATTAAAGGTCACATAAAGCTGGAGAACGTTCATTTCAGCTATCCCACCCGCCCCGGATTCCGGGTTCTTCGTGGCCTCTCACTTACCGTCGAGCCTGGAACTTATGTTGCCTTAGTCGGCTCTAGTGGATGTGGTAAAAGCACAGTGTAGGTCTTGTCATTGTGCCGTATTTGAACAGGCTACTGAGAGTTCCATGCAGCATCCAGTTACTGGAGCGTTTCTACGATCCGTTTTCCGGACAGGTGTTGCTCGACGGAGAGCCTATCAACGAGTTTAACGTTCAGGCATACCGACAGCAGCTTTCACTCGTGTCGCAAGAGCCTGTGAATACACTTGGGACTTAAATCTCTTGGTAGAGAGAACTGACTACTCGCCTTACAGACTTTGTATGCGGGAACTATCCGCTTCAATGTCTTGCTCGGTGCCGTCAGACCAGAATCTGAGGTTACACAAGAAGAGGTCGAGGCTGCCTGCCGTGATGCCAATATACTGGATTTTATTCAATCACTTCCAGAGTGAGATCTCAACACTACGAGAACTTGACGCTTACTGACATGATAATAGTGGGTTCAATACCGAAGTTGGTGGCAAGGGTTCCCAGCTCTCAGGGGGTCAAAAACGTGTGTATCTTCATTTGCAGATGCCCTTCTTCGTGCGCTGAAATGACGATTCAGAACGAGTAGCAATCGCCCGCGCGCTGCTTCGAAACCCGAAGGTCCTTCTGCTGGACGAAGCCACATCAGCCCTTGATTCGAACTCAGAGAAGGTCGTGCAGGAAGCTCTTGACAAAGCTGCCAAAGGTCGCACAACGATTGCAATCGCCCACCGCCTTTCGACTATCCAGAACGCTGATCGCATGTGAGTCGTGGAGGGTATCGTCACTCGTGGACTACTTTCTCACTAATTTACAGCCATTTTATCAAGGAAGGCCGAGTCAGCGAATCTGGCACTCATGACTGAGCTTCTTGCGCGGAGAGGAGATTATTACGAGTTCGTCCAGCTACAAGCACTCAGCAAGAAGTAATAGAGATTTAATGACGCCTCCCCGATGCCCCACTTATGAATTAATTACCAGCGAACAATCTCGTTCACTTCCCGTTTCAGAGTGAATCATTTCTGCCATGAAAAAAGAGACCGTGATGAATCTGGTTGTTCACCGACAACACAATCAGTTAGCCCTATTCTCTCCCCGGCTTCAAGGACAGATGGCCGAGCGGTCCAAGGCGCCAGACTAAGGAGACCAGCTCATTTGATGAGCTTATCATCTGGTCTCTTCGGGGGCGTGAGTTCGAATCTCACTCTGTTCAAATATTTTTGGTTTTCCTGACTTTATGTTCAGGCCCGGGTGGATGTGCAACCTCAGTGGCACTTGTGCACTAACTGTACAGTTCATAAAGAGATGATCTCATAGCAGACCTGTCGGGGAACAAAGAATACGCTTTTGCGCTTCACAGTTTTAACTTTCCCACTACCGTAAACAGTCGGGACAGTCATTTGGGTACCCAAGGGGGCTTTTCTTTTCCCATTCTCTTTGCATCGTGAAATGTGATCAGTGCAACATTAAGGTGGAAACGTTCAGTCGTCGCACAATCAAGGCAGCTTACAGGTAAGATTGCAAGTCATGCAATCACAAGTAGCGTACTGCTATTCCTCATTCCTCACTTCCGCCCTCGTTTCAGCTATGCATACGCCTTCATCCCAAAGCATTCCACTGCGCCAGGTACATGTGTTGTCTACATAGGGACTCAGCCTTTCAACGGAGGACCTCCTATGGGAGGCAGCTGGTCCAGCAGCTGTTCCCGAGCCTATTCGACAAATGTCCCTATGGCCCTGTCCAGCTCAGCTCCCGCACGGATTCCTCAACAACAGCCTTCCAGGTCGTGTTCTCCGCTTTGAGCAGGGCCTCCAATTCATCTTTGATGCGTCTACAAGTCCCCACTCCATCATAGCCAAAGCTAGTGTACACTTGAATCAGTGAAGCACCCGCCCGAGCATAATCCAGCGCATCAGCGCCCGTGCTAATTCCTCCGCAGCCTATCAATGGAATACTTGAAGGAACATGCGTGCGCAAGGTTTTCAAAACCTGTAATGCACGCGGCTTCAGAGGGGCACCGGAGAGACCGCCCATCTCAGATTTATTGGCTATCTCAGAATGTATTGATGAGCTATCCCGAAGGTAGAGTGTGACGACATGTCGACTCACGATCCGTAAGACTTGCAGGGCGGCTGATAGTAGTGTTGCTGACGATGACACCATCGATGTTGCCCTTGCGAATTAGATCTGCGATATCGAGAATTTGTGATTCCTCGAGGTCGGGTGCGATTTTCAGCACCAAACGTGGTCGACGTGCTGTGATCGGTGATGGTTCTAGTTCATCTCGGGCTTTTGTAACGCTTGCAAGTAAGTCTTCCAACAGCTCTCGATTTTGAAGACCGCTGAAATGCCGTTAGGTAACGCGTAAATAATGGCTCAGTTAAGCCTCACCGTAGTCCAGGCGTGTTTGGGCTAGAGACATTGACAACCAGGACATCAGCGTACGGGCCGAACGTTTTCACACCGGTGACAAAATCATCCGGAGACTCAACCGGAGAAGTTTTATTTTTACCTAGGTTGATTGCAAGGACCGACCCAGGTTTTAGGGCAGCAGTTGTATCATCCTTCGTCTCATGGAATTTGGGTATGCGAGCGCGAAGGCGGGAAATCAAGGAGGCAGCGCCTTGTGAGGGGAATCCGTAGCGATTGATGAGCGCTGCATCATTGGGAAGGTGAAATACACGTGGTTTCGGGTTTCCAGGCTTTGTACGCCGCTCAGACTTGGATAAAGCACTAACAAACATAGCACACCTACCTGAGGTTTTGGGGTGACACTTCCTATTTCGACCCAGCTAAAGCCGAGATTAAGGATACCTAAGCACTTGCATCGATACAAGATGAGAAATGAGGCAGGGTGAAGCGTACCGTCAATAGCTTCGCCATCCTTGTCGAAACCAGCTGCCAGGCCAACGGGATTGGATAGTTCGCGCCCCCAGAGCTAACACGAAAGAATATGAGTAACTCAAGCCAGTCTTTGAGTAGAGTAATTGTGCACCTCAGACCGCAATCTCTCATTATCTTGTACTGGGTCCCGCGGGCCAAGTCCACTACGAAGGACTTTGACAGCAATCTTGTGCCCAGTTTCTGCATCAAATGTGTGGCGTAGTACGGGTGTCAAAACATAACGATGGATTGCGGAACGTGCATCATAGTAGTAGACAGCAAATATACCAGCAGAAGCAGCGAACAGCGTTGCATAGACAGCGGTGCGGACGGAAGACTGGGAATGATGATGAAGATGTTGTTAACCTCCGCGCAAAGACCGGTGAACGATGAGGAGCTTGCTTTCGCAGGACATGCTGGAAACCAGTTGTACGGAGGTGCATAGCAGCCATACTCGCTGTGCAAGGAACTGCGTTGGAACTATAACCAACGTTGAACCGAACTGTGTACAAGTTTGTTTATGTACCAAATATGTATTTGCGTCACCGTCGACATGCTGGCATCCATCTTCAATCCCTTCGGGTCATGTCGCGTCAATGCCACGTCATTAGTACTCATTCTGCTTGCGTCCAAAATCCGTTACCAGCCTAGAATTTACGAGTTCTTGTGTCGATACTTCAAGTTTCTCTGACTTGGTTGAACGTTCCCTCACGAGAAGACAGGAATCGATCAGCGGGTGTATTGCGGGTAAACAACTGCAGGTGCTCATACTACTATGTATCTAAAATTTCATGCAGAACGTCACACGTCTAGTCGGAACCAAAGCGGTATCATCTTCCACATCCTTTCTCTCTCCCTCGTAGTCCACATCGCCAACGCTCTCGCACACGCCTCGCACTCAGATACTTCTGCACTACGGCGGGACTCCCCAAACCGTGCATCATCAGCACCCGAAGCCTGACCAAAGTCATATAGAGGCTGCCCAAGCTCCTCCGCAACATACAAAGGATCAGTGCAGCCGCGCTCGCGATCAAAGAGATAGTGCTGAGTGGCCAGCGCAACAAGCTCTGAGAAATCTCTTCTGCATGAGCGATGCGAGTGTGCGTGATGCCCCAGAAGATGCGGATGGGAATGCGATCCCATGGAGCGAATGAGAGTTGTGATTGCGTGTTGAGATGCCTCTTTTCCTAAGGCCAACCTTTGCAGGTCCGCATTTGATAATGGCAAGCGTGCGATCGAAGGGCCATTCTCAGCTTCGTTGTCTTGCTCGAAAATCTGGGTATAGTGGTATCGTGATAGGTCATAGAATGCAGAAGGCAGGAGGCTTGTCGCATTTACTTCTCGTGCGAGAATAATGATATCCTGAATGCGGTTGAGTCATGTCGTAGAAAATGTTAGAGAGGCAGCTTACTGCTGGGGAAGGGTATATATTTGACATGCCAGGACCACTTTGCATCTCGTCAGCACGAGCAAGGTCTTCTCTAGCGTCCCATCCCTTGAGTGAATTCGGCCAAGCCCTGCTCAGATGAGCAAGGGCTTTAGTTCTCAACGAATCAACAAGGTACTTGGTCGCAAGCCGAAGTATCCCAGAGACGATGCGAAAGTCGGCAGGGTCATTCTTCCCAAAGTTTCTGTACAAAAAGTCGTCACATTCAGACGCAGCACGCTGCGTACTGCATGAGACCTACGGGCCATCATAGAGTGCCGTGAGGAGATTCTCAACGTCTTCTGCTGCATCGTACAATCGCAGAATAGGGCACCCTTCAATTTCATTGGTCGTATCTATTTGCAGCGCGGGATTTCTGTTTGCAACCACGGTTGGAGAAGACGTCGCACTGTCCGCACTAGGCTGTGGTAACGAGAAAAGATCGCGGAAGAACACCGAGTGTCGGGCAAGTTGAGATTTGTGCACGCGAAATAAGGCATCTTCTGCTCTCAAAACGATCTATGAATGCCCGATTATGGCCCGGGGATATGGCTCAGTCTTTGCTCGATCGCAGGCGATCATAATACGCACCGAACCATCGGAAAACCACAAATCCGGGTGTTTTGAAGATTCAACAGGTGCAATGTCTGCAACAGAGGCCACAATTTGCGATTGCTTGTCCACAGAGGATCTTGGTGAATGAGTCGACCTGCGTGATAGCCCGTAAGGTGGCGGACTTCTAGGTGGGTAATGCCCGTTTGCTGAGATCATGATTGGGGTAGGGTAGTAGCTCGTTTGCATTATCGTTTAACAATAACGCAGGGCGCCCCGGTGGTACTATGCAGACCAGATAGAAGAAAGACTATACCACCTGCTAAGTGCTCGCAGGCGGCTGCATGCTGAGGGCAAGGGCGTGGAAGCACCATCCCAAGCTTTAGCTTGGCTGCTGCAAGGGGATAATAACGTTATTTTTAGATTCTTATATGAGAGGGTCTGCACTGGTCTGGAACATAAATCTATTATTATTCCACGAGTATTATGCGGTATAGCAATCCAATTTCTCCTGGCCAAATTGCACGCTAAAACTCTGAACCCAGCAGGAAGCAACCTTCTAATAGCCAAGCGCCATGCTATGCGGGGCGAAAGGGTCAGGATTCTCATAACACCACCATCAGACTTTGAATAGTACCTGGTGAGACCAGCAGCATCGCCGTTAAATAAATCAGCAGTCGCCTGGGTTGGCGCCCGAGTCTGCATATTGCCAGAACGTCTCGTACTGCCATCCAGCAGGGAGGGTGCCAACCGAGCTGGAGTAGATAGCGATCCAAAGGGGATTGGTGTTCGCGAACGCAGCGCTGTTGCCAGTGCAGGTTGTCCACCAGTCCGTTGTGGTGTAGATGACGGGGATAGCTACCAGATCACAGAATAGCAGTAAGCACTGTGTAATTATTTCTTATCTGGTGAACCCTACCGGCTCGTAGCAGCTTCGTAGGTGTTGGAGAAGGATTGTATCCAGGACACCATCTGTGAAGTGGTCAAACCATAGCATTCGCTGCCGCTGGGGTTGTCTGTCCAAAGATGAGCTCGTTCAAGTTGTAGATACGATACGACATTGGCGACTCACACTCGATATCGAGAGCACCAGGGAGGGTGATCCCGTCGGCAGACCAGCCACCTGTATGGACATTGAGCTCAGCTATTCATGGAAGTGCTACTTGCTGGACAAGCGTACCGCCATTAGCGAGGAAATAATCAGCCTGGGTGGCACCAGTGGACAAGTCAGGGTGAGCAAAGTGGTAACCACCACGTATGAGTCCAGCGTCAGTCGCTCCGATGTACTGATTACTGAATGAAGGAGATATGTAATCTGCGAGGCAACTACGTTAGGGAGTCCCAATGCTGGGCGAGGAGAATCTTTACCTGTGCCTTCGGTAGCCTTGATATAGACGAAGCTAACACCGTTGTTTTTAACAGTAGTCCAGTCAACGTCGGGCTGGTAGCTAGAAACGTCGATGCCTAGCGGCGTAGCGCGCTTCTCAGGCGTTGCGCTGGCGAGTGCAGCCAAGGTGAGGATTGCAAGGTATTTCATCTTGAGAATGAGTTCAGTCCAAATAAAACCGCAGAAGAACACAAACAGCAGTTTATATGCAACTCGAAGAAGAGCTGCCAAGGCACACATCATCCATCTCTCCTGCTCATGATCAGAGCATGTGCAACAATCGGGCCACCGCAACATTGCACACAGTTCATAAAAGTCCATGAGAATAAACATGACATGACTGAGAATTCGAATATTGGCACCGCGTCTGATACCGTATACCAGGGTGTAATGTCGAGAGGTTTGAGGATGACGAACAAGAGAATAGCCCCTGTCCCGAGGAACAGTCAGGGTTGCATACAACAACGCCGTTTGGGCTGTGGTGATCAACAGATCATCCGATGAGGTGATGCAATGCATAAGCACATAAGAACTTATCAGAAAGTGGCACATGACAGCGAGCAAGATCTATGTTTAGAACGCACATTCTGATCGCCTGTTGCAAAGCTTTGCGAGTCGAAGGAAGTAATAGTAAGAATTGCATGCAGCAGCTGTGCACCGCGGAAAGCATATGATACTGTACATAGCGGCTCGTGTCCTGGTGACGCATATGAAAGGCCCGCGGGGGGCCGCAATGTGGCGTTAAATAGCTCACTGTGGTCATGAACTGAGCGTCTGTCGAGACGTACAGTTCGTGAAAATATCAATAAACAGATGAAGATCCGCGGGGAGCTGCTGTCTCGTTTTCAATGGTGTCTAAGGACAAACACGGCTTCAGTAGAAGCCCCAACACACCACCTTGTTGAAAAGTGTGAATCCGCCACCGCGTGACCTCGCTTCACATGGATACTGTGGTGAAGAAGGAAACAGTCGTTACGGGGCTCCTATGCAAGTAGCTGGTATATTTTGATCTGTATGGCTATGACATTATAAAGAGTCGCTGAAAACTTCTATCGTCGCCATCTGGTGGATGAAGAAGATTGGTTCCCCTGATTTCCGGAGGCACTACTCCGTATAATGTGGTGCCTTCGCGTGAAACCAGGAATATATATTTGTAGAAAGGCGCCTATGATAACAGGGAGCGTTCTTGCTGCAACCTTAATTGTGGAACAGCCTCACATTCTAAACGTCTATGGAAACACAAGGTAGGTTGATGCGGTGAAGCACACAATACGCGTACCTCTCAGCTTCGACCAAGACACCCACAATCCCTCCATCAAGCTCACCTCAGCGGCTGTGGTCAACACCACCAACATGTCGCAGGCCATTCCAAGCACCACACCTCTTCGAGAGTTTAAAGATCATGAGAGCACCGTGAAGGCAGTTACAGTTTCCGCCGATAGATGACGTATGATTACAGGCTCGAGAGACAAGATACTTGGTCTATGGAACTTGAAGACAGGTGTTATGTTGAAGAAGATGGACAGGCGTCGCGTTAGGGTACGGGAATTGGCAGTACCACGAGATGGGCAAGTCATAGCAAGCGGTGATAACAAAGGTCATCGCCTGGCACGGACTCTAAACTGAGGAAACTCTCACTCACCCAAGTTATCAAAACCCATGCCAATTGGATCTCCTCGCTGGACTTTTTTTTCCGGTGGTACGATACCGCATGGCCAATCTCCACAACGAAGACGAAAACCTGGCCAGTGGTTGGCAGTTGCAAGGAGACCCGTACTATTTGGATGACGTAAAATGATTACATAGTAGTGGGAGGCTAATCATACTGCCGCTGTACACGGCCAATCGTCAAATTCGCACGTTGAATATTTGACGAAAAATAGTTTAAATGTATATGATAAAACCAGAACCTCATACATAAATGGTACATTTACGATAAATAATAAATTTATTTGACGATTATCCAAGATCAAGTCACCATAAGAGATCTAGTCCAGGACATTCACCCGAGCGTGGAAAGACACCGAATCAACATACGAAGTTAGCCTGTTTCCGTGCCGGGAGTAAAGCATTGGCCAGACAACGACACCAACAAATGCACGGCAAAGGGAACAAGACATAGGATTTATATATGAAAGGTGTATGTCATGTACACGGCAAGTGTAGAATTTATAACGGCAGCCTTGCTTGTACAGCATAGGATGCAAGATATAGAATTTTCATAAGACAGGTATAGCATATACGACGCAACAAGTATAGGGCGTTATAGCCGTACTAGTACCTAGTAGCAGTAAATACGATGGATATGAAATTTTATTTTGTCTTGACATTTGACTTCGCGACGCAGATCCATATGCTTTGAATTGTGACTTCTATTTTCTAAGCACAGCGCTGTGCCACATGGCACTTTTTCCTCGAGTGGTGATGTCACTCGAGGAAGAAGTGCCATGTGGCTTGCATCATGTGACGAGCTGGGACTCTGCATAGTATTTTCTAAGTATTTTACGGATGAATGCTGTGAGCAGCTGTACATCCTGTGAGCTCTGTCCTGCAGTATAGTCTAATGTCATGCTTCGCACTGCAAACCACGAGGGAACATGATTATGAGCTTGTCATTGGACATATATATTGATTTAAAGACAAGATACAGCGACAACAAAACATGCAGACATGATATGATGTGGTACCCTATATATCATGCTAAGTGTCCCAAATGTGCAAAGGAGGAAAAATCATGAAGTAGAAAGCAAAGGATAGGGATAAAAAAGCGCGATGTGCCTCGAAAATTCAGACCAAATGTAGTCCAAGGTATCACCGTGTGTAGAGACAGTGGTTAGCTTGCTGTCATTGTCGTCGTCATTGTCGTCGATGGCCATACTGATGCCGCCGCCGCTCCCCACCCACTCCTTGATGAATTGGCCCTCAAGGGGAATACTAGGATCCCAGAAGGACCACTTTCTGCTTGGGAAGTTGGGATGGGTGGCGATGAATGCATACCAGAACACTTCCCGACCCCAAGTCCATTCAGGTGTTATCGGATCTACAGATTTTACGAGCCAGGATTGGATGTTGTCCAAGAGTTCTGCCCAGTGGTCAGAATCCGTGTGATCGAATGCTGGTGGCAGGGGAAGGAAGGAAAAAGCCATGTCGCTATCAGTCGCAGAGCAAGATTGACTGAAAGCCATGGACTTCAGATGCACTATGGTTAGTCTCATTGCAAAACTTTGGTGCAGATACATACATTATTCGAGTGATGATGCTGCTGAGACACTATCTCAATTACCGGTACTGTGAATGATTTATATTCGTCTTTCAAAGACACAGTAATTTCAATGGGCTATAGAATGTTTGTCAGCATAAGTGGTCATTATTCAAGAAAATCGTATCACATACAATATTCGAATGAGCGAGATGACGAGGTACTGCACCTGAAAACCATACTAAGATTGACAAAGGCTGAAGAACTACATCTTTTGATTCGGCGAGTCGCATATCTGGATAGAAGGTCCCGCTTGAAAAATGATGAGGTTGGAGAGTTGTTGTGTTTGACATGGTCGTGTCTCCAGTCCTCGCTGCTGTTGATGTTGAACTTGGAGCAATCTGAATCACGTGCTAACTTGTAACCCCTTTTTCGGTTCGTGCATATGCATAAGTCACCACAGCCACATGCTTGCACGTTTGTGCCCTCATGTTCTCCCTGTGGGGCGAAATGGTCATGACAGACATATAATAAATGTGAGGTATAACACTCGCACTGACTCTGGTGTTGGAAAGTCTACTCATCGCGGTCACTTTCCCTCAGATTCAAGTCTCAACACATATCTATTATCCAGACTCGACGATGTTCCCCCCCCGACCTGTGTTTACATTAATCCGTTCAACTGCAAGAATAGTACGTCGCAGGATCCCTAGGTTGTTTTAACATAATCCCGGATCTATATATTGCTGACTCCCTTCACTATTCTTTAGATCATTGACATCTTGCCTTATCTTTGTTGCTCTCGCCTCAGCGCTCTATCATCTGCCCTTCCACTACCCCTCTTATATTCTTCATTATTTTGAGCCTGGCTTGACATTTTCTCCCTTTACAGACTTCTGCTCCCCATTATCACCCTCTGCCTGTTTCTTTGCCACCCTCCCCCTGTTTAACACTCAGGAGCGGATTTCTTATCACATTCCCTTTCTACATATCATCTGCTCCTCCGCCTCTCCTATATTCTATGCACTCACGAGTCTAACATATTCACTTTCTACATATCATCTGCTACTCCGCTTCTCCTCTATTCTATACACTCATGAGTCTAACATATTCCCTTTCTACATATCATCTGCTCCTCCGCCTCTCCTCTATTCCATCTTAACTGCTGCCCCTCCATTTTCAGGCGCAGTGAACCTGTACCCTTCTAAAAATTTTTGCTACTTTTTAGTTGTTGGGGTATTGTGCTCTTATTGTTTTCTTCTCTCTTTTGCTGATTTTTTTCACGCACTCCATGCACAGTACCAAATTCCGACCAAGACTTCAAAATCCCTTCAATTCAGAATTTCAGACTTCGCCTCAAAATTCTCCCAAGGAATCACATGATCTGAAAGAGTCGCTTTCAAATCGTCAAGTCTCCAATCAGCGATCACACTGCAATCACTCGACAATTGGTATCATGCCAGCCGCACTGCATGCTATCGACGGTATAAGTAAGTCTTGCACTCAACATGAATAGCGTTTACTGATGTTTAACGCAGTCTTGCAGTTTTGTGGAGTGTCTCAGGTTGTGTGCAATGTGTGTCTGAAGCGTGATAATGCTTTGCGCACAATGCATCCTAAACATGCATCGAAGCATGTTGGCACTGGCGTACATCAGCGTCATGCCAAGGCCTGGACTTCAATGCGCTCGACTTCTCAACGTCAACGACAACGGCAACGGCACCATCATGAAGTAGAACATTTACCTTCACCTGTTGACGATGGAAACGACAAAAACAATGGACACGACAATGTTGCCTCGAGTGCGATGGACGTCGACGATGCTGTCTATATCCCAGAGCCACATGGACCAGACCATAAAGTAGTACCAGTCGCTGATCTCTGGAACGCAATCTCCAGCAGTCCTTTCTACCAAGTCAACGAGACATGTGATTTGTACGAGGAGTTGCAATCCGCCCTTGCTTCGGGGGAACAAATATTCTCCATGCCGCTCGCCCCAGCGAGTGAAGAGACCAGCCTTGATGATGAGACGGACTCAAACTTTGGGATCGAACTTCTAGGTGAGATATTGTTTCATTCCCTGCGGGAGACATATTTACATCATTAGATGACTGTCCGCTGACCACCTCGTGTGATGTAAATCTGAACCGTCCAGTTGCGCCTGACAATCCAGCGTATCCTTGGCCAACAAAAGCCGTATGTTTCATTATCTTTGTGCGTTTTCACTGCTAACCTATCATTTAAGCATTATATTACTGCCTTGCTATTTAGTTCTCCAAGGCTCCCATTCTCCGAGGCGCAGAAAAAGGCAGTCTTATCTTGGGCAAGAGAGCTTGGTGCTCGTGACGTCCCTTCGCTATATGCATTGAATCGAGTCCAGGAGTCTGTTCGAACACTTGTTGGCAATCCAACGGAAAAGATCACTGCACGTTCGGGCAATATATTTTATCTTAACGATGTTGGAAAAGCAGTTGCCAAGGTGCACAGAATCTCACACATGAACACTTCTCTCAACACTGACTTCAAATGTTCTCGTTTAGGACTACGCGAACCCCCTCATGCAGTTTGCGATGCAGGATTACCCTGAGGACGGGGACAAGGGAATGTCCCAGGTGTTCAATGGAGATAAAATGATGTTCGAACTCCCTTCGCCCCCCGCAGCTAAAGTCGACGGGGAGATCTACTTCGTGAATGAGCTCTTGCAGGACGTGTCGGGAGACTACTTTATACCCGAGCGTTTCTTTCTTGCATCATACACGTCAACGAATGATAGCGTGGACAAGCAGCTACATGCACTTGGCCGTGCTGTACAACGAACACAGGTGATACCAGTGTTCTGCACATACTTTCAATTTTGCTGATAGACTTAGGATGGGTTTATTGTCAGTGACGAGCGGGAAATGATCCCGACATCTAACTTTCGAAGGTCGTTCAGGGAAATATCTGCCAATGATGACGAACTTGCTTGCAGGCTGACGGAGTCGTCGAACAAATACGTGAAACTGGTACCGAATCCATTGCGCACAAAATCTCAAGGACGTATGGTGTACTCAGTCCCTCTCATAATATTCATGGACGACGTATCCGGAAACATATCCAAGCAGTGGAACAAGCATCATGCAATATATATGTCTAACACAAATCTGCCTCGCGAAATGCTCGAGAAAGAGTTTTGTATTCGGTTTGTCACATCTTCTCCTCACGCAGCCCCAATGGAAATGATGAGCGCCATGCAAGATTCAATCAGGTACGTGATACTTATAATTTGCTACTACGGCAAAATGTGACGCTAGTGATCTTAGAAAAGCTACGAAATTGGGGGTCTTCAGTTGGGACTGCAAGCACGAAGAAGAAGTTATGCTGGAGCTATATGGTCTGTTTCTCGGTGGCAACAACCCCATGCATGCCGAAGAATGCAGCCACGCAGGGCTGCATTGCAACTTCTTCTGTAGGACATGTGAAGTCGGTGGAACCAAGGAGTATAAAGAGTCAGATGAGGGCTACAAGAGCATCTTCGTGGTATGTAGCATATTCTCGCACTATCCGTCACCATATTGACTGACTCTGAGCAGCCAGGAACGCCACGCACTCCCGCAGGAACAGCGGAAGAGATCCACGCACAATTTGCTTCTGCGCTCTGTTCAGGTGCGTCAGAGAAGATTAAGAAATCTGTCGCTTCGTCAGGTGTGAAGGACACGAGAACTGCTTACATTCTTGACACGGTTGTTGAGCTAGGGAAGAAGCTACGCAAACGAGGCGCTGGCGTTCAGGCAAAACCAGAGTGCGAAGTCAAGGCTATTCTAGAGAAGCAACTGGGAGACCTCCTGCAGGGGAGCACAATTGAGGGCGCAATAAACCCATTATTGGGCGTGGAAGGTAAGGTTCATGCCCGCGTTTTCAGTCATACATTGACCTTTCATTAGGATTCAATGTTCACCAGGACACGCCAACAGAGATTTTACATACGGTGCTACTGGGGGTCGTCAAATACTTTTGGGGTCAATCGGTGTACCTCCTCGAAAAGGCAAAGCTCTTGGACGTTTTTCAAATGCGTCTCGACTCCATCGAGAAGGATGGGCTTAATGCTCCTTGTCTCGACGCTGAGTATATATGCCATTATAAGGGCGGGCTGATAGGGAAACACTTTAAAAGTCTGGCGCAAGTCATGCCATTTCTCATTCAAGATTTACTACCACGAACAGTACTCGATGGGTGGACGAGTATCGGTGAGCTCGTCGTATATGTTTGGCACACGGAGATAGATGATACTGATCTATACTTGGTATGATCGCACACTGACACTACTGCACCGATGCTGATTGAATCACAGGCGAAGCTTACCCGGACAATCAATGATTTTCTCAACGTAACAGCAAAATGCGCACCAAGTATTCTCATCTCGAAGCCGAAGTTTCATTTTTTAGTGCATCTTCCTGCGTACATTCAACGCTTCGGACCAGCCATTCTCTTTTCCACTGAACGATATGAATCATTTAACCACGTGTTCCGTCTAGCGTGTATACACAGCAATCGACAGGGTCCGAGCCAGGATACGTGCAAAATATTTGCGAGACAAGACATTATCAAGCATATTGCGACAGGCGGTTACTGGTTTGATAGTGCTCGGGGAAAGTGGGTTCGGGCAGGTGATGTGGTTTTGAACTACCTCGACAATCGTCCAGAGCAGGCACGTCTTTTGGGAATTCATACACGAGAACCTCCTGTGGCAGGTAATGTGTTCATTGAATACCCAGCATCATAGATTGTAATGTCTGTTACTGAAAGGAACCGGCCAACTCAAGAAAGTCGCCGCCGAAGATGGACAACCTATGGCAGGAATACCTGTGCTGTGGACAGCAACACAGCTGCGCAAACGCCCTCGAGCTCTCACAACCTGCTTGTAATGCTCGATACCATCATGGCATCTCGTTTATTCTTGGCAACGGCGAGAAAGCGTCTTTAGAAGCACACGTCATTTTTCACGACTCATCAACATCTTGCTCAGCCATTGGGCGCATTCGCGAGATCCTGATCTCAGACTCTCACAAAGTCGTGCAGCATGTCGCCATTCAAAAACTTGCTTTCGGACCTGCATTACATCCCCTCCTTCACATCCCCACACTCGAGCTCATGGACCATGAGGTTGTTATTGGTCCACAAGTAAGTTTGAACATGAACCTTCAATCGAGTTTATTGACATGCTCACGCGGTGAATCTAGGAAATTGTTTGTATAGTAAACGTCCAACACGACTGTGTTAAATCACAGTGCACAGGCATTAGTCAATGTCACATTCGTCAAGAGCGAACTGAGACTGCATGTATGAAGTCCATCGTTCAGCACAAATCCTCGCCATTTTACTTGCTCAATGCTTATTCGATTCACAATTACGCCCAGATTCAATCTGTCATCCCTCAGTCACTTCGCGAGACACCATTGAGGGTCGATAATGCAGTAGACATTCGTTTAGCGGCAGCTCGTCAAATCCGGGAGAAGAAAGCAAGCAAGAAATCAGGCGAAACACCAGATACCGAGTCTTTGAGTACATTGCATGATGACATAGCTGGGGTTCCTGCGGCGTTCGACCGCCCAGCAGCAAGAAAACCGAAGAAAACGCAGAAAGCAAAAGAGAAGGCACCTCGACCACCCGCCAATCCACGACAACCCACAATCACGCAGGCAGCTGCATCTTCAAGTTCCCATCTCCCAGCACCCGTGCCTTCTCGTCTCCCATCGCTACATCCGCCTGCTACTGTACCTTCACAGTTGCAGCAATCCCCCATGCCTCCATATAGAGCTCCCCCTTCGCATCACTCGTTGCAGCCGCCCCCAATGGTATTGACGTGGCAATCATCTCCCAGCGCCCGTCCATATAGAGCTCCCCCTTCGCATCACCTGTTGCAGCCACCCCCAATGGTCATGACGTGGCAATCATCTCCCGCGCCCGGTCCATCCAGACCTCTCCCTTCTCATCCCTGGCCATCAAACCCACCTTCCATGGTACCGCCAATGTATGCTGGGCAATATGTTGCCCCACCATATCGGCACTCTTTGGGGCTGGCTCTTCCAAATCCCTCGCACACTCCCCCCCTTCACCCTCATCATTCAGGACAATTGTCATATGCACAGCAGCTTCCCTTGCAACCTTCCGCGCCAGTGATGACCTCGCATATCTGGCACTCTCAGGCTCCACATCACAAGCAGCCCAGCAGACAGTACTAGATGGAATCACCCTAACTCCCCGTTCTTGCAAGACACTGGAGAGCATTCTTCTTCGACAAGGTTCACATGCTTGTCTTCCTCCAGCGTTCAAGGTTCTCCTTCGACAAGTTCGCATGCTTATCCTTGAAATTCTTCCTCCAGCGTTCAAGGCTCTCCTTCAACAAGGTTCGCGTGCTTATCTTTGAGGTTCTTCCTCCAATGTCAAAAGCATCCTCGTTGCTGGAAGTTGTGGCAGAGTCGTTGGACGGCACAATTAATATGTACTTCATTACAACTATGGGCACCTTACATACCAACATACCAATACTACTGTATGATGTTCTGCTCCTGCCCAGAGGACATTCAGGGGGCCTGAATTTTTTGCTCGGTTCAGTCAACTTCAGAGTGTCACGGATACTATTAATATCCAACCTCATGCAAGCCTGAGTGCCGCAGCCACCGCAACCTCTGGCATTTGCAACAATGTTCCAATGTGGTTATTGTCTGCGCCAGTCTTCTGGTGGTAGCCAATGTTCAAGATCACCTTCACAAGCAAACCAATCGCTGAGGCCACGATCAAATACAAGAACTTCACCGGAAAGATCCATGGGAAGTCTGAACAGAAGCACTACACCTGACCGGAGCAGCGGCAGCTCATCCAACCATCTGTCTGTTGGAGGACATGGAAGTAGGTCCTCACATATAAGCTCTAATTTGACTTGACGATGTACTTCACAGGTGCTTCCCCCCAAAGTTCTCGCTCTACAAGTGGCGACGGCCCAGTGATACCCGGACTTGAAATTGTGCCCCCCACTAGTCCAACGTCATCGTTGGATGAGCCAATCAGCACAGCAGTTCATCGACGCAGGAACAGCGGAACTTCCCACCATGGGGATCCTACCAAGCTCACACCCCAACGGACGAAACGCTTCAAGATCTATGCCAAGAAGCTGTGTGAAGACAACGAGGTTCCAACCGGAGAAGTCATGCGTTTCATTGATGTAATAAGTTTTCATCGAGCTGTTGGGTTGCTGTGTTTGCTGACTCGGACTTGATGCAGTCTGGCGACATGTTTTATATGCTCATAGACCTGAAGATTACCCTCGTCAAACTTTACGAGGTAAACAAGGCAAAGAGATTGCAGGAATTGAAGGATGCCTTGGAATCAAAGGACTTTGAGGTAACGATGGTACTTTGCATTCTGTGTTATTCTAGACTAACTTGGACCGGAAGAATGGGCTATACAACCGTTTGTTTGCGTGCATGCTGTCGCCAAACATCACAGCATATGTCACTGACACCCAGCTTCATATAATGGTCTGTCTCTAATGTCCGCTGTTCCAAGTCAACACCACTAAATGATTTCAGGATTTCATTACCAGTCATTGTGATGTCTTCAAAATCCCCCCCGGAATGCTCAAGGATGTCGAACTCAGAGCTCAGCTGGGCAAATCAGTCACAAAGCTACTTACCGGTATTTGTAGCGTCATCAAGACCGCTGTGAGTCTCGCTACTTTTTTTTTTTGACGCAACCTCAATTATGATTATTGCTGTGTAGCTCACCATGTCAGTTGTCAAGCATACAAGTGTTGCCGATGTGACCAGGGCGCTTGCACGCAGCAGGTCTGGCATGGAAGTTGATTCTACACATTGGAACAGAATCACGCTACTTGTAAGTGATACCACATGTATCTCTCTATTAACATTAACACTCATTTGTACGGGGACAGCGGCGTCTTCTGCGAATTTTTCTCATCAGCATCAGCGACTACAAAAGTGCTTCCATCAAAGAATTATTTTCCCCTTACCTTATTCTGTCGCTCAAGCAGGACATGCGGAGAAAAGTCGAATGTGAACTTGGTGTCAACATTGAACGGCTTGAGAATGACTTATTTGACAATAATCACACGCCTGGGTCCAACAATCAGGCCTCCCCAGAAACCTCAGCAAACAATGATCATGCGCCCAGTGCTAGGAGGAATGAGAATGGCGCCAACATGGATAATGAAGAGCTCGAGGACCAAAGTGGTGATCGGGATGCTAACGGAGAGGATGAGGAGTTGAATGGGCCTGGGAACAATGTTGACAATGCTGCAGTCTTACAAGATGACCCACTTGACTCCGGATTCGGATTGGTTGAAGGTACTCTGGCGCGGTACAACAATACCATCAGATTCTGGAACTTCGTCGACCACTCGCTCTTAACCATGCGCCAAATGTCCAAGGAATCCTCCTCGATCCCCGCCCAGCAAGATAAGGAGTTGCAGAAGTACGTATTTGTTGGCTCACGCAGTGATAGAAACTGATTTTCGGTTAGGTTGTTCATTGAAATTTTCCAAGCTGATCTCGCCGAGTTTCCTGGTGGCAAGAAGCTCTCGAAGTTGATTTTGAAGATGAATCCTCGTTGGCAGACTGCTATTCAGACCGAGCTCATTTGGAACACCTAAGATTTTACATATTTCCATTCATTTTCGCCGCTCCTGCACTCCATCCCTCATTTTCATCATACCCATCATTTTCGCTGCTCCTGCATCCTTCACTTTAATCACACCTGTCATTTTTGCCACCCCTGCACTGCATCCCTCGTCCTAATCATACCTGTTATTTTTGATACAAAAATAATACATTTGTTGTGCTTTCCATGATGTCTCGATGGTGCAAATATCGGTGTGAAAAATATTCAGGCGGTACCAACACAGGGTGTTAATAGGTGTACACTCTACATATGCTCAAGTGTCATACATATGTCAGAAGTATATAGCTTGTACATCGGTCAACCAGTATATTACCAATGTCTAGGACCAGTATATTATCAATGTCTAGGTCTCAGTATATGATTTATGTTGTCAACCAGTATACTACCAACGCCTTGGTCTAAGCACATGATCTATATCGTCAACCAGTATACTACCAATGTCTAGGTCTCAGTATATGATCTATGTTGTCAACCAACATAATTCCGGTACTAGGTCTCCGTACATAATGTGCACCCGAAAACAGCCACCGGATTTATACCCTACCAGCATCGCTATCACACTCTGACATCACTGACATTATGTCAGCCTGTGAATCTATCAAAATTATATTAAATATTTATGTATAATACACGCGACGAAAGTTGATGCGTGGAGATCAGACTGACATAAGGGCTATAACCCTATTTTTAGACATAGATTCTATGATTTTTTCGATTGGCCGTGTAGCTGCGAACTCAATTCTGTTGCAATCATGCTTGTCTGTCTGTTACCCACAGAAATCTTACGGGACATATTTGCTGTCTTTGGCTATGACTCGTCAATCTGTCGTGCTACACTTGCCGCTCTTGCAAGAACCTGTACGACATTCAAGGAGCCTGAGCTTGATACGCTTTGGAGAAGGATATATGGGTTCCAGCCATTCATCTCATTCATGTATGATCTGGATCCACATGATATTGAAAGCTCAAAATTTTCAAATAGACACTCAAAAGCTTATTGGTCAATACACACAACGCATCCGCTCTTTGAAGATATCCTACAGTGACATAGACATGATAAACAATCGAGTTGTGCAAGCACTCATTTCTGCACCATCACCGCTCGTGCCGAACCTTCGTGATCTGACTTGGTGGGATGACCGAGAATCCTTCTTTCCGTTGCTGCGCACCCTCCTTACTTCTGTTTCAAACCCCCTCTTTTGCTAAATCTGCTTTTGTAGCATCCCTTAGAGCTCGACGTCCACCCATTCAGAAACTCGAATGCGGATATGGCGGTGATTCAGAAGAAAGTTCAGATGCAATATCCAAACCTCTATGTGGCTTGCGGCAGCTCTAGCGTCTTGAAATAGAGGTCCTTAACACACAAGCACTTCTTCACTTGACATGTTGAAGTATCTGGACTTCAGCCTGAGGCCGTACAACATTAACGGGATCCAATCCAATTCCACTCCAACATTTTCCTCTCAACTCGATCAAGTGTGCATCACTACACCATCACCGTCTGTTCTTACTCATTGTCTCAGAAATGTCCGGTTTTTCTCCTGTCAATCCGTGAATTTGTACATCGATACCGATGATTTAGAGATCCCGTATGGCCCACTGGATATTCCAGACCTCGTTGCCTCCTCGAAATGTTTCTCTCCTGCTCTCGAGACACTCCATTTCGACTTCGACATCGATCTCAGCATCCTTTTCTCAATGGAGCTACTTGCCAATCCTAGCTATGCTCCTGGCTTCGACGTTGTTGCCCCATTGCTGTCGTTTGGTCGCTTAAAGAACTTACAGCCTAGTTGGATATCCACTTCGGCCATCGATGATGCCTCACTCAAGACAATGGCCAATCCTTACCTCAACTCGAGATTGCCTCGTTTGGAACTGCGGCTCATTTGCTGGTCCGCCATCTCTCACTTTCACAGGACTCGTCCACCTCATACGTTATTGTCGGCGCTTGCGCAGCATTGACATGTCCTTTTGTGCATCTCCAGTCGACATCAACAGCGAGCCTTTTTCTAAAACGGTTCCCAGTGAGAAGATCACCAGACTTTTTGTGGGGATTTCTATAATAGTCGATCCCACCACCGTGGCCTGTCAACTGCATGCATTGCTACCCAAGTTGACCACTGGGCTTCTTCGACAACTGGACTGATGGTTAGATCCCCGTGCCATTCGAAAACTTCCGGGACGAACGGAGTAGGGTGAATCAGTTCCTGGGGGTGCTCATCAAAAGCGCAGAGATAAGGGACACAATGGGCCAAGCACCTCCGGAGCCCATGTTGCAGGCCTGACGGACCTTGGTCATATTGCGTGGTGACTTGGACATCTGCAAGTAGACATGTACTGCGATACTGTATATCCGTCTACCCAACATCTACATATTAAACCCACGCTAACACGAAACTTTCGTTCCGTTCAGATATGTCCGATGGACACCGGCAACTGTGGAGACGAAGGACGGTTCTGGACCGCAACGTTGAACTGCTACAAGATATGGCAACCGTGTTCGATAATGATATGATAGGCTACTGCTCGCAGTCCTACTGTGCGTAGCCATCAATCAATTGCTGCGACGAGCACTCGCCAGCAATTGGTCTCATTGCTATGAGGGTATAGTATAATATGTCAATGATGATAGAGAACCAAGGCCAACATGTACAGTAGATATCATGGCTGAGACCTCGCTGGTTTGAAGGAGATACTGTAACACCGAAGGATAGATACGAGCACAGCAGATTTTGAGGAGAGTTGTAATGATATACTTGAGAATTGAATTTCATCACATCGTCTTGGTTCTGACCTGCACTCATATTGTCTCGCTTGGACTAAGCTTGATCCGAGGTACCGAGTCGTGAAGGTCGTCAAAAAGTATAGAGAGACTTGAGTCTATGAATGGACCTGGTATTAATAATATGCAAGATGCCTGGAGTAGTTGAATCGAATATTAAGCGACTCAAGCAGGGACAGAGGATGAAGGGGTACTAACATGACGCACCTGAATATCTTTGACGTTCTTTGGATTTGCTTCAGATCATCATTTACACTGTACAGGCTAGAGTTAAATTCCACAAGAATGTAAGTTAAGTACTGTTGGACAGTGTATGTAGGTGACGTCACAGCGAGGCTCAGGGTAGTCTGGGGATCTAAGAATAGTACTCACACTCTCCGAGAGAAATATTAAAGCCGATCCGTTTAGTACTAGTCTTACACCTCGAAGACCATCGGGCCCCCACCACGAGGGCTCACTCCCCAAGAACCCGTATACCCAGCCGCTGAAACACTCGGGGTTGCAAGTAGGCGCAGCTCAATACTGCTCAACCAGAGCATCCTCAACGTGGTGATGAACAAGTGATTCATGAGGAGCACGCACAGGACCATATCATTCGCCGCCGCCCGAATACCCAAGTCACTACGAATATGACAGCGCACTGAGCCCGTAGTAGATGTCACAAATGTTGATACCAGCGATGAGATAATTTGGCGTGGGTTGATCGTTTTACATCCGCGATGTAGAAAAATTTCAACCCTCATCGATGCATCACTGATCAGCATGTTTCGCGATATCGATCACGTGGCAACACTTGGCACATGGTAATGGGGATCTAAACATCAGGTAAAGAAGTTGTTGTGCTGTCAAAGATTGCTTGAATGCTTTGTGGCTCACTTGGGTTACTGGTGGTCCAATGATATTGTGGAGACAAAAGTTGAACTCATGTGCAGAGGCGCAGGGAAGGTTATGCTGTCGACGAATGACAACAGGGAGCATTCTTGCTGCAGCCTTGATGGGGGTGTGGAGGCGAAGGACCTCAATGATGTCCTGGGCGTCTATGGAAACACGAGGCAGGCTATTTAATGCAGAGAAGCGATCACAATCTACAGCTACGAGCAAGACAACCACAATTCCTCTACCTGACTCCACCTCGACTGTGTTCGGCACCATCAATCTCCCAGTCAGATGTCGCAACTCATTCCTAGCACCACACCCCCTCCGAGAATTTCAAGATCATGAGAGTGCCGTAACCGCAATTGCAGTTTTCCCTGATAGACGACGACGAATGGTCACTGGCTCGCAGGATAAGACACTTCGGCTGTGGGACTTGGAGACAGGTGCAGTGTTGAAGAAGATGGAGGGTCATCGTGATAGGGTGTGGGCATTGGCGGTATCACAAAATGGGCAAATCATAGCAAGCGGTGATGCTAACGGGGAGTTCATCGCCTGGCACGGAGAAACTGGAGAAACTATCACCCAACCTATCAAAGCTCACCACAGTGTGATCACCTCGCTGAGCTTCTCTCCCGATGGAACAGTGCTGGCCAGTGGTTCATGGGACCAAACTACGAAGCTATGGGGCACGAATATAGCATGGCAGCTAGAAGGAAATCCAATCCAATCCAATGACCGGGTCTGCTGCGTTCGGTATTCGCCATCTGGCGAACAACTTGCAATTGCAACAGAGAGCAATATCAAAATTTATAATCCAGGCACGAGGGAATGCATCGCAAACATCAGGGGCCACGCCGAATGGCCCGGGGGCGCATGCAACAGCTCACTTGCGTGGACACCCGATGGCACACGCCTTCTCTCAGGGGGCAATTATCTAGGAGAAGGCAGCAATCCCAACATACGGGAGTGGGATCCGTTGCGAGCTTGGCAGCAGGTCGGTGAACCCTGGGCAGGCCATATCAACAGCGTTGATGCCATTGCCATCAACCCTGCCGGCACACTCGTCGCTTCCGCATCTGAAGACAGACACGTTCGCCTCTGGCGGCTCTCAGATCGACGAACCATCGCCATTTTCCAGCACTCAGCCTCGACGGCATGTGTCACTTTCTCCATGGACGGCGAGCATGTCCTCAGTGGAGGTTATGATGACGTGATCTCGGAGTGGGCAGTACAACCAGAGGACGAGCCTGATTCAAAGGCATGTTTCCATCCTGACTCATATAACAAAATTCGAGCATGCTTCATGACGCAGATCTTCGCCGGCAACACAACTGCCCGCAACGCATGCATTGCAGGGGACTTGTCTACCGCTGAACGGCTTCTCACGCAAGAGATCAACACCGATGCCAACTACACCTCGTATGCCAACCGCTCATTCATTATGGCGCGCAAACACCACTGGGACCGCGCGCTGGAGGATGCAATCGAGGTGAGATATACTGACCCATCATGGGCCCCTTACGAAAGGGCCAAGGCTAACTTTGATCGTGACATAGTCCATCACCATCCAGCCCTCCTTGGCAGGCTGTATCTCCAAGGGCATTGCCCTCTGTGGAAAAAAGCAGGTTCGGGACGCGAGAATAATATTTGACATCGCGTTCATGTTCGCGAACGAAGATTCAAATATCATTCATTTCATTCTGTTGATCAAGGCATGTCAAAGTTTCTTACATATCCCGTACTCCGTCATGGTTTTCAGGCCATCGCTATTTTCAATGCAGATCAACCCGACGAGGCAATTGTCCGCGTCCGAGAGCTAGCTGTTGCTCGTCCGAACAATGATACTCTTGCCTGTCGCATCGTGGAAGTGAGCATCATGTCAACCCCACGTTCTTGCGTTGACGCTGATCTTTCTGGACTTCGCACATTAGGCATATCTGTGTTTTCAACTTGGAATAAATGCCATGGATGACGGGCAGTACAACGAAGCTGCTGACCACTTCACTGCCGCTGTCAACTGCACCAATTTCTCATCTACAACCGCCATCCATTCTATATACAAAGATTTCGTGGCGGTACGTTGATATGATCCTTCCAAACACGCTTTTCATGCCAAACTCCATACTTTCTGCAGCTCTTCGGATGGAACCTTAAGTTCTTGTGGCAAAACGCACGCCACAAACAATGCGACGCACTTCGTCGGGCAGGCAGACTTGAAGAAGCCCTTGAGTCGTACCGATGCATGATGAATACGAGTGACGAAAATACAAAGGCCAGCTGCCTTGACTGGTCCAACGGCAAGTCTAGAGTCCATAATTTTCATGCAGGCTACAATTATCACCCACATTTCATTTAGCTTTCAAGCAAGAATGCAGCTCTATCTATGTTGCCAACGGAGATGCGGCCCTCGCTGAAAGCGATTACGACAGGGCTATCGACTTATACTCTGCAGCCATTGACCTGAATCCTGCAAACGACACCCTATTCGCTAACCGCAGCAAGGCCAAGTCAGAGAAAAAGTTATGGGAGGGTGCACTTCTCGATGCGCAAAAGGTGCGATGAGCTCTACCGTTTCGTAGCCAATGTTCACTTCGGCGACACATAGGTCATCGAACTCAACCCTGCGTCTCATGTTGGATACCAGGTGAAGCATCAAGCGCTTCATGGCGCACAGCGCTATGATGATGCTATCGAGGCCTTCGAAATGATGCTATCCAAACTGGACAATGCTGCCGACACGCAAATACGAAGTAAGCCCTAAATAATACATGCGTCAAGATGCTTAGATGTGTCCTCAGAGCTGCGTGAGCAGTATGTCAGTCCCTCCGAAGCAAAAGATATGGTTCGAAAAGTCATCGACACCCAACTCGACACTGCCCCGCTTCGTCTACTCAACACCACCACCGGGCTCTTGTGTGACCGAGAAATGCAGATAAACGTCTTCAAAACGAGCACAGAGTACAACGAGCTTCTGTTATCGATCATGAAGCGCCCAGACCTCGGAATGGAGCACATCACAGAGGTGGTGGCGACGTACTTCGGTTGTGTCATGCTATCCCACAAATGGGAAGGGCAGGAGCCACTGCTGCAGGATATCCAGGACAAGGGTTGTGTATGATATGGATCCAGCCGGAACAATAGTGAAGTTGCAGACATTCTGCAAACTTGCTCGTGATGCAGGTTATCGCTGGGCTTGGAGCGATACATGCTGCATCGACCAAAATAACAATGTCGAGCTCCAACGATCGGTTAATTCTATGTTTGTCTGGTATCACCATGCTGCTCTTACAATTGTCTACCTACCGGACGTTCCGCCTTCGTCAGAGTCAGGGGCACTTGCAAACAGTGTCTGGAACACGCGAGGATGGACCTTTCAAGAACTCCTCGCTTCCAAAATCATTCTTTTTTATCAGAGGGACTGGACCTTGTATCTCAATGACCGCTCTCCCAACCACAAGGAATCTGCTGCAATCATGCAGGAGTTGCATGATGCAACTGGCATAGATTGCCAGGCCCTCACAGCCTTCTGTCCAGGGATGAGCGGCGCCCGAGAGAGATTTCAATGGGCGTCGACACGCGTCACCACATTGCAGGAAGATATTGCATACTCATTATTTGGCATCTTCGGCGTGCAACTTCCTGTAATTTACGGCGAGGAGAAGCAAAATGCGCTCGGGCGACTCCTGCAAGAGATCGTGGCTCGGTCAGGGGACATCACTCCCCTCGACTGGGTCGGACAATCATCTGAGTTCAACACCTGTCTTCCAGCCGACATCACCTCATACAGAGCTCCGCCTCGCACGCTGCCATCATTGTCCAAAGACGAGATCCAGACAATGGTCTCTCCACTGCGAAATTCCGTGCCTGTGGAGTTTGCTTTGAAACTTTATACCCTTCTTGACAACACGAGTGCTCCTCGTTTCGCGAACTGCAGACTGCATCTGCCTTGCATCGTGTTCCGTGTCACGGAAGTCAGACGGAGGCGTAGTCCAGACCAGGAGACTCATTTCACGTATGGAGTGAAGGCAGATGGGCTACGGGACCTGCTCATTGCCACCGAAGAGACACTGATTCAGTTCTCGCGGACAAGGCCCGCTCCGAGTCGACAGACATTCTTTCTTGTCTGTCCATGGGACCGTTGTCTCCTCGAGGAGCCAGACTTTGTAGAGCCGCTGCTTGCCTTTGCAGGCTTGGATGATGCGGAAAGCTTGGGAGATTGGTCCGAGCCCGAGTCTCCTTTGGACGACTCGAGCGGCGGTTCTCCTGTAGAACAAGAGCTGGTTGATTCGGAATCGATCGAGCGAGCGTTGCGATTGCTTGTCCGCCTTGGGCAGCCTTTTGGCGCTTTGTTTCTAGCGCGGCAGGATGGCGGAGAATACAGGCGGATCGCATCGGATCATAATATTACTGCACAAGTTAAACATATGGCTTCTGTTGACAGCATGATGGATATCAGGACTCTAGAAATAATGTAGCTAAAAGAATTCTTGTGAAGACCAGGTATCTTCCAGCGGTTCCATTTGTACGTTGACGATAGTACTACTTGTATAGTATCATATGCACAGATACCTTAATTATACTTTCCGTTAAAGCACCTATTAGACTCATCCATCAGGAACCACTTCTCCGTCCTGTTACGTTTATCTGGCAATGGTGTCGTCCTGAGGAACGGCGAGCAAGGGTGTCTCTTGCCACTATATTTCCAGTGCGGGCTACGAGGGGAGGGGTGATGAGAAGTTGGCATTCAATATTCAGCCATTACTTAATTTTGATTGACAAGGTGATCTGTTCGGTACACCTCGGATCCCCTCGACATTGAAGCACTCTTATACTCAACCGCTGAAACACCTAGGGCTGCAAGTAGGCGCCCCTCAGTGCTGTTCAACCAGAACACTATCTTCGACATGGTAATGAGTAAGTGATTCATCAGGAGCATGAACAGCACCATGTCATTCGCCACCGCCTTCGTCATACTTAATACCCAAGTGACCACGAGTATGATAGCCCACTCACTTGGCCGTGGACGTCAAGGATGTGAATGCGGGAGATGAGATGCTCTGACATGACCCCGTCGTTCTACATTCACAATGTAAGAATTCCATTAATGGTTTCATCCTCATAGGTATGGATCAATTGTCATTCGCGATGGAGATAGTACAGTGTTCGGGAAGAATCATGTATCATTGACTGCAAGTTACTTCGCGAGATCGATCACGCAGCACCTGGTACATGGTAATGGGGATCAAAGCATTAAGTAAAATATTGTGATACTTACTCGTGTTCCCCCGGCGGTCCAAAGAATAGGACCATTTATTTCATCGTAGATAGCGTTCCTGAACGTCCGCAGTGACAATTGCTCACATAGCTTCGGCTGCGGAGAGAGCTCGCCAAGGTGAGTAATTAGAATGTGATATCCGAATTGCACCTCTACTTGTATGATCCAGGATGTCAATGATTTGGGAAGGCATAGCAGGTGAAAGACTGAAACCCATTCCGGGAGTGCTGGAAGAAAGGTAGTGATGCTGTCGAAAAAAATCGCCACACAAAGTGTAGGATAAAGTATGCCTTAGAAGGTGGAAAGGGCTCCGTGCAGAACTAGTAGTCATTTTGGACGCGAGAAGCGAGGCCTTAGCGCATAGGGCGGGAGAGGCGGGAAATCGCGCAAGTAGCCATCTGCGAATGCAGTGAGCACCACAAACCAGGGAAGTGCGAAGGCAACAGAAGAACAAGGGAGTGCGAAGGCACAGAAAAAAGGTGAGGGGAAACCCGCGCGAAAGCGCGGGGGGATAGGTGCGAAAGCAACCAAGGGGGGAATGGCTTACCTGACTGTGAGAGGCTCCCAGGGGGAGGCTGCAAAACGAAGGGGGCACCCAAGGCATGCCCATGGAGGGACTGAGCACACCCGGCAAGAGCATCGTCAGCTGCCCTGGTGGCTGCTGCGGCTACCTCCTCCTCAATGAACAAGCGAGGAGGGGGGCAGGAGGTGCGAGAGGCAGCGGAAGAAGGTGGGGAGAGACGCGCAGCAGCAGGAGATGAGGGGGGGAACTGGCTGCGTGCACGCCGGCGGAGGCGCTAGAGGCCCCAAGGACAGTGGGGGCAGAGGGACCCGCGCCCGCAGGAGGCCCAGGGGGAGAGGGAGCAGTAGTGGCCCGTTCTTTGCCTTTGGAAGGCTTTTTCGAGATAGGGGGAGCGCCCCGCGGACATTTTTGAACTGGACGGGAGATGGGGGAGACGATAGAATTGGCGACAATGGGAGATGAGGGCAGCCGGGGCCTGCGATCACCCGTGGCAGGCGAAGGAGGGAGGGTGAGGGTGATAGCGGGAACCTGGAGTGAGGTGGAGTCCTGCAGGGCCTGCTCCAATGCGAGTTGAGAGAAGGGGACGGGCGAGAGAGCCCGATCGGACGCCCTGGAGGAGATTGGGGAGGAGTCACCAGCGGCGGGAGGATCGGGAGGAGCAGTGGTGGAGGCGACAGGTGGGGTAGGAGGGGATGCTGTGGCCGGGGACGCCAGTGGGCCGGAACCAGAAGGCGGAGCCTCACCCACGACGGCGGAGAAAGAGGCGAGAGCCTGCATCTTCCTGGTTTTGAGGCCGACAGAAGGGTGGGGCATGGGAGTAAGAGGGAAGAGGGAAGAGGGAGACAAGCGGAGACCGTCAGGGATATAAGGGCCCCAGGACTTCGAACAGCGTTGAGCACACGCAGAAAATGCGAATCCCATTGCCCTAGATCTGCTGTCAGTTGTGGGCTCCATGGCGGCTCCATGCAAGAAGATGCGGGAGATCCCGAGCCGCCATGAGCCCATCTTCCTGGTCACGAGTCGCCCTCCTTTGGCACTCGTACCTCGCACCTCAGAAGGAACACGAGAAGCGAGGCCTTATGACTGCAAAGTGCATTCGATGTACTGGGAATCGAAGGGATGATCGAATTGGTCGTACCGTGAGCTACATGCATCCAAGAATGTGACCCTCCCGACAGGTTTCATGATGATGTGCTGGTGCATCAGCTCAGCATGTAGAAACACGACACCATTCACGTAGTCCTGTAGGATAGATAGTGATTGACATTCGACCGGCCCTACCAGACGGACTCGAGGGGTACTGTCTGTATCCCAATTCCAAGTGGAGGTGAGATGACGCATGCTGAAAGCTGTGGAGATACAAGTTGGAGCCATGTGCAGATGCGCAGAGAGGGTTATACTGTCGAGGAAGGGATAACAGAGCCCAATGGAGGGGTGGATGCGGATAGCCTCATGTCCTAGGCGTCTATGGAAACACGAGGCAGGTTAATGAAGCGAACAGCGTAAAACGCACAATACATGCACCTCTGCAGCTTAGGCCACAATCCCTGGACCCAAAACCACCCCAACCACGACCTCTAGTAAAATGGCGCAGCCCATTACAAGCAACACACCTCTTCGGAAGTTTAAAGATCATGAGAGCACCGTATGGGCAGTCGCAGTTTTCCCCGATAGACGACGAATGGTTACCGGCTCGAGAGACAAGACGGTTCGTCTGTGGGACTTGGAGACAGGCGTTGTGTTGAAGAAGATGGAGGGACATGGGAGTGATGTGACGGCATTGGCAGTATCACAAGATGGGGAACTGATAGCAAGCGGTGATGACAATGGAGAGTTCATCGCCTGGCACGGAGAAACTGGGGAACCTCTCACCCAACCCATGAAATCCCACTTTCAGATCTGGTCGTTGGACTTTTCTCCGGAAGGAACAGTACTTGCCACTGGTGGACCCGACACAGCGGTGAAACTGTGGAGTACGAAAACATGGGAGATCCAAGGAGATCCATTCATTTGTAGTGATCATGTCGTCTGCATTCGGTATTCGCCGTCTGGCGAACTTCTTGCCATTGCAACAGACGGCAACATCGAAATTTATAATCCAGGCACAAGGGAATGCATCGCAAAGCTCAAACTCAAGGCTCCCACAAATTATTGGCACAACTCACTCAGGTGGACGCCTGATGGCACACGCCTTCTCTCAGGGAACAATGTCACCATACGGGAGTGGGATACATCAACCTGGAAGGAGGTCGGTGATGGTTGGATGGGCCATATTGACACAATCAATGACATTGCCATCAACCCTGCTGGTACACTGGTCGCTTCCGCATCTGAGGACAAACATGTCCGTCTTTGGCGGCTCTCAGATCGACAAACTGTCGCCATCTTCCACCACCCATCCTCGCTGAACTGCGTCACTTTCTCAACGGACGGCAAGCACATCCTCAGCGGAGGTGCTGATAAGATGATCTCAGAGTGGGAAACACATGCCACTCATATAAAGGCATGTTTCCGTCTTTGACTCTGATGTTGCAATTTGAACATGCTTCATACAGATCCTCCCCATCAATATGTCATCGTCAATCTGCAATGCATGCACTGCTGGGGACTTGTCTACCGCTGAAATGCTACTCACGCAAGAGATTGACACCGATGCCGACGACTATCACGCCTACGCATATCATTCAATTGTTATGGCGCGACAACATCAATGCGACCACGCGCTTCAGGATGCAATCAAGGTGACATAGTCCACCCATTACGAGCTTCCTACGAAACACTAACTGTCATCGTGACATAGTCCATCAGCATTAAGCCTTCCTTGATGGGCTATATCTCTAAAGGTATTGCCCTCTCTGAAAAAGGGCAGTTCCGCGACTCGATGCAAGCGTTCGATATAGCGTTCATGTTCGCGAACGAAGATTCAAAGATCATTCATTTCATTCTCTTGATCAAGGCACGTTACATGTTTCTTACATACTCCCCACTTCATTTCAGCTTTCAGGCCATCGCTATGTTCAATGCAGGACAACATGACGAAGCAATTCTCCGCGTTCGAGAGCTAGCTTCCGCTTGTCCGAAAAATGATACCCTTGCATGTCGTATCATAGAAGTGAGTATCATGTACACCCCAGGTTGGTGCATTGACACTGATCTCTTTGAACTTCGCATATCAGGCATATCTATCTATTCAACTTGGAATCAACGCCTCAGATGGCGCACGTCACGAAGAAGCTGCTGGCCACTTCGCTGCCGCGGTCAACTCCAGTGCTTTCTCAACCATCCCAACTATATACGACGACTTGGTGGTGGTACGTCAATGTGATTCATCCGAACATGCTTCTCACACGAACTCCGTGTTTTGTGCAGCTCTTTGGATGGGACCTCGAATCCATGTGGCTGACTGCAAGCCAGAAACTCTGCCAGGCTTTGCTTTCAGCAGGTAAAGTCAAAGAAGCCCTCGAAGCACACCAATCCATGATGGACGCCATTGATGAAACTACGAAGGCCAGTTACCTTGATTGGTCCAATAGTAGGTCTTTATTACCCCATACCATAATCCTCACCCACATTTCACTCAGCTTTCAAGGAAGAATGCAGTGCGCTCGCTGCGACCAACGACATTCTTCGCGTACTTACTCCTTTCCTCATCCCTTTTGTTACTGATGGTCATCCAGATGGAGATCCCCGGGCAAGATCAAGAGGGCTACGACACAGAACCTGATTTCTTCCGGGGAATGCATGACGTGCGTGCAACAGTGCATACATTTTTTCTCACTCATGTATTATTCATTACAGTATCCTCAAACTTCGCAATCACGACCTCAGCAGCGCCAAGGACGCCTCAAGAGACTCAGGGTCGCTGTGACAAGGACCCTTCGTCCAGCTCCTACGCCGGTGCCGCCCACTACGCAAACCTCTGCCACCACTGCCACCACCTTCAGATCCCATCTAAGATATCTACTAACCTGGCGCACCAATCATGCAGCACCACACGTCGTCGATGTTCCCTATGCGCAGGGTCAAGAGGTGCTCTCCCTCGATGTTTATCACTGCGTCTTTAATGTCTCATGCATAAATTTACAGCGCAATGCTGCAGCAGGTGCTCCTAGCCACCTCCTCGACGATGACCTGGAACGTGATGAAGATCCTCTACCAGACACCAATCCACAACAGCAACCCGCAGCAGTGCAGATCAACGCCGGAGACCATGGAGGCGGCCGGTCGTGTTTCTGCTGCTAGAGGGGACAATCCCCAGGTATTTCAGTTCTACTATTGCTTCTATTGTGATATCAGCATGGACTTGATATAATATTTTATCGATACGTGATGTGACTATGTCCTTTACATTATGAATTACGAACCCCGCGTTTTCCATATGTTTTAAAGCTTAGCATGCGCATGATGATCGGGGTCAGGGTCAGAGCGTTTGCCAAAAAGTGGTTGCGCTAGTCAAGCGTAACAACAGTCAAAAATCGCTGGAATGTCGTAATACTCACTTGGGTCGAAGGATCGAGTGGATAGTCGACAGTGTTCCCGAACACCCGCAGTGACAATTGGTTGGATGCAGGGCTCGTGTAGCCTCGGAAAGAGCCTGCCGAGGTCATCAGATCTAACTGACGACGGTGTATGGTGCAGGATTGCAATGAAGATAGAGAGAATAGCGAACGAGAAAAACGAAGCAGTTAGGTAAGGAGTTGGCGAACCTGAAGACCGAGATGAACGACGAGCAAAGCGCTGGAAGCAAGGCTGTGACATCGCTGGAAAAAACCATCATCCAAGTGTTATATAAAACGCGCCTTCACTGAAAGGTGGAAAGTCGTTCGTCGCATAATTAATGGTTTTTGATGCGATAAATACGGCTGCACACGCAGATCTTTGGAGTCGACGGGATGAAGAGGTGATATTGCAGTAAGCTGAATGCATCTCAGTTTCGTGAGAGAAGGTAACTGTGCCGAAACGACGTACACGAGCTCTGACCATTTGGACAGGTTGCATAGTAATCCGTTGGAGTAGTTGCTCGACATTGGAAACAAGACATCAATCATCCGACAGGATCTTCGCGACGCTGATCACATTTGACAGGCCTTGAGCACTATCAGTCAGATACGAGCACTAGAAGCACCAACTGTGCCATCACGATTGGCTGCGAGGGGATACAATTTTGAAACTGCGGAGAAACAAGTTGAACCCATGTGCCAAGGCGCAGGGACAGTTATACTACTATGGGCATTTATGACAACCTATTTTTACTGCAGCTTTGATGAAGGTGTCGAGGGGAATAGTAGCCTCATGTTCTAGGCGTCTATGGAAACATGAGGCAGGCTATTTAATGCAGTGAAGCAGGATAAAACGCACAGTACACGCACCTCTACGGCAGCACGAGGCTCACAATCCATCCACAAAAGTCCACGTCAACCGTGCTCAACACCACAGCCTCTAGTAAAATGTCGCAGCTCATCCCAAGCACAACGCCCCTTCGACAATTTAAAGGTCACGAGAACACCGTGATGGCCGTCGCAGTTTTCCCCGATAGACGACGAATGGTCACAAGTTCGGACGACAAGACGCTTCGTCTGTGGGATTTGAATACAGGTGTAATGTTAAAGAAGATGGAGGAACATCGCAGTGAGGTGTGGGGATTGGCGGTATCACGAGATGGGGAAATAATAGCAAGCGGTGATAGAGGTGGAGAGTTCACAAGCGGTAATCTGACCGAAAAGCTTATCACCTGGCACGGAGAAACTGGTCAACCGCTCACTCAACCCATCGAAGCGCACACCCATGCGACCTACGCATTGGACTTTTCTCCCGATGGAACAGTGTTGGCCAGTGGTGGGCTCGATACTAATAATACGTTCAAGCTATGGAGCACGAAAACGTGGCAGCTGGAAGGAAATCCAATACAGTGTGGTAGTTGGGTCAAATGCGTGCGGTATTCGCCATCTGGCGAACTTCTTGCCATCGCGACATACAAAGATATCCAAATTTATGATCCAAGCACCAGGGAACGCATCGCAAAGTTCGAGGCTCATAAGCCTCGCTGGCTATGGTTTTTAGAAGCAAATGAGTCACTCGCGTGGATGCCCGATGGCACACGCCTTCTCTCAGCGGGTAGTAGTGTCGATCCGACCATACGGGAGTGGAATTCACGGACCTGGAAGCAGGTTGGTGATCCATGGACGGGCCATACTAACGACATCACCGCCATTGCCATTAATCCTGCTGGCACGCTCGTCGCTTCCGCATCTTGTGACCATGTCCGCCTCTCGCGACTCTCAGATCGACGAACCATTGCCGTCTTCCAGCACTCAGCCCAGACGAGATGTGTCACTTTCTCCATGGACGGCAAGCACATCCTCAGCGGAGGTTGCGATAAAATGATCTCACAGTGGGCGGTACCCACGTTGGTAAGTTCCCGATGATTTTCCATCTCTTCATCTCATCTTGCGTCCTCTGATGCCAAGGCTCAAGCCTCTGGTTCAAAGGCATGTTTCTTTCCTTGACTCTCATGACATAATTCGAGCGTGATTCGTGCCTCAGATCCTCGCCATCAACACCACTGCCCTGAATGCAAGCATCGCGGGGGACTTGTCCACCGCTGAACAGCTTCTCACGCAAGAGATCAACATCGATGCCAAAAACTTTACCTCATATGCTGGCCGCTCACTGGTCATGGCACGCAAACACCACTGGGACCATGCGCTTCAGGACGCGACTAAGGTGAGATATATCCACCCATCATGGGCACCTTACAAAACACTAACTTTAATCGTGACATAGTCCGTCAGTATTCAGCCTTCTTTGGCAGGCTATGTCTCTAAGGGCATCGCCCTCTGTGGGAAAAAGCAGATTCAGGACGCGAGAGTAGCATTTCACGTCGCGTCCATGTACGCGTTCGAAGATTTAAGGACCATTCATTTGATTTTCTTGATTGAGGCATGTTACATTCTCTTACATAGTCCGTTCTTCATTACGGGTCTCACGGTTTTCAGGCCATCGCTATTTGCCATGCAGAACGACATGAGGAGGCTATTCTCCGCGTCCGAGAGCTAGCTGCCGCTCGTCCGAATGATGATATTCTGGCGTGTCATGTCGTGCAAGTGAGCATCATCATATCCTTGATCAACCCCATCTTTGTGTATCGACTCTAACCTTTCTGAACCTCGCACACAGGCATATCTGTATGTGCAACTCGGAATTAATGCCATGAATGACGCGCGTTACAACGAAGCTGCTGACCATTTCACTGCGGCCGTCAACGCTAGCGCTTCCTCATCTGCATCTGATATTCATTTGATGTACGAGGATTTTGTGCTGGTACGTTGATGTGGTTCATACGAATTTCCTTTTCATGCCGAACCATGTGCTTTTTATAGCTCTTTGGATGGGACCTGAAGTCATTGTGGCAAAACGCACGTGAGAAACAGTGCGACGCACTCCTTCGGGCAGGTAAACTCGAAGAAGCCCTAAAATCATACCGAGCCATAATGGACATGAGTGACGAAAATACAAAGGCCAGTTACCTTGACTGGTCCAACGGCAAGTCTAGAGTCCGAAATTTTGACGCACGCTGTAACTCTCACCCGCATTTCATTCAGCTTTCAAGCAAGAATGCAGCTCCGTCTATGTTTCTAACGGAGATGCGGCCCTTGCCGCGAGCGATTACGACAGGGCTATCAACTTATACTCTGCGGCGATTGACCTCAATTCTGAGAGTGACACCGCATTCTCCAGCCGCAGCAAGGCCAAGTTGGAGAAAATGCTATGGGAAGATGCGCTTCTCGATGCGCAAAAGGTATGATGACATCTACCGTTTTGTAGCCAATATTCACTTCGGCTACGCATAGGCCATCAAACTCAACCCTGTGTCTCATGTTGGATACGCAGTGAAGCATGCGGCACTTCATGGTGCATGACGGTACGATGAAGCGATCGAGGCCTTCGAAATGATGCTTTCCAAATTGGACAGTGCTCCCAACATGCAAATACGAAGTAAGCCTCAAGTAACACATGCATCAAGATGCTTAACTCTCTCCTCAGAGCTGCGCGAGACATTTGGTAGTCCCTCCAAAGCTGCGGCTGATCTTCGAAAGGTCATTGACAATCAACTCGACACCGCCCCGCTCCGTCTAGTCAACACCGCCACCGGTCTCTTGTCTGACCGAGAAGCGCAGATCAACTTCTTCAAACAGAGCACAGAATACAATGAGCTGCTATTATCTTCTATTATGAAGCATCAAGACTTCCCACCAGAGCGTATCGCAAAAGTGGTGGCGAAGTATTTCCGCTATGCCATGCTATCACATAGGTGGGAAGGGAAGGAGCCGGTGCTAGAGGACATTCAGGACAAGGACGTGTACAAGCTGAACCAAGTTGGCGGTATCATGAAGTTGCAGTCTTTCTGCAACACCGCTCGTGACGCGGGGTATCTCTGGGCATGGAGTGACACATGCTGCATCAAGAAGAGTGACCCTGCCGAGTTCGAAACATCAATCAAATCCATGTTTATCTGGTATCACCACTCGGCTCTTACGATCGTCTACCTGTCAGATGTTTCATCAGAGTCTGGCGCACTGGCAGACAGTGTTTGGAATGAACGCGGATGGACGGTCCAAGAATTCCTCGCTCCTCATGCCATTCTCTTTTATTGTAACAATTGGACTCTATATCTCGACGATCGCACTCCCAACCACAAGGAGTCCGACAACATCATGCGGGAGTTGGAGCGTGCGACGGGCATAGATCGACGAGTCATCCAGGCCTTCAGTCCTGGGACGAGAGACGCCCGGAAGAAACTCCAGTGGGCGTCGAAACGTGCCACAACGGTGGAGGAAGACATTGCATACTCGTTATATGGCATCTTCGACGTCCGCCTTGTAGGCCTGGATTATGGCGAGAAGAAGCAGCACGCACTCGGACGGCTCCTGCGGGAAATCATAGCTCAGTCGGGCGACATTACTGCTCTGGACTGGATCGGAACATCATCAGTGTTCAATAGTTGCCTACCCGCCGACATCTCCTCGTACGAATTTCCGCCATGCGCACAGCCATCTGTATCCGAGGATGAGATTAAGTCATCGCTCTCCTCACTGCGAGGTATTGTCGCTCCAGAGTCAGCTTTGAAATTATATCAGACACTTGACCGCCTGAGCACTCCCCGTTTCGCGCACCGCCGGTTGCTTCTGCCTTGCATCGTGTTCCCTGTCACAGAAGCCTCGCGGAGGCCTGGTCAAGACCATGACACATATGAAGTCAAGGCGGATGGGATTCATGACCTGCACATCACCATTAAAGACAAGTTCATCCCCTTCTCGCAGGCAAGGCCGCCGCCCACCTGGCAGACACTGTTGCTTGTGCGTCCATGGAGTCGTGATCTCCTTGGGTTGCCTAACCTTGGAGAACTACTTGATGTCGGAGACGATACACAGAACGAGGATAATCTTTGGTCGTCAAGCGAGGCGTCCGGCGGTTTTGCTAGAGAAGATCAACAAGTTGTTTCGGAATCGAGCGAGCAAGCGTTCCGGTTGCTTGTTCGCCTTGGGCAGCGTTTTGGCGCGTTTTTGCTAGCGCGCCAGGGTGGTGGAGAATACAAGAGGATCGCGTCAGATCGTGATATCATGGCACAGATAAAAGACATGGCTTCTGTTGTCAACACGATGGACATCAGGACTATAGAAATATCGTAGGTGTATGGATTATTTGATAGATCAGGGACCTCTGAGCGGGTTTCATTTATACGTTAACAACAATACTTGTAAAGCATCATATATGCATGCACAGATACCTTATACACTCCCCCAAGCCCTTGTTCGTCCTACATCATTAATACCTATTCGTTTATTACATCTACCCCCGCGTGGCGCCTACGTATTCACCGTGTCCAACAGGACACTCATAGAGGATGGGGCATACATGAACAGGGAACGGACATTCAAACTCTAAAGCCCAAGCCGTAGGGGGACCACGGGCCAGTTTCGGAGGTGGGGCAACTGATATTGCTCTTATCTGTGGGGTCGTGGATCTCCTTTCAAGGTGAACGAAGGATGCGCACCGACGGGAATTTGAATATGTTCATTTACCGTGAAGTGATGTGGACGCTGACGGGAGAACGTACTGCTGGGTTGCTGGTGACGATTGTTTTTGGCCTACCTAAAGCCGAGGAGTATGGATGAGGATGGAAATCATTGAGTGGGACCGGCCCAAAGTTGACGTAGTGGTTCGCAAATTGGCGTCACCACGTCTTCGGGAGGGAATACTTCTAACAAATCCTGCAGGTAAACAACCGCGTGTCCCTTTCATCCCTCGCGATCATACATAGGCACGAGGGGACCATAAAAGAACTGATGCACCATGATAATAGGTATCAGATCAGGAACGGACGAACTTCTTCGACGAGTAGGACGTGGGCTACGAGAAAGGATGATTCAGCCATTAAAGGCACGTCATGAGAGCCGCAAAATTGCACTCACTCGCCTCCGCGATCCCCCTGGTAAAACTGATAGCCACGTGTTATCGTGCTCCTGGAACATTCACTCTGTTTTGGATGGAAAGACGACGCGCCGTAAGAGGGACAGGCATTCCGCCATGATTGACAGAGGGAGAACACTTCCGTGCTGTTACTGAGCCCGGTGCGGTCTACGTGAGTAGGCTGAGATCGAGCGTAGAAAGACGGTGAAATTCGCTGAGAGGGCTTGGAAACGCTGCTAGTAAGCTTTGCGGCGGAAATACGATCGTCAGCCCGAGTAGACATCTTCGCAAAACGAGAATGCAAAGAAAATATATACATCCAATAAGAAATACAAGATGCCTGCGAAATGCAGAATGTGCCTCAGCGCAGGTTTCACTTTCAACGTCTGTATTAAGATTTCTGGACAAATTTCACGGTAACCACAAATACGAATGGTGCAGAGGAATGCTGGTCAGCACCATTCAGGATAGATCCAGATCAGTCCCATAGTAGTCATTGTAAGGGATTGTAGCGGTCTTGGGTAAGATTGCAGCGGCTACCCACGACGAGCCGCAAAAAGATATGAGAGATGGGAGGGCTTGAGAATGGCCATCTGATCACGATAGTCGGGAAGACGGACGGCGAAAATGTCGAGCAAACGAGTTGAGACGGTTGTGCGTGAAGGGGCCGATACCGCTGAGAGAGGACGTGTCAGTCGGGCTAGCTAGGGATTCGAGGTTGGTTGCCACAGGGCCTACTTCATGCGACAGATTGAAGAGGATGATGTCGAAGTTTGGTGTGCACCGTACTCTAATAGCCACCGGATATGGAATTTGCGGAGTACGGGAATGGAGATGAGGCCGAGAGCGTATCTGAGACCAAGTTACTATCATTGAATGTAGCAGCCATTCTACTGTATACTGAATTACCTCCTCAGGGAGGGACTTGTTTATTTCGCTCTAAAACCGAGTGACTAGTCGTTGAAAGTCGGTGAGTGGTTTACTTACATGATAGGGCCGGTATGATACTGCGCTCCTGCGGATCTGTGAACTTGCAGCCTGAACGTTTGGTTCATATCTGTCGTGGTGGCGAGTCTATAGCTTAGCCTGCAAGTTCTATGATGCCATCAAGTATAATGCAGTGTATGCAATATCCCATCCTTGACTCTACAAAAACCTTCTTGGATTTGCATTGTTTCTCGCCGGCCAGATTGGCAAATAGTCGTTGTTGGTTTTTTGTAGCGACCGGGGAATGCAAGGCTCGTGGGGTAATAATACGCTCATTGGTTCTCAGCCGTTTTGGTACAACACAATCTCCCGGGCCCGTAGTAATATAAAGTAAAGTCCTTACTCTTTCTTGCACCTTTTCTTAACCTGATTCCACAGTTCCTCTTTTTAATTTCTTACGTCCTTCAGCTGGCTGCCGCGAGCTGTGCTTGCAGAGTTTTCTATCGTTCTGTGAACTTGCTTGCTTCATTCTCTACTGATCCTCAGCTGTGCTGATTGCTGTTAAAAACCTGAACGGGTTCTCGACAAAAATTACAACGGCTTTTGCTCACGATGCAATTCACTACTCTTGCTGTATTTGCTCTTGCTGCTGTCGCATCTGTGCACGGTGCACCATTACACAAGCGTATCGCGCAGGTCATCTCTGACTCGACCCCTAAGTGGGAGCAAGCATGTGTAAGTTGCCTGCAAATGCCTCGGCTCGTCGTATCTTATTATTTTATCCTAGAATGCTGCTGGTGGAGGTACTCAATGCAACCAAGTTGCTGTCGCGTCCTTCAGCACTCTTCTCGCTGCCCCCGGTCCATGCGCGCAGCAGAATGCCGCGGACAACATGGTTGACCTTGCAAAGACCCTCAACACCAACGCCGACATGATCAAGTTTGCTCAGATCTTTGCCCAGCAGCCCCGTAACTCTGTTCGTCCTTTAAACTATCTATTCTGTCACCAATACTTACAGAGTCGATGCTATACAGCCCACATCACAGAGTGTTCCATACTGCCAGTCAGCTCCCCGCAACGCTGAGCTCAATGGGCTCTTTCAGTGTCAGTTCCAGGGTGATGACCCAAAGACCTTTGTCGGTGGCACTGCCGTTGGCGGTAACGGCACTATTCCGTTCGGCATGAGTGCACCAGTCAACCCGGCTGGTTCTTGCCTCGCAAACCCCTCCGGCCCCATCGCTGATGGCTCACAGCTCGTCGATATCACTCAGAGCCCCGGTGTCGGCGGCACAACTAGTTCTGATACCACTACTGGTGGAAGTAATAGCACCTCCACAGTAGCCACTCCTTCCGCCACTCCGTCTGGTTCTTCCGATACTGACTGCGAAGAAGATCCAACCGAGTCCACGTCTACCGCCTCGCTCACCATGCCGGCTACTGCCGTTTCTGCAGCCACTCCGTCTGCAACTAGCGGAAACTTCAAGCTCACCAACGGCCAGAATGCTCAGAAGCTCAACGCCCAATTCGCCACGCTGACTGCTACCTCTCCCTGCACTGGTAGGTCCACCTCCATCGAGTAATTTCGTCTGTTTCTAACATTTTTATACAGAGGGTACCAATGCATGCGTCAATGGCGCTTTTGCTCAGTGCGTAGGGGGCCAGTACGTGACCCAATCCTGTGGATCGAGTCTCACTTGCGCTGCGCTTCCCCTCGTCAACTCTGCGGGAACGTCAATCACCTGCACCACAAATGCTGATGCCTTGGCTCGCATTGCGGCTACTGGTGCGCAGGGTGGCCTTACTGGATCGGGATAGTTTTGAATACTGGCGTCAAGTTAGTGACTTGCGTTGTTAGTCGACGTTGTATCTTTTTTCCCCGCTTTCATTGAACTATGCTATATCAACCGCTATTGTGTATTGTTATGGAGAGGAAAGGAAGTATGATAATGTACCGGCAGTGCTAGTCGCTGCATACACTTGTTGTACACTATAATCTGTAATCGATGCAGGCATGGTGAAATGAAGAGGTGAATTGTTCTGCTGATGGATATCGACCAAAGATTGTTCGGTAAAATAATTCTTGGACCATATCCACAGCAGCAGATTTCGTAAGCAGTCAAAGTGAGCTTCTGTTTAGAAGTATAGGACTGGGCAGAATCTGATAAGATCTAATGTTGCACAATGGTCCGTGACGAGCGTCTGCATGGACTGTGGTCACTGCCTGGCCAGTATGATGCGTTGGACGATGCTGACCTCGGACAACAATAGTGAACAGACTCCACGCCAGGTCAGAGTCTGAATCATCGTCATCATCATCAGACTTGCTGCTTGGACGATGGATGGCTTTAATGCATGACTCTAAAGAGACCAATGAGTCATAGCTACATATGTAGAATATACTCAACTTTCCTTCTCATGATTTTCGCATCGCTTATACGGGGAGAGAAGTATGATGCGCAACTACGATTTTTGATCAATGCAGGGATAAAGAATGAAAAGATGGATTATTTTCTACTTGTGGATATAGACTAAAGATCTTCCTCGTCGATGAGAACGATCCTAGAATGTATATCCACAGCAGCACGTTTCGTAGCACCGATTGATCAGATCAAAGCGTCCAAGTCAGCTTTTGTTTAGCAGAATGACCTAGTCTCCTTGATGCTGATATCATCGATAAGATAACTGAGGACCGAATAATTAGTATAGAACATACTCGATTTTCCTCGACGACTCACGCTGGTATCACGGGGTGACAAGTATGGTACGCAGCGCCAAACTAAAATGCTAATCAATGCAGGTATGGTGAAATGAAGAGGTGGATTGTGTTCTGCTCGTGGATATCGACCGACGATTACCCTTGGCGAAGGTATCCTAGGGACATATCCACAGCAGTACATCGATCGAAGCATCCTTTTGTTGAGGGCCTAATCTCCTTGAGGCTGATACGATCGATAAGATCACCGAGAACCGGGTAATCAATATAGCTGTCGCAGGACAAAATCTGATAGGATCTATCATTGAACAATGGTGGACCTGGCCAACACGACGATACCGACCTCGGATAACAATAACGGTCATCGTGGTGTTATCAACGGATTAACTGGAGTCACTAGACCAAGTATGATCCGTGGCAAATTTTTCTGAACTCCGCCAAAGATTTTAGGATTTGGATAGGGAATATTGACGATCAGCAGAAACGCATCTATCCCCTTACCTTTTTCTACTCCTCGTTCACGACTTTTATACATGGATGTACGTGCAGATCAATACCTGAATGTTCACTGTGAAGCCCGATCTGATTACTTTTTGCTTTATTGCCCGTAATCACAGCCGAATTTTGTGCAGGGGCTGCACAATCTATTGCTGCAGTCAACCTCAAACGATACCAACCAGCTTAAAGCTGTAAGATCGCCCTTTCAGACGCGTTGTTCATCGCGTTTCCTGACTTATCATGTGCATCAGGCTACGACACAGCTTAACACCGAATACTACAAAAATCCAGCATGCATATCTGCACTCGCACAAATACTCGCCAGTTCCCCGGAAATCGCGGTGAGCAAATTTCATGTCAGAGTATTTTTGGACATGCCTCCTCATTGATATTGGCACTGTGTGCATGAATCATCGTTTACTAGGTTCGCCAACTGGCTGCGGTCGAGATGCGGAAGCGTGTTACTCAAAAGAGTGGTGATCTATGGATGCAGCTTCCACAAGATGTCCGTTCCCAGATCAAAGACCAACTTCCTATTTTGATCCTTGCCGAACAAGAGTCTGTCTCTTTTCTTACTTGCAAAAGTGCGCTTCTCCTGATTTTTTTGATGCTGTAGTAAGCTTGTCCGACACTCCGCTGCACGTGTCATCGCCGCTACTGCTAGCATCGAGCTCACAGCTGGAACGTGGCCACAACTCCTTCCGTGGTTGCACCAGTCATGCACATCAGCACAAGTCGCACATCGCGAGGTCGCCATCTTCATTTTGTTCACTGTGCTCGAGAGCATCGTGGAAGGTTTCCAAGAGCATCTGCAAAGCTTCTTCAAACTCTTTGAAGGGCTTCTCAATGACCCTGAGAGTATTGAAGTTCGTATAACGACTGTCCGGTGCGCTTTACTCCTCGACTTATCCTAGGTGGCAAACTGACACTGCTTCAAGGGCTTTGGGCGTCATTGCCCAGTACATTGACTCTGATGACAAGGCCGATATCGTGCGTGGATGATTATAATTTTTATCAAAACAAATCGTCTCACTATGTGATACAGAAATCCTTCCAAGCACTACTCCCTGCTATGATTCAAATCCTCGGGCAATCCATTGAGTCTGGTGATGAGGCTGGTGCTCGTCAACTATTCGATGTATTCGAGACTCTTCTCATCCTTGTGCGTTTTCATTCCAGTTTCTGTTGACATGGACTTATCTGCGAGATGCCATGCAGGAAATACCAATTCTTGGCCCACATATCGCGGAGTTGGCATCCTTCCTCCTTCAAGCTGGTGGGAACCGCAATCTCGACTCTGAAATCCGTATTTTGGCCCTCAACGCCCTTAACTGGACCGTGCAATAGTGAGTTCATGTTTGGATTTGGTTGATGCACGCACTTAAGCCGTCTTTCCAGCAAAAAATCAAAAATCCAAAGCCAGTCCCTTGCTGGCGCGATCTTGGAGGGCCTCATGCCTATTACCACCGAGCCCGAACCTGCAGATTCCGACGATGACGCTCCTTGTCGTGTACGTAACTTTGATTTACTAGCCGAAGTGACCCCTGTTCATCATTGTTATTCCAGTCTGCTCTTCGTATCATCGATGGCCTTGCCACTAACCTTCCCCCTACCCAAGTCTTCCCTGCTCTCCGAACACTCATCTCCCACTACTTCTCTTCTCCTGATGCGAACAACCGCCGTGGTGCAATGCTTGCGCTTGGCGTGGCCGTAGAGGGCTGCAGCGAGTTTATGACGCCTTTGATGAGCCATATTTGGCCTGTTATCGAGGCTGGTCTCCAGGATGGTGATAATTCGGTCAGGAAGGCAACCTGCATCGCTGTCAGCTGTTTGTGCGAGTGGCTGGAGGATGAATGTGTTGCGAAGCATGCTATTCTTGTTCCTGTGAGCATCAGAACTTTTTGTCACGTTGATCGCGATGCTAAGATCTATGTGATACTTTTAGGTGATCATGGGCTTGGTGCACGACCCCGCGACTCAACGTTCGGCTTGCACTGCTCTTGATGCTCTGCTTGAGATCTCGCAGGATGTCATTGACCAATACCTCCAGCTTATCATGGAACAACTTGCTGGTCTGCTCGACACTGCACCTATCGCCGTAAAGACTGTGGTCACTGGAGCTCTCGGCAGTGCAGCACACGCGTCAAAAGAGAAATTCCTCCCCTACTTCCAGCCAACGATGAACAAGTTGCAGCACTTCCTCGTCCTCACTGGCGAAGGCGAGGAGACTGAGCTCCGCGGCATCGCTATGGACGCCGTCGGAACCTTCGCAGAGGCCGTTGGCGTCGATGTCTTCCGCCCATACTTTGCGGACATGATGAAGCAGGCGTTCCAGGGTGTCGAGATGGGTAGTGCACGTCTTCGGGAGTGCAGTTTTCTGTTCTTTGGCGTGATGGCTAGGGTCTTTGGCGAGGAATTTGCGCCTTACCTACCCAGTGTCGTGCCTCCGTTGTTGCAGAGCTGCAAGCAAGCCGAGCATGGCGAGGATAATGTCGCTACTTGTACGTTTATGCTCTCATTTTGATCGTGGAGTTCTCTGATGGTTATTTCTAGTCTCTAACACTGATGCTGCTGCTGCCTTCGCATCCGGGTCCTCCCCCACAAACGCGATCTCTGTCACGGATGATATCGATGCCAATGGGAACCCCGAACTTGAGATCGAGGATGTTGACCTCGACAAGATGCTCGAAGTCAATAGCGCGATTGCAGTCGAGAAGGAAATTGCTGCAGACACGATTGGAACTATCTTCTCTGCCACGCGCAACCACTTCTTCCCTTACGTCGAGCCTTGCGCTCTCGAGCTCGTCAACTTACTCACGCATTATTACGAGGGCATTCGCAAGTCCGCCACGGACTCTTTGTTGGAGATCGTTAGGACGTTCTATGAACTCAGTGGTGCGCCTGACTGGACCCCTGGGGCTACAGTGGTGAGTTACAGTTATTGTGTGCGAGCTTGGTGCTGACATAGCGTCTAGACTGTGCCTCTGGAGCAGAGCGTGAAAGAGCTCATCGGGCACAGCTTGAAGCCTTTGCTGGAGATGTATGAGACTGAGGATCACAAGTCAGTTAATTGATTGTTCGCTCGTGTAGCTCCTACTGAATGATTTCCCGCAGGAGCGTCGTCGCATCGTTATGTGTTGGTCTTGCCGAGACCATCAACAAGATCGGGCCTGCGTTTATCGAAGGCCGTAAGTTAGATCATTAGTTCCTTTTTGTTGATGCTGACGTCGGGTGTAGATCTCGATGCGATCTGCAGCATCGCGGTGCAGGTCCTTGAGCAAAAGGCACTTTGCCAACAAGACCCTGACCAGGATGAAACTGAGGAGGCACCCGAAGATCAAGCCGAGTACGATTCAGTGCTCATTTCCTCTGCAGGCGACTTGGTATCCTCACTTGCGAATGCGCTGGGTAATGACTTCGCGCAGGCATTCGGTACCTTCTTCCCTCTTATCTCGAAATACTACGTAAGTTTGAATTCTTTCCGCACGTTCAGGTACTGACCATGTATTCCTCTTGCAGAAGAAAAACCGGTCAATGAGTGATCGTTCGTCCGCTATCGGTTGTCTCGCAGAGATCATTGCTGGCATGAAAGCCTCTGTCACGCCCTCGACAGAACCTCTGATGGATCTGTTCTACCGCGCGCTCAGCGACCCAGAACCAGAGGTCCAGAGTAATGCATGCTTTGCCATTGGTCTTCTCGTTGAACACTCTGAAATCGACCTCTCCCCGCAATATATGCACGTCCTCACCGCCCTTCGCCCGCTGTTCAACGTCTCGCCCGGTGAACCTTCAGCAAAATTCAATGCAAAGGACAATGCTGCTGGTGCTGTTGCCCGTCTCCTCATCCGCAATACTGCTGCCGTCCCTCTGGATCAGGTCCTTCCTGTGTTGATCGGCAGTCTCCCGCTCAAGACCGATTACTTGGAGAACCGCCCGATTTTCCGTGCTATTTTCTATCTATTCCGCACGAACCCCCAGTCGCTCCTGCCATTCATGGATCAGCTGCTTGCTGTGTTCGCTCACGTTCTTGATCCCAGTGGACCTGAGCAGATTGGTGATGAGACGGCGGCTGAGTTGATTGCGTTGATTAGCCTATTAAACGCGGAAGATCCGTCGAGGATTCAGGCGGCTGGGCTCAGTGCCTTCACAGGAGCATAATTCATTCGTATTTCTTTCCCGTCATGCCCTTGTCTTTCTTTCACCAAATTATAACGCTAGTACTATCGGATTCAATGTTTCAATTCCCTCCGCTTTCGTTGATTTAGATTACTTACAGAATTACCTCGCATGCTATCTTCAGAATTGCTCGCTCAATATTCACGAGGGTAATGGGTTTTGATAAATGTTCACATGACCTTACAAGTATCGCGACGCGTTGTTTTTGCATATTTGTTCATTTCCATCTCTCAATCAATCATCTTTGGCGTTCCAACTGACTTGTATAATAATTCAAATTTGAGCTCGCTGGTCGACTCGTCTCCCAACGTGCCTCGTCGTCGCGCCCTACGGCTCCCATCACTATGATTGTCACTCTTTTAACCCTCCTCGTTGCCGCATCAGCGGGTCGTGCGACAGTCACCGTCGACAATCCGCTGGATGGTCAACTGCCCCTTATTGCTCGCATTAGCGAAAACTATACTTGGTCCTTCAGCTCGTTGACATTCTCAACCGACCTGGACCAGCCTCTTTCATACACCGCTTCAGGTCTACCGAGTTGGTGCTCGTTTGACAACGCAACACGAACGTTCCAAGGCTTGCCTTCTGCTGCAGACGAAGGCACGCCGCAGATAACCATAAACGCTTCGGACTCGGAGTCCTATGCAACGTCGTCGTTCTTTCTCTGCGTCACGCCGTATCCTCCCCCGACACTTCAAGTCCCATTACAAAAGCAGTTCTTTGCAGGCAGCTCGGCGCTTTCCTCGGTGTTCTTTCTATCCCCCGGATCGGCCCTTGAAACGGACAACTTTGCATTCAGGGTCCCGTCTCAGTGGTCTTTCAGCGTTGGTATCCTCAGTGACACGTTCTCGGCCCAAGATGACCTATTCTACGCGGCCTTGCAAGCGGATGGAACGCCTCTTCCTAAATGGATGACCTTCGACACCAATACTGTGACCTTCGACGGAGTAACGCCGTCCGAGGCCGCTCTACCCACACCTTACACCTTATCTATAGATGTGCATGCGTCTGATCAGCAAGGCTACACCGCTGACACCGTTTCTTTCGACCTTGTTGTGGCTTCTCACGAGCTGTACGCACTATCGACTCTACCCACCGTAAATGTCACAGCCGAATCGCCTTTCAACTTCACTGTTATGGCTGCCGCCGATTTCACTGGTATCTTGGTTGACGGACAGCCTCTACAACCTACGAATGTCACTGGTTTATCTATCGATGTGTCTTCGTATAAGAACTGGCTTCAGTACGATGAGGAAAGCAGGACGCTCTTCGGTATTCCGCCCACTGGACTTTCCGTGACAAGCACTACGAACGGAGGACCTGTTCTACCTGCCAGCCTTACCACTGACTTCAACCAGACCTTGGAGACGACGATCTCTCTGGCGGTCGTATCATCCTACTTCTCTGCCTCGGACCTTGGAGTCGTCAATGCGGATCCAGGACAGCAAGTACACTTCGATCTGGCTCAGTTCTTCTCCAACAAAGCTGATACTGCCCAAAACCACAACGATGTCAATCTCAGCGTTACCTTCTTCCCCGACGATGCCAGCAACTATTTGAGCTTCGATCCAGTCTCTGGGGAACTATCTGGACAGATTCCAGGCAACTCTCAAATCCCAAAGATCGTGGTCACCTTCATCGCCTACTCTCGTGTCACGCACTCCACTTCCCATGCAACGCTGTCCGTCGTCTCTCCGCAGAAGGAGAGTCAGAGCCAGGGATTAGGAACGGCGAACTCGTCTGGACGCCAGAAAACAACAATAATCTTGTCTGTCGTGTTTGGTGTTATCGGAGGTTTGATTAGCCTTGGCGCCGGCCTGGCGCTGTTCAGACGCTGCGCGAGGGTTCGAGACTCAGCCCTGCTAGGCGAGGAAGGCGCATTCGCGTGGTCGGATGCGGAGAAGAGGTACTACGGGATGGGTGCTGGCGGAAGCAACGGTCTTCGTGAGGATAGCAAGGGTTACGGCTGGTCCAAGGAGGCAGACACGAGCGCAACCTCGGAGAAAGGAAGTCTCGAGCTCGGCCAGCGACACGGCAACCCGTTCGAGCCCAACACAGGTCAGCCGTCTAATGCGTACGAAAACCTTGGGCTTGGTCTCCGGCGTGTTGTTCCTCAAACGCCTTCGACTGTCCATGCTGATTGTCATGGTGTCATGAGGAAAGCCGAGTTCCTTGGGCGGATAAAGGAGACTGCAAGGAACGTGAGCGACAAATACAAGCGCAAGGCTGCTCCGACAAGGCCCATCATCGGTTACCCTACGTCGTTGACATCAAGGCATGCACGCCAGGGCGTGGATGGGCTTCCTCTTGAAGGTGAATACATAGACATCAGGGCCACCCCAGCTTCGCAGAGTGCACAAGAAAATCCTTTCAACCACCCGGAGTTGAAGGTGAAGCGAGCGAGCACTATGACTAGTTTCATTAGTTCCCCGTCGAACTCTACGGATGAGAGGTCTATCCCACGAAGGCGAGCCGATTTTGCCCCCCCAAGGTCCCCGCGAGGCCCGCGAGAGCCATCGCCTGCCGCCGTCAAGGACTCTGCTCGCATAAGGTATATCTTTACTTTCGTCATATAGACGTAGTATTTACTGGAAACATCTTTCAGCATTGTCAGGGAAAGCATACAGAGTACAAGCATCGTTTCCTACGAATCACGTCCCGAGACTATCCAGACCATCCAGACTGCAGAAGAAAAGCCTCGTCTCAAGCAGTTCATGAATTCTTCCCGTGTTCCTCCTCCGCGATCTCCATCTAGTAATCAAGCAACGCTAGACGTATCCCCAGGAGGAAGGAGAGTTGCCAGCCAGACAGCAAAGGTTTATCAAGAAGGACGAGACGCACACCATGCTAGTATCGATGAGCTTCGTATGGGTATGCATTACGTTCGCACACTCGGAGAAGGCTCATCGAACGTGCGCTCTGTATCTGATGAGTCCTTCTCATCGCTCGCGTCGTCTCAGCATGGTCAAGGTACTGTCGGTGTAGGGAAGGAAAACACTGTCTCTCGATTCATCGTGCGGACCGGCGAGAAGTTCAAGTTCCGCATTCCCATGAAGTCTGTCAATGCTGTATGCCGCACATTGGAAGCGAAACTGATGTCGGGGCAAGCTCTCCCGCACTTCTTGCAGCTGGAGCTGAAGGGGCACGGTGGTGACGACAAGAGAGTGGTCGAGTTCTATGGCATTCCTACAGAGCAAGATCTTGGGGAGATACAGGTGGGCGTGTTCAACGCGGAGGGTGGGGAGTGTCTTGCAAAGGTGATCGTTGAGATAGTTGGAAGGAACAAAAGGTCCCCGCCGCTGACAGGGTGAGCTGGCTCACACCGTCTCGTACTCGATTTGTCCACGTTTCATGGCTTTCCAACGGACCAGTGGGCTTCGTATTATTTGCAATTCATGTAACTTAGATTTAGTTCGTCTACCTTCTTTCCGCGGTGTCATACATAATGCCGTCTTTCGGGCACCCGAAGTAGCGCTCCTCATGAGAACATCAGTCCTTCATAGAAAGTGTCATGCATTGCATGACATGGCATCACTGTCGTCTGTCAAATACCTGACATTTACAAAGACAGTACTTGTCTTGGCTCAACTTGATTCCCAGTGGCTGAGGACTATGGACTTATCAGCTCGTTGTAAGGGGTGGTCTTCCACGAAAATAATGAAATGTCTGTACACGAAAAACAGGGTCATTACAGGGCGATTGATGTGCGAGGTAAAATGCAGATTCAGAGGAATGTACAATACACGTGGTGAAAGTGGCGAGTCATGTCTGTGTCCGTGCTATGATCATGTTAGTCAAAGGAAGTGACGCACGATCGAGGGCAAGAAAACTCACATTGATCTATCCAACATGAGTCTACAGTCTACAGGTGTTTCATGACTTCCAGATGAGGATAGCAAGCGATCCGACGTAGAAATAGATAAAGTGCTTGGTTTCTGGAAAAAATAGCTCAGATTAGATTCCTTCCCGCGATGGACGGAAGCACAAGAAAGTTGTAGGAGATCGATGAAAGCGAACGTCGCGAGACACCACAGCTGGCGATGGGCCAGGGGAACACCACAACGCACGACGAAAGACTTACCATGAGTGACATAGCTGCCAAAGTTCTTTCCGACAACAACATGCCATGTGGGGCCGTGTCGTCTGTCGAACTCTTTCTTGATCTGTGCAGCGATGTCTTTCTCGATGTTATATTTCTCAAGAGCAGCAGACGCGATCTCGACGCTCTCTTGCTGCATCTCTTCAGTCATATCCACATTCTTGATGATAGCCTTGGGCCCGCCGGCAGAATTGTGTTCTCTGGGGCTGGAGCCAGTGTCGGTAGATGTTACTGCGTTGTCTGCCATGGTAGTGATCTAAGGAAGAATGTGATCTGGGATTCATTTCAGCTTTGTACGAGTTTATATACGTCTTGGATAGGCCTACCTTGAGTTTTTGGATGAGCAAAGGACACTTGCGCGTGGTTGAAGGGAGAAATCACGCTGGAAAGTGGTGCTGGCCTTTTACACGTGGCTAAAATGGGTTATTAGTTTTGTCTAGTCCACATGCTCTCCTGGAACGCATTCCGCACGCTTCTTGACTTGTCAGGAATAACTAATTTGTAGGTCCCCATAGATGCCATGAGTTGATGCAGCAGTTCACCAGGTGAAATTACACGTTGCATTCTCGCACAATTATCGCACCCTCATTTTACCCTTGGATAATGTCTTGGGCGGTATTTTATTAACTTCCATCTGTATAGGCCGCGAGGGCGTGCACATGCAACAGAACCTTTATTACAATCAGCATGTGGATTCGAAGAGCATCTCATCCCTATCTCCGCGAGGCGCACGCAAGTTCTTTATTCTTCCTCGATTCCCACTGCTTCGTACTCCCTCAGAGTTCGACTACATCCCACTGTGGAAACATCTTCTCGCTAGGCGCCGCCGGCTTTGCTGACTGGCACCAGTAGTGAGTGAACAAGGTTTCACTTCTTCCAATCGTCTGAAAGGAACCAACTTACTTTTAAATTTTATTGTCTTATGCAGACAGCTTCTCGAGCGCCTAGTCGCATCGCCCTTGCCCCGGAGAGAATGGCTACTGCAACGCGGCGAAACTACCAGCTTACACGCCAACATTTATTTCGCCAACCTTTATTTCCGTTGGCCTGCATGCGCCCCTCGCGTTTCATCGTATCGATAACGTTGTATGTACGCCACATTACATTCTGCCCACAATCAAGCCCGATCTTGGGTCCACGTCAAATTCCAGCCAGGGACAATATTCAGAACCTCGGTGTGCATGTAACATCGACCATAATTAAGGAACCGGAGCAAATACTCACACGAGAGACATTCGACATCCACCCCTCGCTGCGGATCGACCTGGGCAACTGCGCTTCTCTTGATCAGAGGCTTCGAGAGTGTACCTGCTCATTCGGCATATAAGTCTCACTCTCAACAGTCTCCGGTGGCCACCTAAAGATGGTGGACATCCTCAATTCTCAAATCGGATAACTTCTCGCAGGCTTAAAAAATGTGGGAGCGAATAATTTTGGAAGGTCTGCCACGATGTCCATTTGCGCACATTTTGAAATTCAATATTGCTTTCCTCCCTTCCTCCGTACAGCAAGCGAGGGTTCAATGCTGAATGGTCACGTACTTTCCACTGTTGTATCGATTCAAAGGAGTAGCACGACGCCTACAGTTTAGGTCCTCGTACAAATCATCTGGATTTCTTCCATTTCGATTTTTTTTTTCAAACTATGCTCAATCCTACTTCTCATCTTTTTTCAGCCTAGGAAGCCATCCATTATTATGCCGCGAGCTAACGAACAATACAAGATGATCGACCCAAATCACGTATTGGAAGATTATAAAGCCACCGCGTCCGCAGCTTGCAGTTTTATTACATGATTGCGCATCGTTTCTTTTCCTCATTTCTATTTCGCAACAGCCTCTGTTTGTGGTCCAGTGCCGTACTCGCTGGTCGACACCGGTGGCGCGTGTTTGAACAGGACAGTTGCTCGGGTAACTGGTTGTTCGATCCGAAGTAGTTGAGTGTGGTACGTAATTGGACAGCAGTGAGTCTGGGAAGTATTGCATCTTGTACTTAGCGCACTTAACACTTCCGATTCAGTCAATACCGTTTGGACATGACGCGATCGCTGTCTGCCATGCATATACTTTCCCAATCCTCCAGGTACTTGGAGTGACTGTGGGGCTTATCATGGGCTTGCCCAATTTGGAAGGTCTATATTAGAAGTTTGCTCACCGCAGTATCACAGAGTAGAACCAGATAACATGCCTCTGCGGTAGACAACTGGCCTGTCTGCTAATACACCATTCCATGCGTGTCGAGCACTGATTGACAGTAATTACTGAAGGATTCCATGCTCGTGCACACTGCATACATGGTCACTTCGGGTCGGAAGGCCGTGACTCTCATGTGACATCATTTGCGTATCTTTTGCGTATGGTGTGCGTATGGGAAGGCAGTCAAGTGCCCACCTTATCTTATCCGTCTAGGATGCAACCTTTTGACAGTAAACTCGTTTTTCTTCCCCATACTAGGACCGTCATGAGCCAAACAGCACAGACGGAGCGAGAGCCTTTCGCTAACGAAAAGGGATATTCCATTGTTCAAAACACACTGAACGCAGATGCAGAGCTTGGATGGCACACGACTCAAAACTACAAGCGTCAAGGCGGTGCTTTGCGCTCGAAGATACTTGGTTTTGCATGTTTTCTGAGTCTTGCATTACTCGCGTCTCGCTTCTGGCCATCTCTTACATCCTGTGTCTTCCCTGCTCACGAGAGGTTACTTGCCAATGAGGTTGAGATGTGTCCACAAGTCTCTGCTATCACCCCTTTGAGCCACGCGTCACTAATCGACAATCTCGATGAGGAATATGGAACTGAAGAGTTCAAGCTAAAGGCATACGAGTCACTGGGAGGTGCCGTAAGGATTCCGTGAGCATTCTTGTCTCAGGGGTTGCTTCTCCTTCGTTCAATTCGGAAGTATAGAACTGTGTGCTATGACGATCTTGGCACTCCAGAAGAGGACCCGCGGTGGGAGATATTCAATAGCTTCCATACCTACATCGAACAGCGTTTCCCAAACGTGTAAGTGGATATCTCATGTATACCAACCATCACTAATAGAAAACAAGCCACGCCACACTCGAGCGCACCAAGGTTGCGACCTACGCACTTGTGTATCACTGGCAAGGAACGGATGCGTCTTTGAAGCCCCTTCTCTTGGCTGCGCATATGGATGTGGTCCCCACAAACGCTGCCACTGACGCTGAATGGATCAACCCTCCTTTCTCTGGTCACTATGATGGGGAGTGGATTTGGGGGAGAGGCAGCTGCGACGATAAGCCTGGAGTTATCGGTAGCATGTGAGTGGCCCAAAATAGCATAAGTATAATCGTGATGCTAAGGTTTATGATAGGACGGCCATCGAAACTCTCCTTGAGCGAGGGTTCAAACCTACAAGAACTGTCATCTTAGCTTATGGCATCGATGAGGAGCGCGGTGGGCCTACTGTAAGTGTGTTTTCTATCTGGCCAGTGAGCGTTGTCAAGATTTTTGTAGGGAGCTGCTGCAATTGGAAAATATCTCGTAAAGACCTACGGAGAAGATTCCATCTCAATGATTGTCGATGAAGGAGGTAAGATTTGCTCTTCGGCTGAGTTGGACGTGAGTTCTCAAATCCATCAAGGAGGATTTTCAGACTTGAGCGGTACTATTTTTGCCACTCCCGCCGTCGCGGAGAAAGGCTACTTGGACGTTCGCGTGGACGTCCTCACACCTGGAGGGCACTCGAGCAGGCCTCCCAAACATACCGTAAGGATACCTTTGCACGCACATTCAGATGTCTCATATCACGCAGGGCATTGGTATCCTCGCAAACCTTGTCACCGAGCTGGAGGCAAACCCACACGTCCCGGAGCTTGCACGTGATCGAACCTACTATCAGGGTTTGCAGTGCAGGGCAAAGTACGATGCTGGGTTCCCCTCCGATATGCGCAAACTTGTTCTCGAATCGCAGTCCAGCGACGAGAAGTTGCATGAGCTGGCGACAAAGCTTAACGATTTCGATCCAGCATACTCTGCTTCAGCAGGTACAACTCAGGCCATCGGTAAGTAAAGAAGGATATCTCACGCTGATGGCTTGACGGAACTATTGGTCAGATATCATCTATGGTGGCGTTAAGGTTAACGCACTACCAGAAGCCGTTTACGCCATTGCAAACCACAGAATCGCAGACCACAGGTATGTCAAGGCGAGTTTTCATCCATACTCGTCCACTTACCATGAACCAGCTCGGTCTCTGAACTCCAAGACCGATTTGCAAGCATCGTTGTACCTGTTGCGGCAAAACACAACATGTCTGTGGATGCCTTTGGGAAGGTAGTCGGCCTTGAGGCATCTACCTGGGGTCATGTGAAGCTTTCAGACGCATTCGACTCAGCATTAGAACCGGCACCTGTCACCCCAACCACTGAAAGTGGGCCATATGAATTGCTTTCGGGTACCGTCTTGTCCACGCTGAAGACTAACCTCCGTACGGACGACTTCCCTGACGTTTCTGTTGTGTCACCTGGCCTTTCCCTCGGTACGCTAGTATTTAATACTTCATATCGATTGATGGTTCACGCACTCATCCGATAATCGTAGGAAATACTGGTAGGTGGTCCCTACACGCGCCTCGATGATGGGACGACGGAGATAATCTGAACATGCGTTTTCCAGACACAAGGCATTACTGGAGCCTTACCAAACACATTTTCCGATATGGCCACAGTGGTGCCGCTGATCGCTATAACGGCGCGCATACCATAAACGAAGGTAAGCAGGCTGCCGCACTACTCGCTGTTTTACTCAATGTTATGGCGGTCTCGACTTCTAGCCATCAGAGCAGAGGGCTTCTTGGAACAGATTCGCTTCTTCACGAGGTTGATCCTGAATGCTGACGAAACAAACCTCCTGGAGTGAATCTGAGCGCAGCGATGTGAAGATCTAGAAATGGCCCCTATGTCGCGTGTTTTCAAGTGATGTGGCTTGTAATTCGCTGCGTGTGATGAGGGTTTTACTATGATTTTTGAGGTTAGTCAGTAGCTATCATGTAAGATATACAGTCGCTTGTGATTTTCATCCTGTTGGAAACTTTCGTTGGGGACGTTACATAAACGTCTATTCAGGCCCCACGCTCCTATAGCGGGCCCTGCGAGGAACGATGAGAGTCAAGTATATCGTTGAGAGCATGTCAGACGACGACTAGGGTCAGCGTTGTCGCCACCGTCGTGTCTGAAACCAGTTTCAAGACACTCAGCTAATGTGATAACCACAAGAGCCAATCGTTAATTACGTAACGGAGGATATACTTTTGGGGCTCTGTAAAGAGGTAAAATACTTGACAGTCCCCATCATACCGAGTCCGAGTCCTCTTTCTCCTTCCTTCCATCACCATCTCTCTGGCAGTCCAGTCTTCTAGCAAATTCAGTCCATCCAATTAATCTCAATAACTGGCGGCAACAATGTCGGCCTACGATCACTCAAAAGTAGCCCACTTCATAGGTGCGCGTCCCATCGAACTGTAATTAACGCGTTTTGGATATTGATCTTACTTTCAGGTGGCAATTCGCTGGACAAGGCTCCTGCTGGCCGTGTCACAGACTTTGTAAAGGCTCATGGTGGCCATACAGTTATCACGAAAGTAAGTGTCTCACCCACCTCCTCTGGGGTTCTTTGAACTGTGCTTCGTGTACTTTACCCATCTCCATTCATCTCCGTTAATATAATTCTGATCAATTTCTTACTTTTCTAGGTACTCATTGCAAATAACGGTACGTGCTAACACAGATCATGCTGGGAATGTTTGTTCATGCATATACTCAGGTATCGCGGCGGTCAAGGAGATTCGATCGATCCGCCAATGGAGTTATGAAACGTTCGGAACGGAGCGTGCTGTTGAGTTTACAGTCATGGCAACTCCTGAGGACCTCAAAGTAAATGCTGAGTACATCCGCATGGCGGACCAGTACATCGAGGTTCCAGGAGGATCGAACAATAACAATTATGCCAACGTGGACCTGATCGTCGATGTTGCCGAACGTGCTGGCGTGCATGCAGTCTGGGCAGGATGGGGTCACGCGTCTGAAAACCCTCGACTACCAGAGAGTCTTGCTGCTTCCAAGAACCGTATTGTGTTCATCGGTCCCCCAGGAAGTGCCATGAGGAGCTTGGGCGACAAGATATCAAGTACGATCGTCGCTCAGAGTGCAGATGTTCCCTGTATGGCTTGGTCGGGCTCTGGCATCTCAGACACTACTCTATCAGATCAAGGTTTCGTGACTGTTCCGGACGAGGCATATAAGGATGCTTGTATCACAAGTGTCGGGGAGGGTCTCGCCAAGGCTGAAACCATCGGGTATCCAGTCATGATCAAGGCCAGCGAGGGTGGAGGAGGAAAGGGAATTCGTAAAGTCGATCATCCGGATGCGTTCAAGAATGCATTCCACGCCGTTGCAGGAGAAATCCCAGGTACTGTCATGTAATTCGAAGTGAGCGTCCACTAACCTGCCTTCCCCAGGATCGCCGATTTTCGTCATGAAGCTGGCTGGCCAAGCGCGACACTTGGAGGTTCAGTTGCTCGCCGATCAGTATGGCAATGCCATCTCTTTGTTCGGACGCGACTGTTCCGTTCAGCGTCGTCACCAGAAGATTATAGAAGAAGCCCCCGTCACCATTGCGAAAGAGGATACGTTTGAGCAGATGGAGCGTGCAGCCGTCCGGCTGGCAAAGTTGGTTGGATATGTCAGCGCAGGAACGGTTGAATGTATGCGCTTTATTTACTGCGACCTTTTTTCAAATTGGCTGACGTGTTCCCCTCTAGATCTCTATAGTCACGGGGAGGACGTATTCTACTTCCTTGAGCTGAACCCCCGTTTGCAAGTGGAGCACCCGACGACCGAAATGGTTTCCGGCGTCAATTTACCTGCTGCTCAACTGCAGGTAGCCATGGGTATTCCTCTTCACAGGATCCGTCACATCCGCACTCTTTATGGCGTGGCTCCTAATGCCTCCTCCGAGATCGACTTCGACATGGTGAAGCCTGAGTCCAATCAACTTCAGCGCAAACCGCGTCCCAAGGGTCATGTTGTTGCAGTTCGTATTACCGCCGAGAACCCTGATGCTGGATTCAAACCTTCGTCTGGATCTTTGCAAGAGCTCAACTTCCGTTCTAGCACGAATGTGTGGGGTTACTTCTCCGTCAGCACCGCGGGTGGTTTGCACGAGTTCGCTGATTCTCAGTTCGGTCATATTTTCGCGTATGGCGAAGATCGATCTGAGAGTAGGAAGAACATGATCGTCGCGTTGAAGGAGCTTAGCATTCGTGGAGACTTCCGAACTACTGTCGAGTACCTCATCAAGCTCCTTGAGCTCGAGGCGTTCACCGAGAACACCTTCACAACCGGATGGCTAGACACCCTCATCAGCAATAAGCTCACTGCCGAGCGTCCTGATGCTACACTTGCTGTCGTCTGTGGTGCCGTCACGAAGGCACATCTCGCTGCTGATGCTTGCATCAGCGAGTACAAACGCATCCTCGACAAGGGTCAGGTTCCTGCCCGTGACCTGCTCAAAACCGTCTTCAGTGTTGACTACATCTATGAGAACACGCGGTACAACTTTACTTGCGCACGCTCCTCAAAGAACATGTGGACGCTTTTCTTGAATGGTGGTCGGACTATGGTTGGCGCTCGCCCGCTGGCTGATGGTGGATTGCTCATCCTACTCGATGGTCGGAGTCATTCCGTGTATTGGAGAGAGGAAGTAGGCGCGCTACGTCTCATGGTCGACGCGAAGACGTGTTTGATTGAGCAGGAGAATGACCCCACGCAACTCAGAAGCCCAAGTCCTGGCAAGCTCGTCAGGTTCCTTGTCGATAGCGGCGATCATATTAACGCTGGTGAGACCTACGCAGAAATCGAGGTAAGTATTATATATACTCGATGTTTCACTGTTTGAGCTAATTGCCTCTAGGTCATGAAGATGTACATGCCACTCGTGGCTGCTGAGGACGGCATAGTCCAGTTTGTTAAGCAACCTGGTGTCAGCCTTGAGCCCGGTGACATACTTGGCATCCTTACTCTCGACGACCCAGCCCGTGTGAAGCATGCTAAACCCTTCGAAGGTCTCCTTCCTCCTATGGGTCTCCCTGGCATCGTCGGTAACAAGACCTATCAGCGCTTCGTTCGCTGCATGGGTACCCTTAACGACATCCTTGAAGGTTATGACAACCAGGCGATTATGGCCTCGACCTTCAAGGACCTCATCGAGGTGCTGCACGACCCCGAGCTTCCTTACTCTGAAGTCAACGCCATCTTATCTGCACTCTCTGGCCGCATGCCTGCAAAACTTGAAGAGGGCATCCGTGGCGCGATCGAGATCGCCAAGTCGAAGAGCGACGCTCAGGAGTTCCCCGCAGTACGCATCAAGAAGGTGCTCGAGCACTATGTCCAGGACTCCGTCTTGCCCAAAGACAGGACAATGTTCCGCTTGCAGCTCAGTGCTCTATATGATGTTCTCGAGCGCTTTATGGGTGGCTTGAAGGGTCACGAGGTGCACACAATTGCCAACCTGCTTTCTGCGTACGAGGAGACTGAGAAACTCTTTGGCGGAAGCATTGAGGCTCGTGTCCTCAAGCTTCGAGAGCAAAACAAGGACGATCTCGACAAGGTTGTTGCGCTTGTGCTCAGTCACACGAAGGCGCAGAGCAAGGCGAAGCTAGTATTGGCGATCCTTGACTATGTCAAAACGAGCAGTTTACCTGTCTCAAATGCAGAGAGCCGATTATACCAGGTCCTCAATGGCCTTGCAGCTCTTGAATCCAAGTAGGGTCCACCATATTCTCCCGTTATGATTACTCACCAGGGATTTTCAGGTCCTCAATCCCCGTTTCTCTCAAGGCTCGCGAGGTTCTTATTCTCGGACAGATGCCGTCTTACGAAGAACGTCTCATTCAAATGGAGGCTATCTTGAAAGCATCGGTCACCTCGAGCGTTTACGGCGAAGCTGGCGCTGGTAACAGGTAAACCGACCATTCTAATGTTGTGTCTGCCGTTAACAACTCGTTCAGGGCACCATCTGCTGAAATTTTAAGAGAGTTGAGCGACTCGCGTTATACCGTCTACGATGTCCTCCCCGCGTTCTTCTCGCACACCGACCCAGTTGTCACCATGGGTCTGTCTTCAACTTGATAATCTGATTTAGTCACTTTAACTGACATCGTCTATACAGCTGCTTTCGAGGTTTACGTCCGACGTGCTTACCGCGCTTACTCACTTCTCTCCGTTGACTACGAGGAGGGTGACGGTTCGGATGATGGCGAATTGCCGAGCGCTGTAACTTGGAGGTTCAACCTTGGTCAATCCCACTCGCCGCCATCGACTCCAAGCGTCACTGCACCGTAAGTTCGCCGTACAGCGGTTTCTTCAATCGACTCACTCACTTGGTCACAGTGACCCTCGTCGCCAGGGCTCAGTCAGCGATTTGACCTACCTCATTAGTCGCAGCCAGTCTCAGCCAGTTCGGACTGGTGTTATTTCGTCGTTCTCTGACCTTGCTGCCATGGCACGAGGCTTCGACAAGGTCGCCGACCTCCTGCCTATATTTGACGTCGAGGAATTCCGTCAGCGTTATGGCAGCAACCAGCCGCCCAACGTGATCAATCTGGCACTCCGTATCTTTGACAAGACTGACGACATTGCCGAAGAAGCTTGGGCAGAGCAGTTGACAAAGTTCCTGAACGAACGTAATATCATACTTACAAAGCGTGGTGTCCGTCGCGTCACGATTCTCATTTGCCGTCGCGGACAATACCCGATGTATTTCACCCTTCGCAGCTCCAACGGCTCCTGGATCGAAGAGCAAGCTATCCGTAACATCGAGCCTGCTCTTGCTTTCCAGCTGGAGCTCAGCCGTCTGTCTCA